AACGAGCAAGTCAGTAGATAAGAAATTTCTGCAGAAACCACTGTTGTTGGTTGTCTATGAAATGCGATAGCATTCGTCTAGGACTACCTCAAGGTCGACGTCTAAGACGACGTCGAAGACGACGTCCTAGAGGATGACATCAAAGACGACGTCTAGGGCGATCTCAAGAACGACCTCTAGGACGACCTTAAAAACGACGTCTAGAACGACCTCTAGGACGACCTCAGGGACGACGTCTAGGATGATCTTAAGGACGACCTCTAGGACGACAGATCTCAAGGACGACGTCGAGGACCTCGACAGCAGGCACGGCGCGCCGTCAGGGAGCGCCGCGGCACAAATCGGTCGGCGCTCTGGTGTTATCTGTGTGATGTCACTATCCTGACCAAGGTTTCGTGGCATTGATCTCTCATCCTTGCACCCCTTCTAAATGCGGAGAAAGACGTAGATCTACGTCAAAAAGTACCCAGGTACAGGTAATGCGCAACTCGTCCTCTCCATGGGCTGTGCGGAAAAGCAAACGGAAAGGTGTTTTTTTTTTTTTTTTTTTTTTTAGAGTATAAGGTAATTTGGTCGCTTCTCTGGGGCGTCCGGTCTCGAGGCTTCGCCCGCGGAGGTCAGCGTGCATCTCCGAATGACTGGGGTTCCTCCCTGCGATAAAGGCGTCCCGCCGCGTAAAACGCTCCGCCGATGGGCGTCCCGCCGAGTTGGTTGGGCGCCGGCATCGTGACGGCTGTATACGCTCCCCGTCCCATCCATCAGCCAACGGTCCCCCGTGCCGTGCGGTCTGCGGCGTGCCGCCTGGACCCGTGGGCGCGTTCCTCCGCTCCCGCTGCGTGGGTGTGGCCGCGGTCTCTTCCGTCCATACACCCGCGGACCGGTCGGTAGAGTCAACACCGTGGAGCGTGGCAGAGTGCGCCGCGCCGAGCCAATACCACCTAGAAGGCAAGACTTGTGCCTGTCCCACACAAACGTCATCGCTAGTGTATCGACACAGTGCCGCTATACATTATTTCAGCTTAAATCCAGTCACAGCCGATGCTACAAGCGCGAGCATGTGGCTCTGAACAGTGATTGCACTGCTCGAGCGCGCGTGCTTGGCAGGGACGCTGAACGTCCGCAGCTCGCGCTTGTTGCATCGGCTGCGTCTGTACTTCACCTGGAACGAAGTATAGACGCTTTGCAGCAGCTGTGCATGGACGCCGCCATAACTGACCTTCAGTTTTTGTTCCCTCTTATTCCGTTCGCTTCACTTCATCATCACCACAGCAGGACAGGTCATTGCCATTTTAGATGCTACTGTGTTCTTGTACCCAGCATAGGCCCTTGTGAAGACCCGTAAACGCCCGCTTCAGTGGCTCGGCATCTCGGTAAGACAAGAGAAGGGCGGCTATGGCGGCTCAATCTGGCGCGTGTGTAAAGCGTCTATAGCTTGTGTCAGCATCGCCGCCAGCGCGTCTCGCAACATCTCACAACGAGCGCGACGCTAGCGAGCGGCCACGCTAACGCGTCTGCCGCTTTGCGGCGTCTCTCGATCGTCGAGCTTCGGCGTCGCCTGGGCGAGTCGGGGTTCCACTAATGATGACGTCATGCACAGGCCTCGTCTTCTAGATGTTACTGGCCGAGCATGCCGCCACGTCCGCTCAGATTCGTTCTGCGACTCGAGTGGATTCGTCGTCCCCCGCACCAGGCGGACGACCGAGAACGTTGGCCGGCTCGCTTTTCTTCTTCCTTCTCGGTTTGATCGAGTGCCCGAAGCTCCGAATCTTGTGGGACGTTTGCGTGGTCCTTCGATCTGATGAGTATACTCGTCGAATCTCTTGGGTGCCATCTGCCCCGCGATGCACTCGGCACATCAGCCATCTTTCTTCATTTCTTTTTTTTTTCTTTTCTTTGAGAAAAGGGGAAGGGGGGGGGGGGGTTAAGTTTATGCGGAGAGCAAGTCGTCTGCTTCTTGCGCAGGAATTGCGGTGACGTCAAAAGAAAGCCGAGCTCTGATTGGCTTTGATTTAAAGGGTAATATGTAGGCCTCAGTGCTAGATGCCTTGAGGTCTACCCACTATTTTTTTTTTTTCAATGAGCCAATAAGAGCTCGACGTTCTGACATCATCGCAGCCCCTCTGCAACAAGCAGACGAACTTGCGCTCCACGGGCAGAAATTGAAGGAAAGGAGGACATGAGAACGCGTGGGACGTCGGAACACCGGGCTCTGGTTGGAATGATTAGTGTGTATAGCTATAGTCCGTTGCAACTCAAGAGGATAGGACAAGGGAAAGGAAGTCCGGGGAGGAGGAAGCAGACGGTACGCTGGAGGAGGGAGTTTCCTCCTCTCCTCTCCAGTGTTCCATTTGCTTCTTCCTTCCCAGCCTTTTCTCCCCTCGCCCTACCTTCTTCAGTTGTAACTCACTACACTTCGTCAACTAGAGACAAAAGCTTCTGTCTCTACTAAATCTGCGAACGGGTTCGAACGCGGCGTCCGGCGTTTGGCGTTCGCGTTCGGGCGTGTTCGAACAGCGAGTAGATACAAAGGCTTTGCGTCCACTAATCCTTCCAAACAGAGCTCAGAGTTCCGACGCCCCTGCGCGCTCTCATTTCCTCCTCTCCCTCAATTTCTAGCCGTATTCGCGACTCCAGCGACCTATAGGGGGCGCCACCACCAAACAAACATGGCGGCTGAGTCCAGGTCGCGGCGGCCCGGCCGGGCCGCCTGAACAGGTGGCGCGTTCAATTTAACAGATTTTCTTTTGTTTAATGCCCAATTTTATAGGTATTTGAACTGAGACGGTTAAGTGTAGCCGGTGCACATAAACTCGCAGAGCATAGTTTTGTTTTGCCGGTGTTTTTTTGTTCTTTTCGTGTCAAACTTTCGTTTCGGAGATTTCGTTCAAAACCGAAACTATGGGCTCCGGAGAGACGGTAATATACTTATCAGTTTTGATCATCTAAGGAAAGCGGCGATGACTATAGAATTGTTCCACAGAGAGTAACGTTTCAGCTAACTCCCATGCCTCGACCATGCGACTTATCTGTCCGCTAAATCGAGCTTTTGTGGGTATCCGCGTTTACAAACAGCTCCAGTCGTCTGCTCGGCCAACAACGCAGGCTGCAGGAAAATTAAGAATATTAAGCAACCGCTTCTTGAGCCAAGGACCATGTTAACCCGCCGGCGCCCCACTAAGCAACTGATACCCGTATTTCAATTCAGGTTTTAGTAGCAATCGAGAAGTCATTTTGACGAGCGGGTTATGAATTACATTACGTACTATGGGGGGTCCCACTAAAGCGATATTAGCATATCCTTCGGGTTGAAATATGAGCTTAGGTGACTAGCTATTAGGTGAGCTGCTGAATAAAAGTATATTTGACAGACGGAGACATACTACTTAAACTTAGCCAAATGGTTCTATAGCCGGCAGCACAGAGACAAACTGAAGAGAGTCTTCATTGAAGATCCACACAGAACCTCTCTGCATTGAACTTTGCTTCGAATCCTGAACGGAGAAAATTAGTATTTTTCGTGGCCGGTCAACCTGACCAATGTTGACGTATACTGCTGCAGGCTTCGACGTCCTCGTAATATAAATATTGGAGGCGCGATAGGTCAAAATGCCGTGACAGCATCTAACGTTGCGAGAATTGTCTCCCACCTTTTGAAAACAGATAATTTCCCTCATTCATCATTTGCAGCGAGCAAGTTTTCCTGAATCAAGTAATAGCGAAATCAGCCCAACTCCTTCAGTGTTGTCCAGAGGCTTTTTCGGCGAAAAGCAGCCAAGATGAATAGCCAACGCACCGACCGGCGTGGGTGGCTCAAACTGGAAGCTAACCGAACACAACCAAACTCAAGAAAAGCAGCTATCGAACCTTCCCATTCACTTGACCGCAACATTGATGTTCCCTCCAGTATCAGTTACCAAGAAGTCGTCACTTCGAATGTGGCTCGAGACAGACAAGAAATCAAAAAGTTTTTCCGTGATTTTTCCCCATCGAAGAAATCGAAAGCACGCGACCGTGTGCTGTGGAGTAAACGGGCTTTCAAGCACGTAATAGAAGAAAACAATCTACTGAGGCTTCACCACACTAATGATCACTCAGGCAAACTTAAGAAATATTCGGACCTTCGTCAAATTACATGGTTCGCCACCGCGCCGACAACACGTCTCCGCGAAAGCCACCAGAGACGCGGAGGAGCGCGGAGCGACCTGGACCGGCTGGTTCCCGGTTTTCCCGCTTGGCGGCGTCCGTTTTGCTGGAGTCGCGAATAGCCAATGAGAAGGTCTAGCGGTATCGCGCCCCCAGCCACGAAGTCTCGGAGACAAAAGGGCGGGTGTCCACTCCGTTTCCTACTAAACCCGCGCGACTGTCGGAATATGGCAAAGCTTTTTCGTGGACTGCCTCGTCCAGAGGAAGCCTACTTATCTCTTAGCAATGCATCGCTGTCGAGTGTGCAAGCAAGGGCCTCTGACAGTGAAGCGCTCCTGTGTGCGATTCGCACGAAGCTGGTCTCCGAAAGAGTCTAGGAAGCGATATTGAGTTTGAATTTTACTCGGTGCATATTACTTACTGGGGCACATGGGAACTAGAACACGGGTGTAAGAATACAACGTGATTTCCGCAGAGAAATATTTTAAAATTCGAGTGGTCCTTTTACTTTTTCAGTTTTCTCCTTTTTCTTGGGAAATCTTTTGGATATTTTATCGCAATCCGCCCGTTTCCAAACGGTGCGGTGCGGTTGCGTCACAGCAGAATGCGGCTCAAGGATTAGACTCGAGCACTGCGTCCTCAGTCGTGCTCTCATGGACACTTTGGCCGAACAAATAGGCGACATCACACCTTGCAGCTTGTTTAGGCCACGAGCTGAGGATATCAGCGGACCTCGATTTTCTTGGGTAACGCCGTATGAAAGGGAACACTTTTTCATTGGTTTTGAACATCAGGGATTGAGCCGTATAACGAAATCTAGGAGAGCGTTTGATCCATGGTCAACTCCAACTGCGCAGGTCGCCTGGAGTTCACGAGCGGCGGCTGGTCGATGAACGACGAGGCGACGACCCACTACTCGGCCACCGTGGACGAGATGACGCTGGGCATGCGCTGGCTCAACGACACACTGGGCCAGTGCGCCAGGCCCCGGGTCGCCTGGCAGATCGACCCCTTCGGACACGCCAGGGAGGAGGCCGCACTCTTCGGCATGGTGGGCGCCTTCTATGAACAGCACCAAGGCCGGGTTGCTCACGTTTTTCATTAGTACCGACCGGTGGCCGGTACTAACTATACAGTCGCGGAAGATATGAGCTGAAATACTCGATCTGAACTTTTGCTACGCCTGCAGTTCCCGGAAGCTCTATTGTCTCTCCAAATGCTCGAGTTCAAAAAGTGAGACCCGAGTTTTGCTTTCCAAGGCATGTTTGGACCAGAGCCTCTTTAAAGCCTCACCGGTAATGCGAAGAAGCATGGAGGGCTGTTTCAGCTCATGTTGTCCGGTTAAGTATACAGTCGCGGACGGTATGAAAACACCTAGACGAACGCTTGGCTCCCAAGACCTCCAGTGTTATCTAACGGATGACAGCTGAGCTATCATCGAGGTCGTGAACACGCGGCAGTTTAGCATCGACTTTCGTCCTTACTTCCCTCTCGGTCGGCAAGCGATTGCGGAGTCAACACCTATAGTAATAGTGTTCGGTGAAGTAAAAACACTTTCAGCCTTTCCACTTTAGAAGGAAGACCTGCGAAGCTGTACTATGGTGGGAATGAATGCCCGGCCGCAAGTCGGCAAGCCAAAGTGGAAAGGCCGTGGAAAGGTTGCGCCATCTATGAGCTCATAGATGGCGGTAGCTGTCCAGATTTCGGTGTCATCATCATTCGTTTGCTGACTTACACGATACTGGAGAAAGTATCCCTTAACAGCTCCGCTGTAAAAAAATGTTTATTGACATTTATTTCGCGAACATATTATCAAACACGCGAAAACTGATGTCTCAACTGTCGGACCCCGTGGTTTCAGCTACGTTTGAATGTACCTTTTGCCGCGAAGGGCCTCTACGCATTCGGCGCTGAGATCAGCATTAACTCAGCGACCTCGAGTCAAGGAGGGGAGTAACCACAAATATTGAACAGCCACTGAAGCCTCGGTAATGGTTGAGGTTTCTTCTGATAAATAGCGCTGCGGGCCTTTTAAGTCAAGGCTCTTTCATATCGCCTGCGACTGCACACGACTGCTTCAGCCTTTGTCTGGAACTCGTGTCCTCGCTCATTGAACACGAGTCCCGGCCGACCACTGGCGTGGTGCTCGTGTCCACGCTGACCTACGCTAAGTGACGTAAAAGAGCCGTCCTCGTGTTCATGCGGTCTTTTGTACCACGTGTCAGGAAAACGAAGAGGGGGGGAGGGCGATTTCGCAAGGGCAGCACCGCTGACCTGGCTACGTGCAGCAGGTTGCCTCGATATCCTTCTTTTATTACAGAATCCGTTTGGTCGGCCGATTTTAACGGAGTTCTAACATGTTTGGCTGTGACAGCCGGCTGTGACGAAAAACCTACACCGAAAAGCTTTACGCCCATAGGGGACACTATAAAATTACTTTTGTACCCTGCCAAGATTTTAACTCCCCACCTAGAGATTGTGAGCCAAGTGCTTTGCCGACTGGGCTACCTAGGGCCGGTGGTTACTACCCGGCAAAAGCGAACTCGTTGGCACGAAGGCGCGGTCGCGGGCTTCGCGGCCTTTTATGTCAAGGTGCGCCATCTCACGGCGTGTGTCAAAAATTAGAGCGATTATTCAGTAGGATGCACTTCTCTTCTTGCCTGGAAGGCCGATCGAACATTCTGCGCTTACCAGTATTTGTCTACATGATTGAGCTGTGTAATTTTTAAGCTGGTTGCACTTTTGGAAGCTTCCGATGCCGTCGGCGCGGGATCGCGAGGTACTTTCGATGAAATATCGTGATCCGAAATGACGGCACAGCACCTTGCTCTTAAAGAAGATTGAGGGCGTAGGTGAGCCGGTGAATAATAGCATAATAAAATAATAATAGCATAATAAAATCGGAGGCTCGGAAACAAAAAGGACGTCCTTAAAACCGTCTCAGACACAACCTTCGCGGTGACTGGGGTCGTCGGGAATATAGGGAGGCTGATCCGAATATAACCTTTTAGCTGTCTCTGAGAGGTTGTTGAGTACGTCTTTTTTGTTTCCGTGTCTCCGGTTGTATTACGTTACCCTACAGCTTTCGGCCTAACGTCCGTTCATGTCGAATCCAGCACCGCTGCACAGAACCTTGTTAGACTGGTACCTCGTACACTGGTGCAATATTTGTCGCGCGGCTCGTGAAAAGAGCGCATCGAGGGGCTTTAGTTGAAGTGAATGATCTGCGTGTTTGCGTATCTAAACTTATAACTTGGACGCAAAAAAGGAACGGGCCAAAAAATAACGCAACATTTAAGAACAGCCTTTCCAGGTAGACTAATACATATACTTTCCACAACTCAGTCATGTGTATCCAAATACGGGCGCGAGCAACTTATTCAGTTGACAGGCGGTGACGCATTTCTCCACGGGGGCCGTTGGTTCTTGACGAGTCGAGCGGCAGTCAGCGCTTCTAGCCGCCGAAAAGAGCCGCTTAGCATGGGGGCCTCGATGTGTCGTGATTCTCCGGGAACGAGCAGCGTCTGGGTTTGCACGCGGGCTCGCTCATCCATCCCGACGCGACGGCGACGATGCGCGTGCACTCCCCCCCCGTTGGCTCCTTTGCATGTTCGTCACCCGGCACGAGGTGTGCAACGAGCACATCCGTCCGCCCCGGTCGCGCTGCGCTCGCCGAAAGTGTATCGCGGAGACGAATATGCGTTATTCATGGTCACAGCGGCCTCTCAGGCATGCACGAAGGGGCGAGCTCGCGCTGCATGTACGTAAGTACACGCGGAGGAGAGATGGGATACATATTTTCATTTTGTTGTCGTAGGTCGCGAACCGCTTCATCGGTGGCTCTCGTCAGTTCCAATCGCCTACGCAGACAAGTGAATCTCGTAAGCCGCAGTAGCCCTGCTCGTACACATCATACGGAACATGCGCAATCCTATTTACGAGGACAAGGAAGAAGCTGCAGACATCATGACATCTGCAGACACGCATGTTCCAAGCATGTTTTCTTCATAAGACTTTGAGCATGTCTGCAAACAGGTTTTGTATGACTAATGGGACCGTCATGTACAGAATAAAAGTACCTCAGACAGTGCTTGCAGACTGTCTTTTGTGGGAAGTATTAGGACCCCGGCTTAAGGTGGTTGAGGCGCAGCACCCTGAGAACTTGCCTTAAGCAGGGTTGGGCAGTATCGCGATACAATTGTATCGCGATAGTATTTTAGAGATACATTCGAGTATTTGTATCTCTGTATCGAGACACATTTGTAAAATGTATTTGTATCTTAGTAGTGCAATACATTTACAATGTATCCTTTGTATCGCGATACTTTGCCCAACTTAGGCATCTCGTTACATTTGTCGCCCTTTTTACGATAAATTTAAAGGTAAAAACATCTGTTCGGTGCAACTTGCTTCGGAATTTTCGATATAAACCTGCCCTATAACACGATCCATCTCAGTCACCAACACGAAAAAAAAAAAGATTGTGGTTTAAAGAAGGTTACTTGCAAGAATACCAAAATCAGCTCCTCTCAGAAAGCCCTCCACTCTTTCCAATTTAGCGGAGCGAACGCTGTAAAGGAGTTGGGTGGAGAAAAAGTACGGCCCTGTTGTCCAATCTCTCTACACGTTGACTCAAAACCTTACGATATAACAGTCTGAGATGCGCCCTCACGGCGAGACAGGGTTCATTTCGGGCAGACGCCTTTTGTCAAGCATGGTACGCAGTTTTTACCGCTCTGCAACTATGTGGTTCAACGGGGGTGACATGTTTTTTTAGCGGAATTAATGATAGATAAAGAGTTCGAGGTAATGGGTAGTGCATAAACTGGCACAAAAAGAGGAGCACAAGCATAAATTACCTTTCGCAATCGCCACGATCTGCACCCTCTCCACGCAGCACCGTTCGGGAACAAATGTATATCTATCAGTATCTGTATATGTACTCTGGAATACTTTTTTGCCGTTATTGCGGAAGTATCTCAGGGATATCCCGTTGCCTAAAACACAAATGACAAATGTATCTCAGTATCTGTATCTTGGCCTTAAAACAGATGTATCTCAGTATTTCTGTTCCCGAATACTTTTTGTAGTATCTCTGCCCAGCCCTGCCCAATCGAATTACCTTTTTTTTTTTCTCATACCGCTTGGAGAGTTTCTTACTGAGGTCTATACGAGAGGAACTCGGCAGATGACGACGCCGGAAAGCATTTTCAGGTGGCAAATGAAGCGTGAAAAAATGACGCCCAGTGACATGTTCAGGACTTCCTCTTTTACGAGAACCTTTCTTTTCTTTTTGGCTTAGTCATTCACCGAGATCGTAGACTGCCGTGATTGGCTCTCTGACTTCTCTGTAAAAAAATAAACGCAAAAGTCTTTATTTCTTTTGGGGGTGTGGGAAGGGGGGGAGGGGGAGGGGGGGGGGGGTGTTTGAACGGCTTCCTCTTTGCGCTCAGAGATGCTGAGCGATGCATCTTTGGTACGCCCTTCGGTACCCCGAATGGTTCTCCTGTGTCGCGACTCCGACGCTCGATTGAGCACTTGTTCCCCCGTTTCCACGATCATCTACGACAGCTGCAACAGCGAAAGACAACAAAAGAAAAGCCGTCCCTTTGCCGTGCGAGCGTGGCAAATGCGCTGGAACATAGAACGCGATGCGTTAGTGCGGACCAAACCCTGCACAAAAGTGAAGACTGCATGCCGCGAATGGAAGCTGGTTGTCATCTTCTTCGGCGGCAATGTAAGCGTGACTTTCTCGGAGCTGGTTGGAGTGTGGGACGCAGTAGAAAAAGTGCTCGGAAAACAGAGCAATTAAAAGGCGACAACGCGGAGCAGAGCCCTGGTACCAGTTTGCTGCAAAAGAGAACCGAACACTCGAACATACCTCAACCCGTTGCTACCGTTGCGGCAAACTTGCGTCTGCTTTTCTTTCCTCCGCTTCTGTCCCTCTCTTTTACGTTCTTTCTCTGTGGAGGCCCGGAGCGCGCTCGTGCCACGGAGCAGAGCGCCGCTGTATACATGTAGGCTATACAGTACGTGTGTTTCCGGGAACGCGCGCCATATCGACCCTGCGCAAACTACGCGTCGTATAGAAAAAGCGTCGATGCCGTAAATTTTCCCCAGCTGAGTGCCTTCTCCCACCTCCTCGCAGATGGGCTTTGACGGTCAGTTCCTAGGCCGGATCCACCTGGACGACAAGAAGTGGCGCCAGGACAACAAGCTCATGGAGTTCCTCTGGAGGGCGAACAAGTACCTCGGTACGGGCCCCTCTCCCTGCCGTCAAGTTGCCGCCTTCCTCGTCAGGCTGACTTGTTTTGCGATTTAGGAAATTTTGTTTTCCTAAATCAATTTCTTAAATCAATTTCCTAAATCATTTAGGAAATGATTTAGGAAATTGCGAATAGACGATTTTCAATTTTCCCAAGCGCCCCGGCCCGCGCGCGAGGAATTGTGGGAGAGACTGTCCCTCGCCTGGCCGCTCTGCCTTGAGATCGCATTGCCTTGTCGCTTGCCTCCTCTTAATCCTCTCTTTTCCGATTCAATTACCTATTTTTATCTATTCCAATGTATTTTTTATTGCTTCTTAGAAAAATTAAAACCGTGGCCAAAGAAAATCTGGCGAGGGAAAGTGTTATCGGGAGATTCAAACTGACGAATGAAACCCTATATTTGCCTTAGACATTATGCACGTCATCAGAATATGATACTGCTTTATAACTTCATTAGCGCTTTTTATAATAGTCAGTCCAAAATAAAAGTCGCAACACAAGCGAGAATTTTCAAACTCGAACACCCGGAACATGACGGTACTTCACGAATATTAGTAGGCATGGTAAGTCTATATCTCCAGGCATTGCAGTATTTCTTCTTGCACTCAAGCTTTTTTTCGTTCGAGATGGCAGAGCGGCGCTCTCAGAATCTTGGACTTGGCTGGTACCCTCCATAGTTTTCTAGGGGCGATGAAAACTGATTTTGCCGAAACAAAGTTGAATGGATATATGAATGCTAACGGCTGTACACTTTATAACGGGCGGTATCTTGCGCCACCTAGCCTAGTAGTCCTGAATGGTGTCAGATGGTCGCACCACAAACCGCCAAACGGCTAGAGGAAATAACCCAAATGTAGCCGAAGCCGCTGAAATTCGATGTCATCTCGAAAAATAGTCATAATCGACCTATAAGATTCCAGATATCTCTGGTGCCCAAACTATCCCTCAAACTGGCAAGATTTCCCTCATTCCCACACGTACTTGAATATTATTTAATCTGGGAAATTTCCGTCGAGTTGGCAGCCCTGACCGAAACTTTGACACCCTACAATCCGTTACCTTCACGTGCAAAGTAAAACTGTGTAATCGGATTCCTTGGAACCCTGTTCCCGCGTCTTCTCTCCGCAGGCGAGAAGGGCGACCTGTTCACGGGAGTCCTTCCCAACGTGTACTGGCCGCCCCACGGCTTCTGCTTCGACATGTACTGCGCCGACGAGACCGTCCGCGTGAGTGATCGCGCCCTGTGTGCGCATTTCACCGGGGGCCGCATTCCGAGAAGCGACGAATCCGCGCACGCCACTTAGAAGACAAGGCCCGCACCTCCTCCCCAAACGACGTCACTAGTGGATCTAAGCAGCGTCGCTTAGACTGCGTGAGCATCGCCACCGGTCCGTCTCGTAGCGTCTCACAACGTGCACGACGCTAGCAGACGGCGGCACAAAGGCGGACGCGTCTCCCGCTTTGCGGCGTTTCTTGTCAAGTTTCAGCGCGCTAGTCTCTTAAGGCGGGTCGAGGATCCACTAAGGATGACGTCATGCGCAGGCCTTGTCTTCTAGGTGGTATTGGCGCGGGGCACCTGCGCGTGCAACTGCCTTCCAGGGCGTGTCTTGGTGGTCGCACGCACGCAACGCCCGTACAGGCTAAAATCGCGGGAAAGAGAAGGGCGGGCTGCTGGACATGCAATGTTAGGGAAGCCCGACACCGAAGAACAAATAATATAGACCAGTGTCTGCTCTGTTCCATGGGCGCCGCCATTTTCGTTTATGCTGACGTCATGACACAGAAGGGGGGCTGCGTTTTTTGAAAGGCTCAGTTTCTTTTAGAAACCTTTGCCCATATCGTATACTTCGTTTCAGCCTAGCCCCGAGCGCGGCCGATGTTATGAGCCGAAGGGCCAATCAAACAGCGAAAAAGGCACAACGTCGTGGTGTGCTCTCTGCAGTTGATAGGAATAGCCGGTATTCGCCGTCCGTCTTTGCGTGCTCCTCTGCCGGCTAGTCCTATCAAGCCCAGGGAGCACGCTATGACGTTGCGCTTTTTGCGCTGTTTGATTGGCCCTTCGGCTCATAACATTGTCCGCGCTCGGATATAAGGTGAAACGAAGTATAGTGCAAGAAGGTAAGAAATGCACAGTCACGAAGCTCCAAGAACCGCACCGACGCCAAGAGCGTTGTAAAAAGCAAAAATATTGTTTTATGCGCAGCCCCCCCCTCCCCCCCCCCCCCCCCGGCTTTACAAGAGCCTGCGTTTGAGATTATTATTTCCCATTTTTATCGCTGGAGGCTAGTATATCGGACACTGGTCTTTAGACAGCACGCAGAATTATATGTGACTCGCATTTTCTGTTCAGTGGTCTATATAGGCTTTTCGCTTATCACTGAGACGAAAAATGCCGAGTCATTGGGCTGTTGACGCGTTCTCTGTGTCTGGTATTTGCGCAGAAGATAGCTACTGCGCATGCTCATGAACGGCTTTCATAGCCCAGTCGACAAATATGGCAGCGCTTAAAAGGCCGCGGAAGAAACGGCCATTGAGGTTGCGGGCCGATTAATAAACGAATCACGAAGCACATGAACATAAGAGGCCGCCACCGTCATTCTCAATCTCTCGATGGCCATGTACAGTATCACGCCACCGCTAGATTTGTGCCTACCGCACAGGTGGTAACTTCGATGCACCCTTGCGTTTCCAAAAAGCTTCGAGTCGTTCTAAAATTGACTGATCTAGTGGTCTTCCATGATGCTCAGCAAGATTCTAATCAAAACCACATGCTTATTTTGACCTGCTAAAAATTAAGAAATTTCACTTTATTACACGACTTATCGCAAAGGTTAGCCACCTATATAACGTACCCCAACAGTATAACTCACCTGAACAAACAGTATTTACGGATTTTTCTTTTTTATAAATCTGTTCGAACTAGATCGTTAAGCCTGCTGTGGCAAACGTACAGCTCCATACTGTTCGCTGGTTTTCCTTTGATCAGCTCAGCCAATCAGAAGCTGATGGCTCCATCGCGATCCCGAATAGCCACGCGGTTCGAGAAAACTGGGGGGCCTGCGCGTGGAGCAAAAACCCGTGCTGTAGAAACCAGGGGTTCAATCCCCTGCCTGTTTCAATCTGGATGAGCATCGTACCTGCCTAAGGTTGTGTATCACTACTGCGTGGTTTAAAGACCCCAGGCTAGCGTCTTTATTGCACCGGTTAAATTCCTCACCTGCAGCTGAAACACAAGTCGCCATTGAGGCTGACTAACTTCCGGCTGTCTGAATATGCGTACAACACAGTTCATTTCTGAGCAAAATAAGAATTTGGGTGTAATAAGGTATTACTAAAACTGAAAGAATAAGAACACTTACACTCTTAGAAATCTGGGTGTCTGCTCTCCCGTAAAGGACTTGGGTGAGCCAATGACCGCAATCTATAGGGAGGTCGTTGGGCCAGTGATGGGCCTGAAAATGGGTTTAAAAACAGTCTGTGACGCTGAGCACTGTGAAACGGCATGCTCAGTGTCACAGCGCAGCCTGTTTTTCTGGGTTTAAAGTGACCATCAGCCCCGCGTGCTTCGCCCAGCGACCTCTGTAGATTGCGCTCATCGGCTCGCCCAAGTGCTTCGCGGAACAGCACACTCTCCAGTTCCTAAGAGTGTAAGGGGACAAAAGGGCGTCTGCACTCTCGCCACTGAGACCGCAGGGCGATTGGAGCACCCTACCGACCGGCCTTTTTGTTGGTTCATTAAGAGTAGAAGACCAATGATTGGTTGAGGTACAGTATAGTCTCGGAAACTTCTGAGAATGTAAACACTGCAATTTTCTATTTATTGCTATTACGCTATGTGTTTCGGTGCTTGATATTTCTGTCTTAATGCTAAAAGACTGAAACGGGCAGTTTTTTTTTTTTTATTTCTGTAGATATTTACATTGAATGTAAACTTATGTTTACATTACTGTTTTTGACACGTGCGTGCATTCTTTTAGGAGTTCAACGGACCCCGGAGAGCCAAGGAGTTTATTGAAATAGTCACGCAACAGGTGAGACATTTAAAACGTAGGTTCTATTTTTTTAAAGGGGGGGGGGGGGTGATTTTTAATGATGCGCTTGAAAGGGAACCACCTTTTCAATTTAATTAAGTTTATTTTAAGGGGTATACTCCTTGAAATGGCCCTTGGCGCAAAAGGGGATCGTGTCACCTGACGACGCACCAGGGTTCAACAGAGGGGAAAGGGGAGGGGGGGGGGGGGGCAAAGTTTAACAGCAAAGGGGGGGAGGGGGGAAAGTTCGAATATATGTGCAGTAAAAGAAAAGCTAACTGTGGTTCCTTAAGGAAACGCGCTCGCTCAAAACAAGAAATATATTACATTTGTACAGACGAAAGAAATGTGCGTAGAGAACACAACCATATTCATCGTCAGTAACATCTTTAAATGCATCACACTAAAGTACATAACAAAATACAGAGACATAAGTAGGGAAAATAACAAACATGATAAAAATCACACGAAGTGGAAGTAAAATATTGAAACAAAATGGGAAACAAAGTAGCATCTGTAAATGTATCAATGTGTCACCCACTGCTATAAATGAAAATTATGAGACACCCAGTTCTAGCAATTGTACCCATTATAAAAAAAATATATTGTGCACAGGATAAAACAGAAAAAGTAAAGAACTGGCACGCATTCATAAAATAAATTATTTAACACACCCGCACCCACACACAGACACACACACGCACACACACACACACACACACACATATATATATATATATATATATATATATATATATATATATATATATATATATATATATATATATATATATATATATTGAAATCATGCAGAAAAAATAGCTGCATTTTAGGCACTGTTCACTCAATAAAAAGTCGCTAAAATGGACATATTAAAAAGTATTAAAATAATAGCACACGGAAATCATGTACACGAGAGGATGTATAAAGGCCTGAAAGACTAACTAAAAGCCCACCTATATGATTTGTAACTCGCGGTAAATTACGAGGGAACGTAGGTCTTTTTTAAACGTATTTTGCGTTCCTGTAATTCTTAAATTAGTACCAACGGCATTTAGGAATTGGGTACCTTAAAGTTGACCTGTTAGTTTACCGTAGTTAGTCTTATGGGTGGAAGTCTATATGCTCTAGTCGTTCTTAAACTATATTTTTACAGATTTAAACGAATAAGGCGAGGCCGCTTACTACGTTTGCGTGAATGAGTTGCCTAAGCTTGTTAAAGTATAGCTTAGAGAGTGGTAGAATGTTTAGCGTTTCGAATAAGCCTTGGGCGTTAGTACGATAATTCGCTTTGGCTATTATTCGTAGCATACTTTTTTGTAGGCTTATAAGGTCAGCATAATTCTATTTAACCATAGTTCCCCGTACTAAAAGACAGTAATAGAGTTTTGGGTTAAAAAGGGTATAGCACATTTGCATCTTCAGCCATGTGGATGAGAGGTCTTTTGTTCTATAGATCATTCCTATGGTTCTAGATAGGTCGTTTCTGATATATTAAATTTGTGTTGTTCAGGTAGCTATGTCACTAAACCACACACCTAAGAATTTGCAATCACTTATATGCTCTATAACACAGCCTTTTATTGTCAGACCTAAAGCTTGAGATCAAAATGTTTCTCTAAAAGATTCTTCGGGATGTCTTGAAGAACCGAAGTCTTTTTGCTGAAACATCGGATGCCACTTTGAAGCTTTCGGCGCTTTCCTTTTCATTTTCGTACCCGTTGCCCGCGAAATTGTTTGCACAGAAAGTACCACAGGAGGCGGGAAAAATCACGAGGCGTGGAAATATTGCGAACCCTTGTTTGCAGGCCAAGTACTACGCCACGAACCACACAGTCGTCACCATGGGCATGGATTTTCACTACAAAGACGCGGCCAAGTGGTTCGATAGCCTGGACAACCTTATCTACTACGTGAACGCCCTGGTAGGTTGCTTAGCCCCCCTGTTGTCTCGTTTTGCTAATGTTGGTTTCAGCGGCGATACTACTTTGCAGTGTTGGCTGTAACGCGTGACAACCGGGGCTCGGTGTTCTGACCCGCGTTCTCTCATGTCCTTCTCTCCCTCAGTCTCTACCCGTACAGTTTCCCGAATCATCTCTTGAGAGATCTAATCTCTGCAATCTACGGCGAATGACGAGACTGAAATAAAACTAAAAAGAACAGCCTGTGCAGCGAGCATGACGTAACCAGGTGCTTACGTCCTGCTTATGCAGACTGTATTGTTTGTTTTTAAGTCAAGACATATATTCAGCTTCCTCATTGGCCAATATCTCCCCGCAGATCGCAGATTGCCTCTCCCAGGCGCTTTGTGGGAAAGTCCATGCATCTGTTTAGTGTGAAGCGAGCTATTAGAGATATCTTAATTACGGTGCAGCACGCGTGATTCGCGATGAAGTATGCGAACAAAAGAAATTATGAAACTATTATAGGTCATTCCCCGAGCAGCTTGTCGACGATTGTTTTTTTTTAAATCGGGGACGAATCGATCTAAGCCACCTAGAAGACAAGGCCTGCGCTATGACGTCATTGTTAGTGGATCCCAGACCCTCCCCAAGTGGCAAACGCGCTGAAGCTCCATTAGACTAGCCGCGAAGACTCGTCCGTGTTGGCTTCGCCTCCTGCTAGCGTCGAGCTCGTTCTGAGACGCTGCGACAAGTGCTGGCAGCGATGTCGACGCAAGCTAGGCGGCGCTGCGTCAATCCACGAGTGATGACGTTGGGGGGAGGGGAGGTGTTTGGCTCTCGCATTCGAACGCGTTCGACGAGAGCAAGGGAGACAAAGGCAGCTAGCTTTAGGTCTACCCACTAATCAATCGAATCAGACAGAGCTCGGCGTTCTGACCAACAGCTCCTAGATAAAAAAAAGAAAAAGCCTAAGTGCGTTCCCGCGTCACTAAAGAAAGCCACCGCATGCCAGAAATTGGACGCAAGCGCGCCGTCAGCGTTCGTCCAGAAGTTGTGTCCAATCAGAGAGAACACCACTTCTAGCCGAACGCCGACGCCGCAGTCGTGTCCAATCTCTGGCATACGCTGGCCTTTTTTACTGACGCAGGAAAGCACTTAGGCTTTCTTATTTAGGAGCTGTTGTTTATACGTCCCCGCGCGCCTTCGTCTTTTCCGCTCCTTCACTTTCTCAGTTCCCCGTCTCGTTGAATGTTCCTTCTCTGTTTGTTCTTCCCTCTGGGGGGTCGCAGCAGCAGAGCGAGGGTAGCCCGGTGCACGTGCTGTACTCGACGCCGGCGTGCTACCTGAAGGCGCTGCACGAGAGCTCTCGGCGCTGGCCCGAGTACGACGACGACTTTTTCCCGTACGCCGACAGCGAGCACGCCTACTGGACCGGATACTACTCCAGCAGGCCAAACTTCAAGTTCTTCGCGCGAAAGGCGAACGGATTCCTCCAGGTACGTGCCCAGGCTGCGCCCGTTGCGTTCGCAGCATCCCAAACGACCAAAGGGGTCGTCGGCGTGCCTGCAAGTTTCCGGCGTTTCTCACCGAGGCAAAAAGTGCCGAGTCACTGGGCTCTGGGTGCATGCGTGGCGTTTGATATTTCGCGGAAGAGAGCTACTGCGCGTGCCCACTACGCCTTCCACAATCTAATAAACGAAGAAGGCATCGCGCAGATGGCGATTGTTTCAATACCGCGTTGGAATCAGCTCGACAGGTTCAGGGGTCGTTAACGTTGCTTGCGACCGACAAATCACAGATAAAGTGAGCGTTCATCTTTTCACCTAAGTATTGCGTCTCGCAGCAGCATCTCGGTTTCGCTGCTACGTGGCCCGTATGGCGGAGGCACTGAGGATAAGTAGACACTGACGTCCACTGGTCTTCACCGAGATTCGTGCCACCATGACGTTCCACGTGCTGGCTACGGAAGCAGGTCGCGCGACCGACGCAAATACCTAAGCAGCCTTAGCAGGGAGATTGCCGTGCAGAAAATGTTGGCTACCGATCAACTACAACCCGCGCGCGTGAGAGCGTCTCTGCGTGCCTATTCGTGCGCGCGTTCACGCGGTGTTTTACTTTTTGTATCTTTCGTGCACATTGCATATGCTCTAGCTCGTTTCCGCTACCTAAATGCCGGGTCCTTGCGTAAGTTCATATGATAGTGTACCTGCAGAAAACCCACGAGAGAACCGATTTCTCACGGTGCATTGCGGGGAGGAATACGCGTGGGTGCTGCCGAGATTGTTGAGGCTGGAAGTACGTTCTTTTCTTGATTTTCTCTCCTCTTTGGTGCAGGCATGCAAGCAGCTCAAGGTCATCGGTAACGTGATCGACGGAGACACCGAAACACTGTGTGAGCGTACTTCGAGGCTGCCTGCCGATCGTCTGACAGCCAGTTTCGTCTCCTCCGGGAGATTTGACCACTTTTCGCGTTGTCATTCTTTTTTTCAGCAAGAGCGGTAGGAGTGATGCAGCATCACGATGCCATTTCGTGAGTTTCCCACCTTGTTTGTTCGTATGTTTGTCTGCGTGAGTGACTTTTAATACCCGAGTCCCGCTAGAGCGACAAATGGAAACAACCGACAAACACGTGCAGGTTGCACGCGACCTTCGGCAGGCTCGTAATCTCTTGGTGCTCGTGAAGTAAGCAGGAGAATAGCAGTTCGACGACGGAGCCGTAGAGTGCCCGGTCGCAGATTTGGAGCGCAAGGATCTGGTAGCACAGAGCATTTCTCGGGGAACCTGGTCATCCGCGCAAAGTGTTTTCAGCGGCGAGGACCCGAAAGATGGTTATCAAACCTGTCGAGAAAAGAAGCGGTAGCGCGAGGAACGCGAGCGGACATTCCATCGCTCGGGAGATGTGTGTTTGGGCGTCTCGCCGCAGCGGGGCGCCCGTCACGTGGCTCTCCTCTCATCCGTTGTTTGCCGCCCTACCTTTTCAATTTTGGCGGCCGTGTCTCGTGGCGATCTGCCAGGCTTTGTCAGTATGGAGGAGGCTATGGCAGGACTAATTGCGAGCCTGCCAAGATACTTTCGCATGCATGATGCACGTGTTGGAGGCTCGCCGGTGTTGTTTCTGCTTGTCGCGCTTGGGGGATTCGTACATAACGAGGAGGTCTGTGATCGTATAAAACGGCAAACATCTGTCAAAAAAAAAAAGAAGTATTTTCCGTTCACAAAAAAAAAAAAAAAAATAGACTCGCACGCGAAGAAACTTGAGACTGTCATACTTATTATTTGTCGACGCTGTCGACGTGAGAGCTGCAAAAGTTGGGTTATTATTCTTTCAGCTAATATTTTGCTGTTTGAATTTGCGTTTTCGTCTGTCCCTTTTTGCCGAAAAGAGTGGTTAGACATACCGTATTTGCTCAAATAATTTCCGCGCTTCTTTAAAACAAGGCCATTCCGTCTACTTTTCTGCAGAACAGACATACAGCCAATCATTGAGCTCTGCATAAAAGAAATGCAGCGAATAGCAAAGTGGAGAACACGGTTCTGCGTAAAAATGCGATCTAAACACATACCATTTCCTCGTGAAGACGTCATTTCTGTCCAATAAATCGCTGCCATTTTTTTTTTTTTTTTTTTTGCGGATCACGGTGATTTGCAGCTTTGTGCTCCGCGGGAAAGCAGACCCACAGGCTTTGTTCATAAACAACGCGTTTATTAATCGAGAAAATGCGGTCCTTAAAGTGCCGCATATGCGTGTGCCAATGTGGGTGTCGCTCTGCGCGCGTGCGTGCCTGTATTCGTAGATGCGCACGCCAGAAAAAGAAAAAAAGTAGTATCGTGAATTTGCCAAAATAAAAACAGGAATCACCTTTTGGATGACTGCAGCACGCAGGGATTACAATAAAAGGTAGAACAGTCGTTGTTCCCTGACAGCTGAATGAGCTGTCAGGGAGTAACGAAAAAAAATATACCTATAGAACAGTGAAGTTCGCGACGTGTCACTGGGCATGACGTTTCACTCGCTGACCTCATACTCCATGTTAGGTTACAGGCTTCCTTACTTATCAAAAGCTTTTTTTTTTTTTTTTGGATTGGGTATTTGGCGAGTTCTTTTAGGAGAATACAGAGATTGGTACAAGGAGTGTTCTGTTGGAACCAAGATGAACGGGGATTTTTTGAGTGATTGGCTGATTCCTTTCGTGTAAATCACATTTCTAACCGAAAGATAAACTGCTCTTGTCATTCGATGGAATCCTTTAAATATTTCACAATTATAATGGGGAGGTCCGGGCCGGCTTGCTAGAATAGCGTCTCAGCAGAGACTGGGTGAAGGAAAGCATTGCAAAGGCTGGGGCGCGTCTTGAGTTGCGGTTTGAGTCCAGCTGAGCTCGTGCACTGGCTTTGACAGTGTTTTCGTTCACCCAGCTCTAGTAGAGGCGCTGCTTCTAGGAAGCCGGCCCTGGTCTTTAGACTAAAAAAACCCAAATTTGCCCACGTATCTAGGCTTCACTGAAGAGCGCGTAGAGGGCCAATCATTGATAGGCAACGAATACCTCTCACGGCCAGTCTTCGTAGAATAGACAGTCTGCAGACCCTGTCTGAGGCTTGACTCGCACGACGCTCACATTGGTCATGCCTGTCTCCACACATATTTGAAGCTCATATATGTACGAATCAATCATGTTCGAAACATGATTCATGCGTGTCCACAGATGTCCTCATGACTGCAACGAACACCGTGTCGTTTGTATGATGCATGAGCAGTGGGTATGCGGCTTTAAGGTAATCCGTATGCGCGCAGGCGTCGAGCCCTGTCAGGATGTCAACAGCATAGACTGCAATTTCCGGGAGCATATGCGCCGAGACTCTGAGGGAGACGAGGAAACGAGAGAGCGCCGGTACGTTAGAACGCTGAACTCTGGTTGTAAGGTTTAGTGGGTAAAGCTAAGGCTAACTGCCTTTGTCTCCACTGCACTTGTCGAACGCGGAACGCCGGCATCCGGCGTTAAGGCTTTTGCATTCGGACACGTTCGAGGGGTGCAGTGGAGAGAAGAGCTGCTAGCTTTAGGTCTACCTAGAGCCACTAAATGAGCTAGGCATAAGGGCGATTCGCACACTTGCGCGAGTTTGACCAAGTGCGACTGCAACGGCTTGCGACGTACGGGTTGCTATGGCAAGAGCTGCGTCGGATACAATAAAACGGGGTAAAAACCGGTTTTGTTGGAGCCGACTTGGCTGTTGCCATAGCGACACGTACGTCGCAAGCCGTTGCAGTTGCACGCGGTAGGACTCGACGCCAGTGTGTGAATCAGCCTTTAGAGTATCGGCATCCCGTCCCCCATGTTGTTGTGGGCGTCGCCATCTTGGTGCTTGTGCGGAGAAGACGCCAATGCCGATCGTCTTGATTCAAAAGTGCGACTTCCTCAGCATTAGATTCGGTGTTAGGAAGCTCATGTAATACTGCTTTGCTCTGTCGCGAACTGTTTAAACATTTGTGGAAGACGGAAAAGCTTTTTTTTTTTTATTTTAGTTAGAGTTTTAAATAACTGGATACCATGATTTTAAGCCACAAGATTGGTAGGCGTCGTTATCCTGAAGCGTACTATAGTCGGTTACAAGTTCAGAAGGTAAGAGAAGGTCCTCCTACAAGCGTGATATGCCGGTCTCAAATCCCTCCGCAGTCGAAAGAAGAGTTCACTGGAAACGCTCCTTGTTCCGCTTCAATGGATAGATATTGGCTACAGAGTGATGCCCAACTTGTCTCCGATCCCACTTTTTACGAAAACGACCTTTGCAATCATCGGAGGGCGAACCGAGCCCCTAAAAGCAGCCTTTGTATCCATCGGAGGGGGAACCTAATCCCCCAAAGTCGTATTTTTTTCCATCGGAGGGGGAAAACTCTAATATCCCTCTCGTGGCTTCCAGAATGCTAAGTCAAAGTCGAAAGATAAAGCAAATATGTGCAGAAAGGCAAGACCCTTCTCGCGCGTTGGCCGCGACGTCACGGAAACGATGGGACGCTATTGGGTGCGGAGGTGGCGGAGGAATATATGATTCCCTTTGAGGGGCATTTGCCGCTACCTTCTTGACTTGTAACCAACTATAGATAGCAGAAAGAAGAAAACATAGGACGAAACATCCCCCCAGACAAGTAGATTCTTTCAACTCACAACAAAGCGTAGCTTATTTAGTGGGGCTATGTCTACCCATTTATCCTCCCAACCACAGCTCGGCGTTCTGACCCATCCCGTCTCGTCTCCTCCTCTCCCTCACTTTCTCGTAACGTTGGTTTCTCGGCGCATACGCGCTGCTTCGGATTGGAGATAGTCAGGTGGATGTCACGATGAGGGAGCACTCTTGTGTGTTGCAGTGGCACCGAGAAGCAGCACGTGGTCGAGGACTACGCTCATATGACGTACCTGGGCATCAGGCAGTGCGAGGTACGTTCATCGGGGCCGAGGGGACCATGGGCGAGGCGAGAAAGACCTCGGGCATACACGCGTCCCGCTTGGCGCATTGTTCGTTCATGTGGTATATGACGGTCACGGGCGCGGTGGTAAAACGCAGGACTGCACACGCTCGTTGTGCACTTATTTGGAGCTCAAGCAATGCCACGGGAGTGAGCTCATGACCTCGAAGAGCGTTGATCCCATAGCTCGTGCTCTGAAGACAGCTTCTAAAACCAAAAGCTCGATTACTGTCCGGCATCGTTCACGCGCTTTGTATGGGGCATGGCCTCATCTGGTGCGCCGTAAAGACACTGGGGGCCTAAGAGAAGCACCCCATGGCCTAAAGTAAACCACAATAGCGGAATTCACTGGGCGCCATATTTCAGGGCGTTTTTTAGAGCGCATGTTCAGAACAAGCTCACATGAATATGCTGCTGAGATCGACAACCTTGATTGTACGGAATGCACTTTGCAGAAGTACTGTGGAAGCTGCCCGTCAGCACGCGCTCAGCAGTCGCGCACACAGCTATTGTCGCCAATGAATACTCCCTATAACCAAGAGCGCATTTACTGGCAGCCAATAGCAGCGCTCGTTGCTTCTGTGCGCGTGCTTACGGAGAGCTTTCAGAACACTGCCACAGCATGCATTTTGAAATTAATGCGCCGAGAAACTGAGGGAAAGGAGCAGACGAGAGCGCGGGGGAACCTCAGTACGCCGAGCTCTGATTCGTATGATTAGTGGGTAGACGTAAAGCTAGCTGCCTTTGTCTTCACATCACTCGTCGAAAGCGTTAGAACGTGGAACGCCTGCGTTTGGCTTTGACATTCGAACGCGTTCGACGAGTGCAGTAAAGACAAAGGCAGCTAGCTTCACGTCTACCCCCTAATCATACGAACCATGAGCTCGGCGTACTGAGGATCCCCGCGCTCTCGTCTGCTCCTTTCCCTCAGTTTCTCGCCGCGTGCCCTTCTTGAGCATGCGGGGAGCAATATGAGCTCATATGTGGCGTCCAGTGAACATTACCGACTTAGCCTTCCACTTGTGTCCCGTAGCAAAGAGAAATTCGAAGGGCGCACGTCTCTCGCCTGTTCGCGTCTACTCGATGGCACTCGGGGGGCAGGAGTCCTCAGCCGCGATGGTCCGCGTGTTTCCACGCAGGCGGTGGTGAGTCGTGCGTACCGCAAGCTGCTCTTCCCACCGGGCTTCTCGGCAGCACTGAACCTGAGCTTCTGTCCCCTCCTCAACCTGAGCAGCTGCCCAATCACCGAGAGCGCCGACGAGGTAAGACATCGGTTTTTCGGCCTTTCTTCTATATTTTATTTAAGGGGACGTTGAAGACAAATAAAAATTTTCAGGACTAGGGAGGTGAAGTATTTTCTGAAAGATTAAAAATGGTTTAGTTGAGTGTCCGTTATTTTTTCGGTCGCACGATTTAGCCACGAGACGAAAAATGTTTGCATCCAGTCATCAAACCCAAGGATCACTGCTGGGTTGGAACCCTACCTCTTGCCGTTTCACACTGAATAAACGTCGTACCGGCGAGCGGTAGTGTGATCCATACTGCCCGATTTACGTTACAAACCACCGGTGAGCAGTCGTACTGTACCGGCTACATATCTTTTCTACAGCGTTAGCCGGTGTTGCCATACCTCTAAGGCAACCCGGCGTCTTGTTGCCTAAATATTCATAATCTTATTTACTTTATTAGTGCCTCTATTTTCTTCGCCGGTCATTCGATTTAAACTTGTACGTAACGCATTTCTGGTACCTAGTAACTTTTTTACGCAACAAAGTAACGTCCTACTCGCTTTCAAGAGAAGGAACGAGTAACGTATTTTCGTTACTTTCAGATGGACTAGAGAGTAACAATATTCTCGTTACTTGTTGAGGAGAACGTGTGCGACACAAGAACCCAACATAGTTCTCACCTCAGCTCCTGGCTGTAATTTTCGAGGCAAGGAAACGCTAAATGGACCATAAGCAGAAGTGCACAAGATGTGTCAGTACGGGGAGAAATTGAGGGAGAGGAGGGGACGAGAGGGATGTCAGAACACCCAGCTCTGGCTGGAATGATTAGTGGGTAAACGCAACGCTTTGTCACCAAAGTGAGTGGAGACGTCCACTCACTTTTCGAACGTGTTCGACGAGTGCAGTGGAAGCAAAGGCATGCAGCTAGATTTGCATCTACCCACTAATCGTTCCAACCGGAACACTGTGTTCTGTCGTCCCTCTCGTCTGCTTCTCTCCCTTAATTTCTCGCCTCATAGCCAGAGCTATCCCTGAATGAACGCATTAAAAAGCGAGCAGTGATTGACGACGACGATTATTGAAAGCGGCTACTGCTTTATAAAAGCGACACATTCTGAGTAACGTGAAAATAACGCGGTAATTTTGAGCTGAGGTAACGCGTTCCTTTCGAATCGCAGAAACGAGTAACGTACCTAGTTGCTTTTTAAGTGAGTAACGAGTGATTTTTAACCTTTTTTTCGCTGGCGCGATTCTTGCCGCATTAAGATCTCCTCCGGCCATCGGGAGAGACTGACATAGAGAGGAAAAAATGACTCACGGCAGTTTCCGTCGTGGTGGCGCTAGGTACAGGGCTGCAAATCATTATCGTCACTTAAAAATGCGCCCGTTTGCCCGAATTGCGCTCGTTGAATCTCACCACAACACGCACTACTTTTTCAAGGAAGCGGAAGGTTGAAATCCGTGTGTGTTCTATCTTTGGTGCTTAATTTTACCCCTTGTTTCCGTTCTGTTGTTTCTCGCGTTTCTCAAGTGTTCCTCGGACGCCGTCTCGCCATGACTTAATTTGCTATTGGCAAGGTTTAAACGGCTCCGGCCCTTTCGCCACAGTGGAGTTTTTTGCGACAATTTCTGTCACTGCTTACTGATAATCAGGGCCGGATCGCAAGAAGTCTCGTCTTAGCAAAGGCAGGGTGAAAGAAAGAAGAAAGCACTGCCAGAGCCAGCGCACGATTTGTGTGACACTTGAATCGCGTCTCAACGCGATTCATAGTGATTACAGAATACGAGCTCTGTACCGCGTGCGCAAATGTGTAACGTTTCAGATGCTAATGTTAGCTCTGTGTCACCATCGTCTTACGGAACACTGGAGAGGCTATGATACATATTCGTTCTGCTGGGCAAACGAGCGCTTGGAAGGGCCGTAGGAGGGCTTTGCGCTCCAAGAATCTCGGAGGCCATGTGGGTACATCTCTGGTTCGATTGTGCAACACTCACTCAACCCTAGCGACACAGTAGAACGATCAGAAGGTTCCGGAGCAGCGAAGGGCGCGAGTCAGCACATACTTTCTCAAAGCCACAGGTGGACTGTGTCGAGGTGTCAGTTTCCACTGTCACAACGCTTATTGAGCCATTTTGTTGGGTTTCCAACGCCCGGCGCCTGGTTTCAGGCTCATACCACCAACAAATACCCCTCATCAACTGAAAACTATATGTTCACTGGAGGTCGCCAATGCTATGAGCTTGCGCTTCTAGCCTTTGCTGCGGTAAAGCATAAGTAAAACATAAGGTGAAACGGAGTATAATTGATCGGGGTTCGCCCCAAAAGAGCAAAAGATGGCGGCGTCTGCCGCACCGCCGCCCATGGCCAGCGTCGGCGAAGCACTAACTGTTGCAAAAGGTTTGGGCGGTATCTAGAAAAGTGTCGAAGCAGCAAATATTGTCGGAAGAGGTATGCATCGGGGCCAGAGCTGACGCTAGAACGATCACGGCACGTCGCGGAAGCTAAAGCTCGGCGAGGGCGGCCATTGTAATGTCGGTGGCGTAAGAATTCCTTTGTGTTTCTCTTAGCTTAAATTCTTGCGAAACGTTCTTACTGTCGTTTCTTTAGCCCCCCCCCCCCCCCCTCCAAAAAAAAAAACTTTTTATTATTTTTAAAGCGTTTATAATGAATGAAAAGTGTGCATATATTTAATTTGCATTGCTATTTAAGAAAGAAAAATATAGTGTGACATCAGTTTCCTTTCGTTTCGGTCTCAACTGTGTCCCTTGACGCTTGTCTCAAGAGGGATTGTTAGGCCCTTGTACCGTGTAACACCGGACGACTTACTTGAGCTCAATGACAGTTGGAAGATGCCAACGATCGTTGGCTTAAAGACAGTTAAGAGCGCTAGTGTAACTAGGGTATTGCAAGGGTATAAATGTTAGTCACTGGCCACCACAGCTGAGTCAATTCCACTTAGAAGACAACGCCTGCGCAAGACGTCATCGTTATGGATGAATGGATGAATGCGGCTGAGCCCTTTGGATGGGGCGGTAGCTTATGCCACCTAGTAGAGCCCCGACCCGCCCCAAGCGGCAAACACGCTGAAGCTCGACGACAGCCGCCGCGAAGTGGCAGACGCGTCCGTCTTGGCGTCGCCACATGCTAATGGCCGTGTTCCAAAATTTACTCGATCTTACTCCAGGGTGAGGGTTTTGTACCTTGGCGTTCAAAACCTACCAATGTCCAGCGTTTCTGAATATATGTTGACCCGTGACACGACCCGCTGGTGTACCTCGGGTCCATTTGGGTTAGATTTGGAACACAGCCAAGAGCTTGGTGTGAGACGCTGCAAGACACGCCGGCGGCGATGCTGACGAAAGGTAGCTGGTGCTACGTGGATTCACCTTTAAATCAACCGATGCCGATTGTATGCTGATGGCAAGCCCGCACAACACTTCCGCAATGTAGACTCAACGCTCAACACGGCATATTTTTTTTTAGTTGGCCGTTGTGGTAGTGACGTCAATTATGGCGTTTAATTAGTACCACGCTAGATAAGCTAGCCTTTTTTTTTTCGTAAAAGTTCTAAGTACATCTTTTGAACGAGCGTTTCCCTGTAATATTGTTTCACTTACACGATGATAAGCTATACGATTTCCTTTCTGTTTCACTTCCCAAGTCTGTAACACTCCCCTCACTGTGGTACGCCATAACACTGCTGTGTCATTTCGGTGGCTGCCCCTTCCCCACCCGTCGCAGTTCCTGATGTTCGCGTACAACCCGCTGTCGACCGCTGTGGCCACCTACGCCCGCTTTCCGGTCTCGGGTGATGGCTACGAAGTCTGGAAGCTGCCCGGAACCCTTGTCGAAGCACAGGTAAGAGCCACCGGTGTGTCTCAACACCTTTGATCCAGTACACCATCAGCCTTGCGTGTCTCTTGAAGGCGAAATGGTCCCCTTCTTTTTGACCCGCACTGAGCATCCGGCCAATAAGTGAGACTGCTTAGTCACGTTTAAATTTCCTTAATGAATTTTATAGCATCAGTACTATTGTGAACTCGCCTAACCATAGTCTGTTGCAACCTAAGAACTACCAGGATGGGCTGCGTTCCCGAATTCTCAGAAAAAGTGACGTTACAACCACCCTTAGTAGAAGGTACCGACGAACCGTTTTTGCTGACCTCACACAAAAGGTGCAGCGTCCTTCAGCACCCTTTTGGCGCATTCACACTGGAAGCAAATCCGCGTTCACAACGCGGTTGCGAACGCGGTTGTATAAATATCCAGTACAATTACACGCGCACTCGATGACATCAAGTGCGCGTGCAATTGCACTGAATCTTTATACAACCGCGTTCGCAACCGCTTTGCAAACGCGGATCCGCTTTCAGTGTGCATGCGCCATTTGCGTTCAAGACTAGCAACAAACACCATCTTGGACGACATTCAGACATGTCAGATGCAACTCGCTAGACTGGTTTGAGCAACAATTGCAAGCTATGAAACTTTATGGCCTCCTGGCGTCAATCAGAGCAACGCAGCTAAGCATGGGACGGATCTCCGCTGGAGAGTAATGTAGGGATACGTTAAGAGTGCCACCGCTAAACAAGAAGTAGAAAAGGCTGTTTGTGAGCGAGCGCGCTGTTGCGGAAGATCTCTGCCCTTTTCTTTCCCGCTGACCTCGCACTGAAAAAAAGGTTGTCGACAAAAACATCTTGGATCAACATAATGCGCTTAGGTGAAGCACTCAAATTTGGGCCGTAATGTTTGGAATTTGTTGCTATCGGCCGTGTGCAAAACGGGAACGCGCTTTGTGTCCACGCTGTGTGGTGGCAGCCAGTGTTGGGTGGTAATGCGTTGTAAGTAACACGTTATTTTAACGTGGTTACTTTTTGGTACTTATGAACGTAGCGCTTTACAGTCTTCAAATGTAACTCGTAACTGTAAGTGCATTCATTACTTTTTCTGAAATAACGATGTAAGTAACGACGTTGCTTGTGTCGTTACGTTTCACAGTTTTTTGAGGATTGGGGTATCATCGCATGATGCGATCTAGCCATTTCTTGCACTTTTCAAAATGATATGCTTCGACATTTTGAGCGTCGTGCTCACCTTGCGCCAACCTGCGAATATGGAGTTCTTCACAAGTCACGGCCCGGCTATAGCCACCTGCGAACGTGGTGCGAAAAACACACTTATCTTTACTTAATTTCCCGTTATGAAAGAGCAACTAAAAAGTAGTTACTGCTTAAAAGTAAACGTAACTGTAATGAGTTACTTTTTTATTGTTGTAGCTGTAACGGTAACTTTGTAACTTTTTTTCTAGAAGTAAATATATACTTTTTAAAATACCCAAGACTGGTGGCAGCGTCCGTGCCAGTCGTCGTCGGGGCGTGTCGTTAAGCATCGGTTACATTGGTCATACTCATGCATCATTCAAAAGACACGGTCTGCAGACACGATAACCATCTGCGGACAGGCCTAAATCACGTTCGAGGAATGGAACATGTCTGCAGACAGTTTTTGTCCGAACAGTGTCATACGAGGAAGACCTCAGACAGTGTCTGCGGACTGTCTTTGGTTGTACGATGTGCTAGCAGTGCGACGGCGGCTCTATCGCTCTCGCAGATGGTTCCCGTCTCGGAGAAGGTGCTCAGGATCCCCGAGCGCGGAGCCCGGTCCAAGTCGAGGAAGGAGATCGTGTTCCCGATCTCCCTGCCCCCGCTGGGAGTCACCACGTACCTGCTCAAGAAATACGCGGGTAAGCCGGGCCCCCCCGAGCTTCATCGGTGTGCCTGTCCAAATGTCTGTCGACTCAATCGCCTTGTTTAGTAGTCGGCAGTGGAAATCACACATACCGAACAAAACACCGAGACTGAAGCCAACACACGCAGCAAAGTTTAAAACCTTCCTTTTTTTTTTCTTTTTTTAAACCGTAGTTGATTGAGCGAGTTTGTTTATTATTAAAAGTACAAACAGTGCCACGACACGGACGAAGCAAAAGTGAGCTCTAAGGTTATAGAAAAACACGTATTCACGAAAGAATGCCAAAACAGATTTGTGACTCGCGTAATGGGTGTCGTATACTTTATATAGGGCCACTTCGCTGTTACTATCGGAGAGGGAGTGTTACTTTCTAGATCGGATAAGGCCGCTGCGCGCAAGTTACTTTAGGAACGCGTGACCTCTACCTTTTCTATGTTTTTTCCCCTGACTTGTTATTATATATATGTATAGTCAATGTCGGCACAAATTAAATTTAGTTGTAAGATCGCCCTGGTGTTTGTCTGTCTTCTTTTGTGAGCTCTTTTTTAAAGGGTGTGGGAATCGAATTCGAGTCGAATATGGGCGAATAGTGGCCTTGCGCTTCCTGTTAAATCCAGCTCTGGCTTTGCCGGAATCTAGTCGGAGCGGCAAGGCCTTTCGCGTTCACGCTGTATCCGTCTCTTCCCAGGATATCTCCCACGTGACAGCGAGGACAGCGCGGTCTACAATGGCGGCAGTGAAGCACCAGCCATCGACAACGGCGTACGTATATTCACCCACGGTTTTCTGCGTTCAAACAATCTGGTTAAACGACGCTAAACCGAAATTTGTGAAACGCTTCCACAAATCTCAAAATCGAGAGGCCTCGGCGGTCGAGTGTGCGAGTGAAAGCTCAGAATATTTCACGTCTCTAAGTAAATGAGCGATGAACCATCGATATGGTCCGTAAAGTCGCAAACACGCTATGCGGAGGGCAAGTTCGTCTGCTTCTCGCGCAGGGGGTAGCGGTGACGTCAGAACGCCGAGCCCTGATTGGCTGATCGCGACCCCCTGTTTGAGCGTCGTCTGCTCCATTGCAACGTCGTCTGCTCGCAACGTCGTCTGCGTCTCTCTTACCTTTCCTGCGACTTTCGGAAGTGCAGAGGCCAGATTCACGAAACGATCTTACGCCAAAAATGTGCGTAAGACAAAACTTAAGAACAAATTCGTATTCACGAAACGAAATTTTCGTAAGTTTTGCGCAGGTTACGACGAAATCCTACGACAGCTCCGAAGCTGTCTTACGCACTTCTTACGATCAAATCAGCGTGGCCGACAACGTCGCGGTCGCGACAACCCACGGACGTTTATTTTTTTACGTGCGGTTCTGACGCGTCCCGACTTCAAGCAGCAAGAAAAAAGTAAAAAGTACTTGAAACAGACCACGACGAACAAGAACGCTGGATCCACAAACACCCGGGAAAAGCTCCCACGGCCACGATCCCACCGAACGCGACCAAACGAGCTGGGCAGTTAGGCCTAGCAGGCTCTCCGCGAATCGGCGACCGTCTGCCCACGACCGGCTGGCGTGCTGAGTGGAAAATGCCCGCGCGACCCTTGTGAACCCTTTCCGTATAATATTTTGATTGCTGACCTCAATTTTAGATTAAGGGGTCAATTTCTTCCTCTTGTTATCTCCTTGTTTCCCGAGGCAACGGTGACTCTCGCCGATGAAAAAGCGGTGAATCTCCGACAGACGCAGCAAAGGTAAAGCAGCCATCGCTTTGACCGCTTTGACTAGCAGACGTAAAGCAGACGACGTTAACTGCGCCAACCCGCCGACGCCGTTAAAGAGTGAGGGGTCTCGCCGCACACGAATGGAGGGAAAAAGTATCTGGGAGGGAACTTGGCTCGGTTCTAAGCAAAAAAACCTCGGCGCCCCGGGACACCTCGCCAGGGAGTCCTTTGACTTCCCTCCTTGATGCGCGTCTGCTAGTTGTTAGACAAAAACAACGTACCGCTCGAGTTATTTCGTCTGCCCTCTCTGAAAGGCGAGGTCGAGTTCGCTCCGAGAGTCGCAGGAAAGGTAAGACAGACGCAGACGACGTTGCGAGCAGACGACGTTGCAAAGGAGCAGACGACGCTGAGATAGGGGGTCGCGATCAGCCAATCAGAGTTCAGCGTTCTGACGTCACCGCTACTTCCTTTCTTATGCGCAGAAGACGAAAATGAGCCCACTTGCGAGGCGTATTAATCTTCAGACACTGTCCGAAGCGTGTTCCTTCCTTGTTCACATTGGTCATACAAAACCTGTCTCCAGACATGCTTAAAGCGAGCAAACATACTGGGAACATACTCGAGGCCTGTCTTTATAGTGTGACTGCCACTTAAGATTCCAGAAATCTTCCGTATGTGCATCTGACACATCCGAAAGAGACGGTCGTCCACGGCAGGCGCTGTCTAGCGAAGCTGGACTCGATGTCCGTACCACAGCCCGCGTATCAGCAGGCTGTCGCATGGAGCCGTCGTAGCGATCCCCGCCGTTCCCTTTGCGTAGAAGTACCGGCTGTTCGTGGACCCGGTGACGGGGCTGCTGGAGCGCGTGCTGGTGCTGTCCACGAGCCAGGAGATCCCGTTCCGGCAGTCGATCTTCATGTACCGCGCCTACGAAGGCCTCTCCGAGAAGCCGTCGGGCGCCTACTCCTTCAACCCGGCCACGGAGGAGCCCCTGGACCTCGGCGGCAGCGTCAACTACTCTCTCGTCAAGGTGAGGCTCAACTGGCCGCCCGGGTGGCCACGTCTTGGACGCCCAAATAATTCTCACTGTGTATGTTTCATTGTTTCACCTTTCCACAACACATTTTGTGAGAAGAACATGCTGCTGTACATTAGGGGTGTGCGAATAACGAAACCACGATTATACCTTGCTATAAATAAAACTTGAAGCAAATGAAAAATTATGTTTTTGAGAAAATCGGTAGCCAACTTGCTAGATTTCTTTGCCCATTTGAGTCACTACTAGGCTGGGCCAAATCATATCGTCAACGACTGTATTTTCTGAACCGTTTCGCACCACTGAACTAATTTTTCTCCGCGAGAACAAGTACGGATAACCACCAGCAAGACGCAGTGACGTCACGTGCAAGTCGCGTATGCTCTCCGCGGCACAGATAACATTGCACGCAGTGTTGGCGGACAACGCGTTACAAGTAACGGCGTCACCCGTAACGCGTAACTGTTATCGGTAACATAGTAGCGTACTCGTTACATTCTCAAGACAGAAACCGATGACGTAATTGCTTATTCTGAGTAACGGGAGACGTAGTTGCCTTATTCGTTATCTCTTCTTCTCGAGACTTAAGAAAACTAATCCTCAATTTATTTCGTGTTTCTAGGCGCCAATTCATATGAGTTCTCGCACTCATGCCACATACCTTTAAAATTGTTTCTTGAAATGCGGCACTTACGCATTCCTGCAGTTTCAAAACAGTAAAACATTTTAAACACAAAACACATTCCTTTAAAACATATATAACTCAGTCCTATCATAGTCTCCACTGGGGGACTGATAGTATTATGAAATAAATAAATAAATAAAAAATCATAAATAAAAAGTAACGGAAAGGTAACCTGCAATATTTTTTTAAATCGGTAACTGGAACGCGTTCCTTTTATGTTGAAGCAACGTAGATTGGTAACGCGTTGCTTTTATTTGCGAATAACGTATTTCGGTACCTTTTTTTTATCGGTAACGCGTACAACACCGATTACACGTCATGTAAGCGAGCTACAGGGTGGCTGCTGTTCTTCCCCCCGCCGGTGCGAACAGGGGCCGCTGGTGCAGGAGATCCACCAGTCCTTCAGTCGGTGGGTGTCCCAGGTGATCCGTCTCTACAAGGACCAGGACCTCATCGAGTTCGAGTGGGTCGTGGGCCCCATCCCTTTCTAGTGAGTCCTCCAATCACGCGCTGGGAACGAAACGCTAGGCGGCACCTAGACTTTCGTCTATATGCAACACTTTAAAAGTAACACTTCAAACTCAATTTTCGCAGTTACAGTTACCTGAGTTGACATATTACTTATACTTATATTCACCTCAAGAACCATGGTAAAACAAAAGTCCAGCTCATCGCGGAGCATTAACCATTTCGCCCTCCATGCGCCGAATGTAAAACCTCCTAAAATTGCTTCGCACAGCGCAGGACGACTGCGCAACATTTATCTTTTTTATGTTACAACGAGTATCGTAACAAATACTGCGATGTGATTATAAATTTACCTAGATGCAGCATTCACTTCGCTTTCAGTAACTCAAAAAGAACAAAAGAATATGATCGCTGACCAAAGATTCAGTTCCTGACGCGGAAAAGATGTCGACAGATTGCAGCGTCACGATGTTGAAAGTTTGCCAGATAGCCTATTTCTTTTCTCTCTTATTTCTATATTGACAGAGTTTCGTTTTTAGGGTGCCTTCATGTGCGCTTTGCTTGGGGTGATGACAACTGGCCATTTTGTTTCGAACGCTGTTTTTTTTTATTTTTTTGTTTTAAAGCGCGTGAAAGAGCGTGTCCCTGCACGCGTTCCTGGCGCTGACTGTGCTAAAGCGACATTTTGTTTCCTGCAATTTCTTTGTATTTTCTCTGTGAGCGCGTGCTGTCGGCATCGGGTACTAGAGAAGATTGCATCACTCTAAACAGAAGGACACTGAGGCACTCTATTCGTTTTTATCCGGCATCTGCAGTGCGCAGTGCCAAATCCTAACGTTAATTTAGTTGAGACTCGTGTTTTTGCGTAGTTTTCAACATACGAAGTTGTAAGTTATACTCCACTTACGTAGTTGGGTCATTCTCCCGAAAAGTTAGGCATTGATGTGATTGACGTGTAAGTTTAATAATTCTTAGATATCATCATGTCTGATTTGTGTCTAGGATAGCGTGGTGGTAGAGGTTTCTGAAAACAAATATTTCGGAGTATTTCTATAGGGAGTATTCACTGGCGGCCATAGCTGTGTGCGCGAATGGTGAGCGCGTGCTGACGGCCAGCTTCCACAGTTCTTTTGCAAAGTGCATTCCGCACCATCAAGAGTGCCGGTCTTAGCAGCCTATTGATGTGAGCTCGTTCTGAGCATGCGCTCTAAACAGCACCTACAAATATGGCGTCCAGTGAATACTCCCTATACAGTCGGTGACATGTTAAGAAGCCAGTAGATCGTCCGCCTCGAGCTTCCTGCTTTTGCTAACACTTGTTCGCGCGAGCAACCAAAGCCCGGCGGAAGGCGACGAGTACGTGCTGGCTTGTGAACCTTTTCAATGTTTACAAAATCGCAGCCCAGCGTGCGATCTTCACAGCCAAGCACGTGCGTGTTCTTCGCTTTGGAAAACGAGTAAAGCACGCGTGATGCGCACGAACACTCGAAATGGCAACGGCCATACGCTCTTTTTGGGAAAGGTCTATAGTCAATATATGTGTAGAACATATACAGTTAGGAATACCTCCTGTGTGAAATTTTGGCAATAGGGCTGTATCCGTGAACTACTACAACAGTTTCAATAGCTTTCAGTTGAGTCCCCGCAAATCGAACAATCATAAGCATAATTCGATGAAGTAGAATCCCATCATCAATTTTCGTGTGAAATGATCATATAGTGTTCAGTGTTGCTAAGGCATTTGTGCTTTCGATAATAGCAACAATAAGCAGCTGTGACCTTTCAAAATGTCAGTATAGTATAACGAAAAAAAATATAAATTAAGTTTAAAAAACCTCTGCCCATCATCTTTAGCATCATTACGCGGAACTTTCAGCCCTCTTTCATAAAAGCCTTGCCCCGAGTGATTTTGACTGTATGAAAAACGCCAATATTTTATAAGCTCGGGAATAAACAGAAATAATGGCGCACTTGACCTCAGAGCTGTAACTAAAATGTTCGTCTTATTCGCTTTATTTGCGTTAATGAGAAACAAGGAGAATCGATCATGCTGATATGCCTTGCTGTTGTGTAAAAACTAAGTGATCCCAACGAAGGGTTCTGCTGTACAGTTTAAATTTTCTTGAAATGTCAGTCTCGTCACGGGTCCGTCGTGTGACTCGTGTTACAAATCAGTGGCATCACGGGCCATCCGCACCACGGGTTGACCAGTGACACCGGCCGGTAATGCGAGCCACCGCGGCTACTCTCTTTGCCTGGAGACGGCTAAAAAGCCAGCTATAGCCGTGACAAGCTACGGCTAGAGCTAACCTTTTTGCCGCCCCTCTACATCTGGCCTGCTGTAGCGGATTCGTTTCTTTGCGGACGTTTTCTATAAAAAAATTTTCTAGAGTGTTTTTATTTATATATATAATGCCTTTTTTTATACTCGTATTCACCCCGAGAAACGCAGCAAAAAAGGAAAGGCCGGCTTCTGGGTGTAACATCACTGATTTACTCCTTAACGTGGTGAATTAAGGGATACGTGGGTGAATTTTAGATTAGCTTGCCGTCATTTTATGAAGACGTACTCGTTTCAAACGCCAAAAGCATAATGTCTTCCTCCGACAACCAAATCTTGAAAGAACTACTTCGTGCAGCGCATCGATAATGCGGAAAACTTCGTTTTGCTTTTCCTGGTGTGACAACGAGTATAGACGATTTTTTTTTTTTTTTGTAGCCAGATTTTTTTTATAGCTCGCTCTAAATATGTTAGTGCACCTTATTTCGCACAGGGCACGAAAGCCGCACTCACACTGCTAATGTACATCAGACAGTCTGCAATCAATGTCTGACGCGTGTTTCTTCCTTGTACGAATTTGGTGGAAGAAAAACTGTCGGCAGACGATGTTCGAAGCATGTATGAAGCAAACAATCTCCGAACATGCTTGAAGCGTGCGAGTAATTCCGTCATCGTGTATTTCGTGTAATGCACGAGCAGTGTGAAAAGCGAGCCAATCATTGTGATCTGCCAAGGGTGCTCGGCGAGTGGCGAAGAAGAATTTGCTATGTTACAACCGAGCGTTACATAGCGTGTGAAAGGTCTCGCTCATGGCCACATAGCAGGCTACATTTTAAAGCCAAGATTCTAGGCCTCATCACTAGCCCAGCTTCCTTTGTGATGGTGTTGGACGTAACTCGTTACAACCATGCAGTTTCCCCGCTAAATTCAGCGGGAAAATGTACGTCACGAGACACCCCGATTCTTTCACCAATTCCCTATAATGCATTTCGTGCATTATAGCGTTTCGAAGGGAAGGATCGCTGCCAACGTTCACTTATTTATGATAGCGGGCACAACCCTGCTGTGTGGACTGCCGTGGTCAGTTTTCTGAGTGCACTGAGGGAAAGTAGGCGTACTGGGGTTGTTTAGAAAGATAAGTGCACCCACTTTATATAACGGGGAAAACAAATCCATTCGTTTTGCGTCTCGTCCGGGGGGGGGGGGGGGGGGGGGGACATCATCAGTAATACAGTGGGAGCAACTGTCGTCCTTTATACCTCACGATGCCTCCCGCGTGGAAAGCCAAACATTGAATTTTCTCTTTTCTTTCTATATGCAACAAGACGGTGTTTTTCTTTTTTTTTTTTTAATTTATTAGTGTTATGCGTCCCGAGTTTCGGAGTATTTGGGCATTATCAAATTAATGCGGGATTTTCGCCAGTTGACCTTTCTACGTTATAAAACAAAAGCGTGAACATTTTCCGATCAAGGGGAAGATACGTGTGAACAGTGTAAGAAATAGTGGGTCAATTGCTTATTAATCAATTTATTTATATTGTTTGTTTAAATTACGGGCTCAGCTAGAGTTACAATTGGCGCACTTTCTAGCAAAAACTGCATCTGACCAATGACAAACCAAAATCTACGCATTTGTACCCAATAGACCGATCTCACTATAAGCGGTCCACGCACGCGTGACGCCGCCACGATCTTAGCTCACCGGCGGCATGGCGGCAGTGCATGAGAGTGCCCTCTCTTGCTCTGCACACCCAAGGCTCCAGCGGGGTTGTCCTACGTGCAGAAAGACCAAAGTTCCCTCGATGCGCTGCGGCAGTGACGGCGTAACAAAACTGTCTGGTGAGATCGGCCTATTATCGCGCCAGAGTAAACAGAATTCAAATAGCAGCAGCAAATAATCCAGAGTGTTTGGAACCATTATCAGTTCACGCTTAGCTGGTGAAACATGAAAAGTATAATTCTCGGGAAGGCTCCGGCAAGGCAAATGGCAGCTGATAAGAGACAAGAACAAACGGTAGACGTAGAGCAAAATAATTTTAAATATTACTTCAGTCAAAATACATCGCGCTGCATATATAGTAATTACTCGGATTGGTTTTAAAATCTCCTCTAGATTTGGTGGCGAAACTTATAGGTCTCCCGGACTGTTAGGGAGTTGTATCGAGGCATTGTGACAGGAACGGGTCGTCCCCGAACGATTCATCCAAATCACTACCCATGCTCACGCGAATCCCCCGACAACATCGCGATCCGTTTCTCCCTCGTCTTTCCCATTCCGGCCGCCGGAACCGTCGCCTTGGACGACACGGCGGAAACACAAAATGGCGTTGGCGTCGGTGACTGGCTCCGCAAAGCGTTAAGCTGCGCTCACACTGCTCCTACATGGCACAAGACACCACGTTCGCTGCAGATATAATGATATCATTATCATGCATGTTCCAAGCATGTTTGCTTGGAACATGTCTGTACACTGTATGATCAATGTCCATACAAGGAAAAAACACGCCTCAGGCAGATGTAGTAGCACGAAGGCCATTATCCATCCTTGTACCCTTTACTTCGTTTGAAAGCCCAGGGCTCACGATTGCAAGAGATTGTGAAGGCTGTAAACTACACGTGTGAGTAAATTTCCGAATTCTAGCTAACTATAGTCACCGTGGCGACCGCGAGAAGACGGCAAGACGCCACATGACTTGAGCAATCGTTCCCGTTCGTGAGGATAGGCATCGCCTACCTTCCTGTCTGTCAGACAGATTTTACTGTATTTGAAAAAGGACAAAGCTCTCGAAATTCGGACCGGTAGATGTTACATCGGCCGTCCTGCTTGTGTCGGCATGCCAAGCCATGAAACGTGCATGTGTGCCACGACTTTGGACGCAGCCGGTAAACAGCTTCAAAGAACTTGTCCCGACAGTCGCTGATCAATGGCTACCTGGAACCACTTTACAACTACCAGAAACATATGAAATATGTTTCTTATTTGTCTGGAAACGCAGATTATGGCGGCAAATAGCTGTAGATAGAATTCCCATAAGCTTCGGTTGAATAGGCATTTCCGTGAAATGAACCGTGGCGTGATACCCCCTACACCAGGGCAAAACACGTTCTCTTGAAAATCGCGACTATGCTTTTACGACGCTGCTGACGAACTTAATTTCGCCTTTAGTGTTCCACAATACTTGGGCGCTTCGGAGTTCTGGGAATCCCGTACGCCATCTCGCCACATACACATGTTGGTTTCTGAATAGTCCTAAACGTTCCCTTCCAAAGCGGCACGCGGTTTCCGATGCTCCAGCCCTACCTGGAGCGGACACTCTGCGCGAATCTTCTTACGATAAGCCCCAGTGGACTGCACATCATTGAATTTCCAGACATTAGCCCTTGGATACTTGTTTGTGTTTTTCGTCTTAGCTTATATATTTTGTCTATTTTATTGTAAAGCTAAGCCAAAGTACAAGGCTTGGACAGAAACCAGAAACCCAGTGGAGGCCTTAATTCACAATGCGCCAAAAACAGTCTGCGGACGCTGTCTGAGGCATGTTCCTTCATTGCCCGACAGTCATGAAGCATGCGTACGTATGAAGCAAACATGCTTTGAACAACCGTGTCCGCAGACGATTCTGCTACCATTAGCAGCGGGACTGCGGCGTTCGAGTAGTAAGCGTCGTTTCTCCAAGATACCCTTTTTAGGAACGTAGCTCGTTCGGGTCCTGAGGAAGCTAATTCCCCTTACGGAACATCGGCCGCCACCTCTATGTAACTTCCAGGATCTTTTCCAAGCCCCCTGTTTGACCACGTGCGAGGATAGGCGGAGCTTTACATCGGCGTTTTCTTCCTCCAGCGACACCCGAGGCCTCGGAACGGGCAAAGAGATCGTGTCCAGGTTCCAGACTTCCATCCCGAGCAACAGAACCTTCTACACAGACTCCAACGGCCGGCAAACCGTCCGCAGAGTGTGAGTGCCTGGCCCTGGTTGGGCCGCCATGGCGTCTTTGTTCTTCTGCTTCGAGCCTCGCGTGTAGCGTTCTCCCTAAGTCGCGGTCACACTGCTCATACGCGTGAGACAGTCTGCAGACACTGGCTGAGGTCTTCCTTGTATTCACGTTGGTCGTACAAGAACCGTTTGCGGACATGTTGGAAGCAAACATTAAGCCACACACGCATTGCTACTGACATAATGGCAGGATTATCTGCGGCCTCGAGCATGTTGGAAGCATGGTTGCTTCTTACATGCTTCGAGCACGTCTGCAGACTGTCTTTTGTATGACCCATCTGAAAAGAAGAGACATGCCTCGTGTCTGCGGACCGTCTTTTTCTATTGTGTCAGTTTGACGGCGGCTTTATGACAGTTAATATTGCATTTCTAGATTGATCCTAAAGTGTTCGTATTGAAAATTCACGAGAAACTCGACGGGTAGTGTGTTTCGCAACGGGAACTAAATTGAGACTACATACTGAGTTTTCTTTCGAATATACTACATAGCTTTACATTACAGCTTTTTCTATGTATACTCTGGACGAATATTTCAATTTGGATCGGTCGTATGGACGTGGTTCTGCTTTCTGGTCGCCGATGCACGGGTCTCTCCCGAAAAAGTTAGTCGTTAGATTGCAGTTTAGCAGGTATATATCGTGACAGACGGTGAGGTTTGCTTTTTTCTGATGTGAGCACGTTGGTGTAGCATAAAGACCTAAGAGCTAACTAAGCATGGAAGGGCAGGACACGGACAGATGTGCTGTCCTTGTTTTACCTCGGGCCTCTCGCGTTACCTTCTCCTTAGAACGAAGACAGAAGCAGCGATCTGCAGGGAAGCAGAGGCTCGCTCTGAACCCGGACGCCTTCATTAGAGATGTCCCGGGGCCACGACTCCTTCGTGATAAAGTCCCGTTGGAAAGTTTCTGCGGGGCGCTCTCGAGACAAATTGCTTCTTTTTATACGTGCCCCGTGCCGTTCGTCAAAGCCCAGCTTTCGTACTTTTCGTACGGCGTCGTTCCGTAGCCCTCGGGGCGTGATAAATCAATAACTAACGACGCTGCGTGGAAGAAAAAAAAAAGTAAATCTAGGCGCGCTTGACACGAGCAATTCGTATGCAGTAAAATATGGCGGCGCGTATAAGGGAGCCAAGAAAAAAAAAAACTCATATTTCCTAGGATTCGATCGCGATTTTGAGCATTTTCGGCAGGTTTCTGCGGTTCGTGCTTTTTGTTTCTAATTTGTGGTGGGCCTACACGCTCGACTAATTGCGAGCTCTTATGGGCTTCTTCGTTAAGACGCAAATGCATGGCACCATCTGTCGCAGGAGGAACGTTCAGAGACCGTGGACAAAGAACATCACGGAGCCCACGTCATCCAACTACTATCCAGTTGTCTCTTGGATTTACCTCAAGGTGCGCTCACAAATAAGTTATTACTTTGCCTTTCTTTTTTTATATATAGTATATAAGTTCGAAGGAAGCAAACATTCTTCGAATATTCTTGAAACCTGTCTGCAGATCATGTTGTCGTAATGTCTGCAGTGAGCGTGTCTTTTGCGTGATGTACGACTCTGAGCTGTGCGGCTGAACACACCGGTGGCCTTTCTGCTTGCAGAGCGACGTTCACAACCTGCAGATGACGGTGTTTCCAGACAGACCCCAGGGAGGAACCAGCTTGCACAACGGCGAGATCGAACTCATGGTGGGTGCAGCATCAAAACGCCCGGTCGCTTATGCAGAGTAGAGACTTCACGCGGAGAAACTGAAACCCTGTTTTCTGGCCCGCATAATTGGAGTACGTTTCGCAGAAACCTAAAACTTCGTGCGAATGTGACGCGAGAGGTGGCGATAAAACGCCAATGTTCGGATCATGTACGTTACTTGAATCAAATATTAATTAAATAAGAAAAAAAGAAAATTTCCCACAGGCAAAAAAAAAATGCCAGGCTACGCCACTGACTCGAGGGTAGGTGGTTTGAACGCGACAGTCTCTAATTCGAGGTTTGTTGCGGGTGGCGATCTCCTTGTTGGCAGCTCCATCGGCGGCTGCAGTACGACGACTCGTTCGGCGTGGAGGAGCCCCTGAACGAGATGGGCGTGGACAGCGAGGGCCTGATCGCCAAAGGAAAGCACCTGGTGTTCCTGGGCTCGGTCGCAGAGTCCCAGCGCAAGCTGCGTACCGTCGGGAACTCCCTGGTCTACGCGCCGCTCTACGCCTTTCAGGACGAACCCGCTGAGGTCCCCATCTCGACGGTGAGTCACCGACGCCGAGTCCTTCGTCGAGTGCTTTTTAACGGAACCCCCAATCCCAAAATTTTTATCCCTTCATCCGTCCGTTCATTTTTCGCTATATTTAGCGGGGAAATTGACGTTACGTGACCTAACCTCACGTAACCGATGCACAAGTTCAGTCTAGACGCTAAATTTAGCGGGTAAATTGATGTAACGTGACCGGACGTCACGCAACCTGTGCACCAATTCAGTTTCAACGTTAAATTTAGCGGGTAAATTGACGTCAGTTTCTTCGCCAAATTTAGCGGAGAAATTTATAAAAAAATATAGGTTCTTCACCTTCCGAAACGACTGTTCAATGTCTTTTGTGTACATTTAAATGATCGCTCTTCAAATGCCGCAATTTATTAGGTTTTTAAGAAGCCCACTTTTATCTATTTCGTCGCACCTTTGCACACTTCGTGCGTTTGTTTACCCTCCAAAGCCACTCATGTGCTTCTGTTTCCCCCGCGACCTCAACCGATATGGCTGCGCGTGCTTTGGCGCGTTCTCTCTGATGCCCTTCCATTGAGCAGTCCCTCCATGCGCTCCGATGGGCCAAAGACGCATTGTGGCACACTTTCTGGCCGTATAAAAAAAAATGATAGCCATATGGACACAAGAAGTTACTTTCAACACGAAGGCGTAGGAAATCTGGACAAATGCCTTCTCCGAACACAGTTGTCACTTGTCTTCCGCTTATAACAATAAGCATATTTAAATTCCGTAACTCCTGCGCACATCGTTCCTGTAATCCCGAAGGAGCGAGGGGATTCAACGCCCCTCTTTTTTGACACTGGCCACAGACTGTACGTAATACATACGTCGTAGGCCTCATCGCATTGACACCTTTTATCGTGGCCAATCATCGCGGTCCCGCATTTTGATTCTGGAGGAACGTCCCGGACTTCTTTTATTACTGGCATTTTGGGTTTGGAGGAAGAGACGGAAAAGGAGTCTCCTCGATGCGTCACGAACGGAAGCCCGACCTGTGGCTACAGAATACTCAGCTTCTTCAATGTCCCTTCAAGATGGAAGCACCTTCTTAAAATAAATACTAAAGAAATTTAACTGCCGAGCAGAGCAAGAATACAATATTTTGTATATCCTGATGTACCCTAGTTATACTCTAGTTACACGGGCACGCTCAACCGAAGTTAGGTCACCCTTAACTGCAGTGACGCTCAACCGTAGTTACCACACTACGCGGAGAACGAGTCGTCTGCTTCTTCAGCAGGAGTTGCGGTGACGTCAGAACGACGCCAAGTTCTGATTGACTTTGACTGTAAGGATAGTGGGTAGACCTCAATCCGAAATGCCTCGGGGTGTACCCGCTATTTTTTTTTTTTTTTCAATCTACCAATAAGATTTTGGCATTCTGACATCATCGTAAGCAGCTGCAAGAAGCAGACGAACTGGCGCTCCGCATACTCTCGGACAGCTATACCAGAAGTGAAGAGTGCGCGTGCACAGCTTTGATGAACGCTCAAGATGCGCAAGTGCACGTGCGGTCATAGCTTTGACTGCATAACCACAGAATCTTGTTCAAGACTATAGTTTGCTAGCTGTTGTTAAGCGTAACTTGTGCTCGTGTAACGATAGGTATTATACGGGCACCCTTAATCACAGTTATATGTGGTTGCAGACGTAACTGCGGTTAAGGGTGTCCGATGGTCATCATAATCCACAAGTACGCTTAAGTATGCGCAGGAGTTATTCCCAACTATACCCCAGTTAAGGTGTATCCACACGACGGACCAAATTGCTGTTTTGGTCCGCGGGCCGCGCATCACGTAATCTTACGTCACCGCTTTTCGAGGTCCGCCGGCGGTCCGCGGCCCGCGCTTGTGAGAAATGTCAAGCGCTTTTCTCGCCCGGACCTTGGCGGCGGACCGCGGCGTTTTTAGTATAATTGAAGTGCTAAGTCTGGCAACAAGCTGACTTTTGTTTGGATTGGAATCCAAATCCAACGTCGTCTTCTTTTGGCGCCAACTGTTCAAGACGAAGAAGACGAACCTTTTGTTGTGCGACGATGGCGGCATGGTGCGACGATGCAACTTTTTTACTTCATCGCGCTCGTGGAGCTATTCCCCGCTCTGTGGGACAATAGATGCATGCCCTTTTCGGTTCACTTAAGTCCTCCTCGTCCTCAATAGTCAACGCCAGGGCCACCGCGGCCAAACGTCTCTTTCGTTCAACCTCCATCTTGGCTCCTTACAAATAGCCTCAAAGCAGCTCGCTGCATGCGTTTGACGGAGCTGTGAGGTCGAGGGTTATACCGGCCCGTTCATTCTGTCGTCTGCTCTTTTGGTCCGCCGTGTGGATGCTCATTGCAGCCGGGCGGCCCGCGGGCCGCGCATCACGTGATCAATCGGTCCGCGGCCCGGTCCGTCGTGTGGATACACCTTTACAGGTGCACCCTTAACAACTCATAAGTCTGACCTTAGTCACACTTAACTGCGGTTAAGGGTGCCCCTGTAACTAGGGTAGAATTGGCAAGAACCAATTATAAAAGAATGCGAACCCCCGAATGCCTCGCACGAAACAGCTGCCGCTCGTCCTGGTCCCTTTGCGCCGGCCATTTCAAGCTAACGACGAGACCCGTGCTGGATGCAGCGGATGAAAGATTCGCTTCTTGGCTCGGTGCAGGTGAGCGGCCTGGACTGCCCGCTGCCGGCCAACGTGCACCTGCTCAGCCTGGAGCCGGTGCGCGAGGACCAGTTCATCCTACGGCTGGAGCACCTGTACCCGGGAGTTCTAGACGAGGAACTCAGGAGACCGGCTACCGTGTCACTCAAGGTGAGCACCCCGTTCCGGCAGGACTCGTCCTTCACCCTCAAGCAGCGGTCACGCTGCTCATGCATCATACAAAAGACACGGTCTGCAGACACGATGACAGAAGTATCTGCAGCCTCAAACATGTTGGAAGCCCATTTGCTTCGCACATGCTTTGATAATGTCTGTAGACAGTCGTTTGCATCACCAGTGTGACCGTGCCACAAGGAAGAAACACGCCTGAGACAGTGTATGCTTACTGTCTAACGTATGCTGTATCATCAGTGTGACGGCGGCTTAAAGGCTGCCTGACGTTCCACTAGGGCGCGTTGGCGGACCTCGCTTGCCGTAACAACCATCTTTTCGCAAGCAGTCATGGCCGGTCGTAGCGGAGTCGGTCTCACTCAAACGCAAATGACTGAACCAGCCTCGAGTAGTTTCTGACGTGCACTTGTGAACCAGAATACTTAATCCTTCTAGGTGGGAAAGCGTCATTCTTACCTCTTACAAAAGGGATCGGTGGCCGATTGGGCTAGTGCACATCAACTCGGAGCGCGTGAAGCGGAAGCTCGCGCTGCGGAACCCAGGGATCTTGGGTTTAATCCCGAGCCCTGCCCGTTTTGATTCGGATCAGCATCGTACCAGCGTGCGGTCGTGTGTGACTACTGCGTGGTGCACGTTAAAGTCCCAAGGCTATCGGTTTTACTGCACTGGCTAAATTTCTCATCTACAGCTAAGACACCAGACGCCCTTTGGGGCTAACTAGCACAATTACACTTCTTGCCTCTTACAGTGTGTTGTGGAGTTGGGGCTACAGTGTGTTGTGGACTTGGGGCTAACACAATTACACTTCTTACCTCTTACAAGTATCGTCATTCTCCGCTGGGCCGACTGGTTGCGGTGGAGGTTTTCAGGAAAGAAAATGACGGCGAGGCTATGGTACGGCATGATGTGCTCGAAGATCCCATATTCTTTTCACCCGCAGGATGCTTCCCCATCCGTTTGTTGGCTGTCGTTACTCGCAATTGTTAAAAGACGGTGTACAGCACCGAGCAATATCCGTTCACGAAACTCTAGGGTCCTTCGTAGTGTACCGACCAATATGAATGGTAAACTTCTTTGATACTCTGCACCGTTTTTTACAAGTAGCGTCAACCGACACGTGTTGCGAACTACATTTAGAGAACATTCTTTCTTCCAGTCTCTTCTTTGGTGCATGTAAAATAAGAATGCATGTAAAACAAGCTTTCGTGTATTCTTTTTTTTTACTCCACTTCATGTCAGGAAACAAAACAATAATACACCTACACCTAAGGGAGATCAACATCATTCCATTACTTCCGATGTTCATTGCCGGCAATCGGCAGGTCCTACGTAGTATAAGTACCTTACTTTCTCCTCAGACTGCTTGACTATACACTAGGTAGCATATATAGCTACTCGGAGACAACAGTAACGTTAGTAATATCGCTGCGTACGAAAGCGCGTCTATAGCGTACTTAACTGCGATAAGCCTCACCTAGAAGACGAGGCTTTCCCCCTAAACGTCATCCCTAATGGATCCATGCAACGCCGGCTAGCTCGCGTCAGTGTCACCGCCAGCGCGTTTTGCAGCGTCTCACGGCGACTGCGACGCTAGCAGAAGGCTGATGGATCTGCCTTTTTGCACAGTCTTTCGTCGAGCTTCGGCTTCTTTGCCACTCGAAGTGGGCTGGGGAACGATGACGGTCTACGCGGGCCTCGTCTTCTGGGTGGTATTGGACGGGCCAAGGGTGGTGAACAGTAGCAACCAGCTGCTATCAGCGTGGCTGGTGGCCACAAATGAAAGACTTGAGGAATGCCTGCCATGGCACGATTGGACACAAGCGCTGTGTCTTGGTTCGACAGGGCACACCGACGCTACACTCGGGTTCAATTAATGCGGCCACGGTACATCTCACTGTTCGAGGAATTCCGCCCGAGATAGCGCCATGGTACAACCAAACGTGAATGTCCACTGCGTTTGCACTGCTCGTTCGTCAACAGCCTGTCGACGTATACTTCCTAGTATACCAGTTTTATAATGCGTCCAGACGTAGCACAAGTCAACGTGGAACGCACTCACGGTAACTGTAGGCTCGTCGTCCTCGCCTCCGATCTTTATTTCATGCAGTGCAGCGTATTTACCATAGCGTAGAGCCCGCTATACTACACTCCCTAAAGCCCCGGCCACACTCAGAACACAGTCCAAATCAATTCGGAGAGCAAGTCGTCTGCTTCTTGCGCAGAAGTTTCGGTGGGCTTACGCCGAGCTCCGATTGACTTTGATATGAAACATAGAGGGTAGATCTCAACGCTAGATGCCATGAGGTCTGCCCACTATTTTGTTTTCAATCAGCCAATAAGAGCTCGGCGTTCCGACATCATCGCATCGCAACCCCTGTGCAAGGAGCAGACGAACTTGCGCTCCGCATTGCTGGGCTACAGTGGCTGGGCTAGTTGGTTAACCGTCCCTAATAGACCCTTTCCGAAAGTCAGTCTACCCACCTTCTGCAGAGCCAAACCCGACGCTCTAATGGCGGAACTAGACTGTTTCTCCACACCAGAAAAATCCTATGTCTTCGAAAGCATAGAGCAGAAAAAGGAAAAGATGTTGGTTTTTTCTTTTTTCTTGATCTCCTATCTCCTATCTCCTATCACCGCCGTTAGAGCGGCAATATTGGAGCTTTTTGGACTGCCACAAGAAGACTCTGACTTTTGAAAAGGGTCTATACCGCAAGAAGACAGGAACATGAAAGGGAGAAGACAAGCGGTTGCCCTGTCCCTTTCATATCCCTGTCCTCTTGCCCTGTTGTATATATGAAAAAAATGGTCTGCACACACTGAGACGTGTTTCTTCCTCGTATGACGGTCTAGAGACACGTTCCAAGCGTGTATGAGGCAAGCCTGCTTGGAACATGATTGAGGCGTCTCCTCAGATAATTCTGTCACCGCATATGCAGCAATGTTTTCGAATAATGTACGAGCAGTGTTAGTGCGGCTCAACACTCCCGTCCTTCCACGACGCGTCCCTCGCAGCACCTGTTCAAGGCGTACGTGGTGACAAACGTGGAGGAGACCGTGCTGTCGGCGAACCAGTTCCTCCGGGGCTCGAAGCGACTCCGGTTCGACACGCTGGACTCCGTGTCGACGTCGGTGCCCGAAGTAGACATGTCCGGCGCCGCGACGAACGGCACCGGCGGCGGCGGTGACGACGGCAGCGCCGAGACGGACGACATAGACAGCAGACTGTTCACCGTCACGCTCCGTCCGGCGGACATCCGGACGTTCTTGGTGACCGTCGCGCCGAGGTACAGATTCGAGCCCCAGTTCAGGAGGGGCCGTGTGTGAAAGGGACCCTGGTTTGGTTCATTCAGTGGCACCGACTGACACTCCCTGTACTTCGTGCTACCTGGTAGCTAGTGGTCCGCGAGGTGTGCGTTTTACGCCCGCGTCCACGAGAAACCTGTCGGGCTTCCTCCACGGCGGATCGAGAGCCAGCCCCCGTCCTTCCGAACATTCCAATTCCCGAATGCCGTCTGCTTCCGCGGAAGCCGTCACCATCTTGTTTCTACGAATTGTGTTCGGCCTGTGGCCATTCTTTCACTGTGAGGGATGTGCACCCGTGGCTCGTGCATTTTCGTGATCGTAAGATCCGCAAAGAGCAAATGACTTCCCTATACTAAAGCTTGGGCTGTTGAGTCACGCGGTGTTAGAGCACTGGCCACCTTTGCGTGCAGAGGTGGATCGCTTTTAGAAACGCTCGTATTTATTGTCATGTTTCCAAAGAACTTGATCGACTCCTGTTGACAATTTTCTCTTAGTTTAATAACCTAGTTACACGGTCACTTGTTAACTGTTGTAACACTAAACCATAGCAAAATATGCTCTTGGACAACATTATGTAGCTATGAAGTCAAAGCTATGGGCGCACGTGCGCTTGCGTATCTTGCACCCATCAAAGTTGTGCGCGCGCACTCTTCACCACTTCTGGAAGAGCTGTGCGAGAGTACAGTGGGGCAACTTTGGTTTAGCGTAACTGACGTTAAGGGTGACTTAACTGCTTTTAAGGGTGTCCGCGTAGCTAGGGTATAACTGGGTAGTGTCAGAGTTTATTACGTGGTCCGGGCGCACAAAGACGACCTTTGTTGCGACTACGTAAACGTCGCCAGTGACTCGACGCTACCGTGCTTATATTGTTTCGCGACCTAGTTGGTTGTTTACGCTCGAGTGTGATGGTCGCGATCTTTTATTTTAATGTAGACCGACTCACCGCGCTAATCTCAGCCCCGTTTGTGAGGCGAGAAACAATTCAAAGCCGACAGCACAACACGACCACAGCGAGTATACGACGCCACAGAAAGTCCGGCACTCGTCAGTTAGGCGCTTGTTAAAACTTTTAAGCTAACGAAACCGATGCACCGAGGAAATCGAGTGCTTATATGTTGTTGTTATTTTAGCACATTATGCCACGGGGGTTAAGCACGAACGCGTTCGAGTCTGTATACTACAGGATTTCGAGTGCAAGGGGTTTTTCTCGGGGCATTGTATGAGCCGACTTACCAGTGTTCGCCGCACCACGCTCTTATCAGTCAAACGTGGAGGAAGGCTTCGTAGAGGCAGGTGCGCCGAAACTAATCAGCGCCTCACCAAGCCGCCTAGTTTGGGAACTCACAAAACTAAAGTAGTTCTCTATTTTGTTCGGAAAAGCCTGCGAAGAAATCAGGCATTTTGGGGCGTGGATTGTTGGCGCGCTGGTGACCCCGCCATTCCCGCAGGGACGGTCGCGCTGGTTCGCACAGACTTGGGCGCGGCTCAACACGCCTGCTATTGTTTCACCGCAGGAATAACTATATACACTGCGGTGGGAAAAAGAAAAGTAGGTCTGCACTTTCTGGGAAAGCTCTTTTAGTTTGCACTCGTTTCGACGTAGCATTGCGTTCACCTTTTGTTTTGTGTTCGTTTTATTGAAGCATATTGCTTCGAAAGAAAGGCTATACTAATATAAACACTGACCGGTGTGTGATATACCGCGTGACGGTCAACGCCGTGTACATAAGACAACCTCCAGCTATATTCCTATGGTTTTACCGAAATAAGATAGACTCTAGGTTTACCTTATTAGGTGTCAAAATATATAGCTAACGCGAACAAAAGTCGCACTCGCGCGTATTTATTACATATGAACGAAACTAACTTTAGGTATGAGTCATGACTGATCCCGTCAGGGCGTGTTTCCTGCGTGTCTCCAGTTATAAATGAACCATTTTACGGGCGGGCTTTATTCGCAACTTTTACGGGGTACATTTAATCTGTCCTGTCCCCTCTTCTTTTCCTTGGTGTTTGCGCTTTTGAATTTTTATACATTTAATCTCCATTCCTCCGTTTCACATTTCGACCGCCAGGCCGCGCCAGATTTCGCTGCACACATGGATAGACGGTAGCTCTCCTCTCCTCTTCGCATCTCTTCCGCTGCGTGGCGTCGCCTCCTCTGGACTTGTGCATAGAGCCTAGATTTTAGAGTGTTTTCAACTGCTCGATTAAGGTCACGTGGTTTATGGGCCTCGTTATACAGTACGAACGGCGAGGAGTTGCATTTTTCCGTCTGCCTTTCTCCCCGCCACTCGACGAAGTAGCGCATGCGCGCTTGCTACCAATCTGCGCAGACGGCGTCCGCCATTAAGTTGCGAATGCTCCCTATGGTTTGAGTTGCTTCTTCTCTTAAATCGGCTCTCACTAAACTCGTGAATGCCTCACTTCCTGATAAGCAGTAATTGGAAAAGTCACGATGGTGCTTGACCGACCGTGTCGCGTCAGTCGTCTGCAACACGGTTCCCGGTGATAGTCCCTAAATTCCTACCGTTTGTCTCGCTGGTGTTTCTGCCCTGTTAGTTTGTTCCTCCAATGACCCAACTCCCCAATTTCGCAGCTGTGTCTTATTGTGCACAGGACGTCAAATGTGCGACCAGGCCCTGCGTACATTTAAGTGCATAGTATGTACATAGGTGCCGTTTATACATTATGTCGGCCACAAACCCAAGATGTACGGACCCATTCTCGGATCGAGCAGGGCACCAACCGTAACGCCCTCTCAGCAGTAAGCATGCAGTCCCACACGCCTATACCGCCGTGAACCGTCGTCCCATGAGCTAACGCATTTAACCCTGGTGCTATCCTGCTTTTATAAATTTAATTTTATTACAATCTTCGCCTATTAGTTTGGAGGGTTCTACAGAATTATTCTTTCGGTATTCGCAACTCCAGAGGAGGCAACGCCGTCTAACGGCGATCGCGTGAATGCGCAACTGGCGCCCCCCCTGGCGGCTGAAGCCTGAAACTTAAAAATTAGAGACAGAAAGCATGACTGTCGGGGTACACCCAATTGCGTACACCGAGAAAGGCGCTGTAAAAGACAAATATACACCGCTTTTCTTTTCTTTTTTGTAGTGCATCTGTATATGGCGTGCGTTAATGTGCTTCTTCGTAAGTTTCGTTTGTGGCCGGCTTTAGCGTCGGCCTGCGCGTCACTGGATGTCTCAGGAACATACAAAGTTGAGCTCTGAGCAAATAAAGGGTGCACAACGCGTGTTCCGTTGACGCACCGAGAGGGACCCTCGGCCGCCCGTGCGGGCGGCAGGCCTTTTGTGTGGCCGGTTACTAATCATCTAGTCTTCTCGCTGCAACTGTGTTCGCGGCGACGCTCTCGGAATAATTGAGCAAAGTATCATGTAACACATTGTTGTTGTTGTTGTTATTGTTGTCCGAAAATCAAAGTGCCATAGTTGTGGTGAACGTGAGGTTTCTCTTTTTTCTCTTCTTTTTCGCTGCAATGTTTTACCGATATTTATTTGTAAATTGCCGATGTACAACCTTAGAAGCTACTGCGTCTGTACTGCGCCGATTTGCACAAGAAGCACCAATAACTGGTCGTCCTGTAATCAGTTTAGGCAATAGAACGGGTAAGCGTTTCAAGTCTACCTAAAAGACAAGGCCTGCGCATGACGTCATCATTAGTGGCTCCCTGACCAGCCCCAAGTGGCAAACACGCCGAGGCTCGACGAGAGTTGCCCCGCGAAGTGGCAGACGCGTCCGTCTTGACGTCGCCACGTGCTAGCGTCGCACTCGTCGTGAGACGCTGCAAGACACGCTGGCGGTGATGCTGACGCGAGCTGGTACCCTGATCTGGACACTTGGTCAAAACGTCGGCGACAAATCCGGCGACCGTGATTGGTCTTGGGGTAGAAAGGTTTAGGCCTTGTCTTCTAGGTTTTATCACCGTGGTCGCACCCCCAGTGGTCACGACGCGCGCCGTCTTCCCTCAGATCGCGTGGTCATCGAACTACGACACCAAACGCGCTTATTAATGGTGCATTTTACACTCGGGCACTTCTGAGAGCGTACATGTTTTAGTACACGTGGGTTTCAAGTGACGTCACAATTGGGAAGGCCGTGTCCCCGCTCCATGTTGGTGGTGGCTCGAACGCGGGGCCGCGCGCTTGTTCTCGCCGCAGCTGGTGTCGCCGCCACGCATCCTGTCTGCGACGAAGGCCCATGCAGTGTTCGGCCCGTAAACTCGAGGAACACCACTCATCAGTGCTCTTTCGATTGGTTCAGCCAATGAGACGAGATGGACGAGCGGCATCACCTTCTAATGCGTGGACCCACTACTGATGACGTTTGGGGGGAAAAGGCGCAGGCCTTCTAGGTGGTATCGGGTAGACTCGTTCGTGCCATTCAGACCACATGGCCAACGGAGCGCGTGATACCCTTTGCCCTTTTTATTGGCTAGCCTGACCGAAAGAAAACCGATGATTGGTGTTCCGACGGTAACGCGAAGCAGTATACTTTCAAGACCTACCGAGTGTGGTAGAGTTCTTCATGGAGCGTTGCGTAATCGTGCGGCGTGGCCAACATGGGGCCACGAATCAATGAACCGATCGAATAGACCTTTTTCGCATAAAGACGACACCAAGTGGCTAAAGCTCAAACTACGGATGGTGGATGGAATGGGAGCTGCGATACCCTCCTGCCTTCTCTGCGGCTGATCCGAGTCGCGGAAGAGGTAGGAAAGGTAGTGCAACCATTCTTCCGGACGCCAACCAAAGAAGAGCTTTCGCCGCTGCGAGAGGAAGGCTTGCGCATGTGCAGAACCCTTCTTGAAAAAGGTCCATTGTGGCTCGCGTCGTTCGAATGCTTCCCGAGAGGTGTCCTGCTCTTAGAGAGACGATTTTGTTGTTTTTTTAATGGGGAGTTTTGTAGCTACTAACAGCCTAAAAACATGAGGCTGACGGTCCCCAGTAAAGACAACACACCTCTCTCTACACCAGAAGTGTGCACGTACTTCCCGCCATGTCTCCGAAGAATGTTTGTAATTCGAATTACTTGTTTCAGTCTAGGAGGCTCACATTCGCACATTAAAATAGGCAACAGACAGTCGGCAGTGTCTGCAAATGGACAGTGCGTCGAAGAGAGCCTTCGGTTATTTAACACTGGGAGCCACGATGTCGACACCACGGGACCACCCTCGGCAGCTTTGATACGCCGGGACAGTGGCTTCGATACGGCATTTTTGGCCGTCTACAGCCGTGGGCTTTCCAGTCCCCTGCACAGTGCCAAATAATCGAACGCACTCGGAGACGGTTGCATCCTAATTGCCTCTCTTCTCGATTGTGACACTTGCTGATGTCAACGCGCTTCCTTTGCCGCGAATTTGCTGTTCGAAATGCTGTTGAATGTTAAAGGTAAGAGCACATACGCCGAGAAAATCTACAAATAAATTAATGTTTGTTACTCGCCTGGTCTCCTCTTTGGGTGCTTGCCGCGAGAGCGAGGCCTTGCTTTTCGCTACAGTCATTGTTGTTGTTGTGCTTGTCCTTGTGTTGTACATCCCCAAAATGGGAATTTGTCAAGGAATAGTATGATATTAAAAAGACGAAAATCGCTCATGAACTGGAATATTTGAGTAAAAATTGTGACTTGAGACTCAAAGGCCCTAACAACCTAATGGTAAGGGTGATAACGCAATCGTGGATGATTCGGCATAGAGCGTTATGTGCGGAGTCGAGAGAACTCGCTCTAAATTAAATAGGTTTTGCATGGTGAGGAATGTTTTCCACTGAGAATGGTTCCATCATACAACGGTGGCGCTAGCGCATAAATCTGCGGCAAGTCAAATTTTGCACTAAGGGCACAGTGAGAGCAGAAGTTGAGATTCAGTATCTCACATCGCTTGCGTGTCAGCGCTACCTCCCGCTGTCGGGACTTAGAGTAAGTTTTCCAGAAATATTTAGGTGATTATAATCAGGCGTAGTATAGAGAATGTCGACCCCGTCCAAGAAAGAGATACTGTCGGAAACGCGGACTAATCAGTCAGTGGAAGGAACATCGTCAACGTTGGCGGTCTCATTTTCAGGGATGCGGCTGGGTACCCAAGCTAAATGTATTGCAGTAATGCGCTTCGAGAGCCAGAAATGGCAAAACTACTTGCAAGAAGTAATTCAATTACATTACTAATTGCTTTCCTTAAACCTGCAAAAATGTAATTAAATTACATTACAAATTACCACATAATAAAGGTAATGACATTGCATTCAATTATTTTACAAAAGTAAGAAACTTACTTTGAAATTACTTTGATATAGCCTTTGAATACCTTGAGGCAGTAATTCATGTTCATTTTATTTACCGTATACACCAACACAGTGTTTAAAGAACAAGCCCTCGTTTGCCCCCACAGCGCGTGTGCAGGAACTAGATCCGGGAGAAGCGAGGCGCTGCGCATGCGCAGTGTTGACAGCAGCGCCACCGCAGTGACGTCACGTGAAAGAGCTGAGTTGGTCTATATGTACCAAAACTCGGATCTTCCTGTTCACACCGCAGCAGCCTTATGCGCCTCGAAGTGAACCATACTGAACAGTGAGTTTGCTGGTGCACACGACGTAAGTATTAAACATGATGAAGAGCTCCTTTAGATGTGACTCAGAAAGACAGTTGACTCACCGGTTTTGCTGTTCATTCAACGGTGAAGGTTCTTACTAAAAGGGTGATATGTTTCCGTCTTCCTGATTTAGAAGTTATAGCCCGTGTCAGTCTGTGAGGTCGGGCAATGGCAGCTCGTTCTTACAAGGAGTCGTCACGTGAAACGTTTTCCTTCCGCTTCCGGACGCAATCTAATTCTATTCTCCCGAGAGCACTATACTCGGCGATAACCTTTCTTGGCAATGCAGTGGGGAGGAGGAGAGCCAGCGCACAGCTTTATTCAGCGCTCAAAATGAGAGAGGGAACGCGTGCCTGTACTCTTGACTGCATTGCCAAGAAAAGTTGTTGCCGAGTATAGTTGGCCTATTCTCGATCATTCGTTTCAAGGAGCATTTTTCCGAAACACCCGAAGACTCCAAGTTTTTGCGCACTGTCACACAAAGGGCCGGATGATTGCTGAGCAGATGCGTCGCCGGCGATATCTGCTTGTAGGCTTATTCCCGAATAAACTTCCCTAGGGAAGGCAGAGAGGCATAGCGCGAGCGGCACCTCCTTTGCTCGAGGACGCACGAAACGTTCTGGGGCCTTGACAACGCATTCGGAATTAACTATTCATTCGTTTGTTGTTCACAATAGTCGAAGCTTACGGTTGGACCTTGCTTGACGAAAGTACAAGGCTGGGGATCTGTTTGTCCTGTCCTCTCAGGTTTTAAATAATGTCTAACTCACTGGTGATGTACCCGTCGCCTTGTAGCCTATGAGCCGTTCATTCCTAAGCTAACGCACTGTCAGCTTAGGTATGAACGGTGGAAGCTACGTGTTTGTTGGAGCAGTCACACGTCTATCGTTCGCCACCGTAACCACGCTCTCGTTCATATCCACACGCAGAGAATGGGACGGCACACTCGATTAAGAGAAGGTGTTTGATTACTTCTGGTTAGCTTGCAACTCCCACAGCACTGCCAGCTTAGGAATGAACGAAGTGTAGTGTCGTCGTGATGATGCGACGCCGTGAATCTTGTGCCTGTGCCCTGGAGTTCGTAAGCCGTTGCCTTCCAGCGATGTCTACACGCAAGCTTTTCTCCTTCGCCTTTCCAGCCCTCCTTTCTGCGTCTATCCAGCTCTTGGTACAAGGCTTTGCGCTCAGGTGGCCGTCCGATTATTTCCTTTGATTCTCTTTCACATTTCATCATGCAAAATAATTTTTCTCTTCTTTCTTAAAGCTTGCACACGAATTTTCTAATTTAGGACAAAAGTAATCAGTAATTTTCTGAAAATTACTTCCTAAAGGTAATTCATTACAATACTAAATTACTAGCCTAAAGAAGTAATTCATTACATCGCTCATTACTCCAAAAAGTAATTTAATTACTGTAATTCCATTAGAGTAATGTCATTACAGCCATCTCTGGCACACGCTCCGCCAGTTTTCTCTTTCTTTTTTTTCTTTTTAATTTATACTGCTGATTTCTTTTGAGATTGAAGCAGACGTTTGTTCACTGGTAGTTGTATTACTGGGAGTCTCATAACTGGAAGAAACGGATTGCATCACTCCGTGAGTATCCAAAGGAAGCACAAAGAGAGTGAAGCTTAGCTGGCAGCAGGACAGGTCTGAGCAACAAGCCTAACGCTGTACGACATTCGGTACATGAGAACGTGATAAGTAATGAAAGTAGCAGCTTCATGAATCAATAACGAGTACTGGCGTCTCTTCGCTGTTGTCGTTTTGTTGCTGCGGATGCAACCGACGCGTGTCTGAACCGGCATCAAGAAGCCTTTTACTGGAATATCGGCTGCCCCTACGAGGCCTCCATGAGAGCTTCCAGTTCGGAGGCATCAGCTGTGCGATGCCAGAGTGAACATTGTGCCTGCACCGCATCGAGTAATGCCCTCTGTGACCTCGTTTTGCTTTGTACTCATTTTCATAGAGTGCATTTACCGCATAGAAATTAGGTAAACCAAAAACAAGCGGGCAATTATTTCATTTATCTCAGAAGTTCGCGATAATTCCCGCGAAGAACTTTGCATTGCGTTATACCGAGGGTATACCTAGCTTTAAAAAAAAAATAATTTCAAGAAATCACTAATGACGGTACGACAAAAACTAGATACATTCCTCATAAGCGCAACTACGCAATCAGCTGAGGAGCTCACGCTGACTGTGCGAACAAGTCAATAGAAGTACGAGCCGCACTGACAATAAGGTAAGCTCTCCACCGGGCCTCAAGATATCTTGATTAGTGGTGGGCACGCTCATCCAAGAACAAACGGAGAGTTTGATAAAAGTTTCGCGAATATTCTATTCGATTTCGGTTGGTTAGAGCGAAAAACAGACTTTCTTTTCACGGCGCAACTTCAGCGTCTTGGCGATTTGAACAATCTTCGTATTGTCGCGTGTTCACAAAGATGTTCTTATGTATCCAATGGATGACCTTCGAGCGCAAACAAAAACATGGCAAACAATGAGCATTTGACCTGCCTGCAGGCAGTGGCGGTGATTAGGAGCGAGCACCTTAGCCGCACTTGTTGGCCCCCTTCCCAGACGCCTCCTCGGAAACTTCCAACTCTCGATGCATCTCACGGGCCGCAATTTAATCGGCAGTGGGCATAATGATTTCCGTTTCAACTGCCGGTTTATATTCTCGGCGCGAGGGTGGCCAGGAAGGTTCTCATCTGTCCGCTCCTCAGAACCACCACGTAGTTGTCCTGGTTGCGGAAGGTGGAGTGGTTGTCCAGGTCGTCTCGGCCCGTGACAAAGGCGGTCTGGGCCTGCCGCCACTGGAGGCGGCTCACCTCTTCCAAAAGCATGTGGGCAGACAGCGTGGTTTCTGCCACGTCCTCGAGCAAGTTGTTGCTCAGCAGGTTCTGCCGGGTCCAGACAAAAAAGCGAGAAGAGAAAAGGTTTATTTTGAGCAGAAAGGAAACACGCTGCATTGTCCCTGCTCTCTGTAAGAACTGTTTTGAGGAGAAAGCCATCTAGTACCCGTTGTGTATTCTACACCCACACGCCCGGAGTATTAACCACCTTAATCGTTTCAAACAGTGAGAAAAGCTAACAGTATCTTCCTGAGGTGACAATGCGGTGTCAGTAGCGCAACGGTTGGGTGCCTCTAGTCTTTGCCGCTGAAACTGCGTAACATACAAAAGACAAGGAACAATCTGCGGAGATGTACCTGCGGCCTCAAGCACGTTCCAAGCATATTTGTTTCTAAAATGTCTGCAGACAGTTTTTGTATCACCAATGTGACCGTCATACGAGTCAAGTCTCAGACAATGTCTCAGACTAATATTAATGATACCTGAGCAGTGCGACCGCGGGGACACAGTATCCTTCATCCGCTTGGTGTTTCCAATACACTGCGGTGGAGTACGAATGCATGAGCCTCTCAGAGCGATCCAGCCTCATTATCGCATATAAGCGGGAAAGTCATTGCCCCCCCTCCGCCCGTCCCGGTTACGGACAAGACTTGAAGGAATGAGGGCGGAAGGTCCCGGACTCACCGTGACGGAGACTCGGACGTCGTTCTCCTCTCTGCTGTCCACTCCGGAGTAGAGGTGCTCGAGGCGCACCAGTGCCCTAGTGCTGGACAGTGCTTCTAGAGTCATCAGGTGGACACTCCGAGGCAACTCGCGGTACAGTCCCGAAAACTGAAAGCCCGTACGAGGAGCAGTCAGTTCCCAAAGCTCTCTCGCGTCAGTATCATCAGTCCGCAACTGGAGAATCTGAAAGTGATTCAGAGTGGCTGCAGCAGACGTTTTCAAAGCTAGCGGTATGATACCGCTTGCCTCGTCTTCCTCACTGGATAGGCTGCATGATGGCGGGAAGATGAGCGGTTGGTGCTCCGGGTGAATCACGATGTGGCATGCCTGCTTGCACTTCTGAGAGTGGCACACTCTTAGGAGCATATGTGTGTATGCTGCACCGTGCACTCGGAATTTAGACTGCAGGTATTTCTTTCTTCATTTCAACGAATCAAATGATTTTGCATTTCAGAAAAAAGGGATTAGTATCGCGCTTCATATGCTCGCGGTCTCAGCGGCAGAAGCTGCGGAGATTACGACTGAGACAAGTGAGACAGCGCCATCTAGCATCTGCTGCTGCGCCAATATCCGCGTCCGCCATTGTTTGGGCACCCCCGAGCTCGTATTGGACACGAGGGTGACATCAGCGTTCAGCCTGAACTCTGCTCAGTTCTTATCGAAAAAAAGTAGGTCAAGACTCGTTCCAATCACACGCTTCGTGCCCAAAAAATGACGACCGCCAATATGTTGCTCGATGAACTCGACTGAATGAAGGAAAACTACGCGGGACCTCTGCGGGTGTAAAAGCAAGCGGAAGCCTTTCCTGTCTCTCCAGGAGAAATGGCGCTTGTTTCGCAGCAGACGCAAAGAGGGTATCTGTAGTGGCACGCACCGACCCCACCGCGAGCGTGGCTCCGAGCGCCTGGTCCTTGGCCTTGGCGTAGGCGAGCACGGGAGCGTAGACGAGCCGCAGGGCGCCGTTGCGCACGCTCGTCCACGCGGGCAGCCCGAGGTGCACCAGGTGTCGCCCGATGACTGTCGACGTGTCGTTCAGGGGCTCACGCAGGCCGCAGCCGTCGTCCTCCACCAGGCGACGGTGTACCTGCAGCCCGCGTCGTGGCCCAGAATGTCACGTAACGGCAAACGCTACCGAGGCTGAAGGAACTAGCTAACAAGGCGGAGAGAGTGCACCCTCGCCTCGAATGTCAAACATGGGCCGAACACTGCACTCGTGTTCCACCTGCCTGCCCCCCCCCCCCCCCCCCCCCCCTGGCGACGTAAAGCCACGCTCACACTCTTCATGAAAAGCCACTTTCCAGACACTGTCTGGAGCGTTCCTTGTACGACGGTCACGTTGGTCATACAAACACTGTCTGCAGACATGTTCGAAGCAAACATTCTTCGACCTTGCTTGAGGCCCGCGGATAATTATGTCACCTTGTCTGAACACCGTGTCTCTTGTACGATGCACGAACAGTGATACTGTGGCTTAGAAAATCCTGTACGCTCTTGTCATCTAGGAGGCGTCGTCGAGCCATCGCACGTAGAGTGGTAGGTTCTACTGGAGGCCAGGGAATAAGTACAGAGAGTGCCCGAAATTTACATGTTTGTTTGTTTTTTTCACCGCAAAAATAAACTACGCATCGCCGAATGATCATTTTTTGGTCCAAAGGTAGCGCTAGAGGTCCGAACCATGATGAAACTTTGGCATCTGCAGATGCCAAAGTTTCAGCATGAACCAATATTTTATTCAAAAGTTATAAGTGATTTTCCGGAAATTTCTATGAGAAAATGCTGGCCGACGGAGTTCTCAAAAACACGTGGAGCTCTATGGCGCCAGAAACCAACTACAGGCAAAAATAAGCCCCATTTTCCCCCTGAAATTAAAAAAAAAAAAAATCACTTATGATTTTTAAATAAATTATCGGTTCGCGCTGAAACTTATGGCATCTGGTTGTGACCTCTAGCGCTATCTTTGGGCGGAGAATGAGTGTTTGGCGAGGCCTAGTTTATTTTTGCAATAAAAAAAAAAAAAGCAATTTTTTTTTTTTTTTTTGGGGGGGGGGGAGGGGGATATGTTTTAGAAGAAAACTGCCGACACGTGAAAAAGTGTATGGTTCTTGTGAGAAGATAACAACAATACAAGGTTACTTCTATTGAGTGATACACATGTCCGGGTAAAACTGGTTTCGCCCAGAAGTACAGAGCGCGTGGATGTCAATTTTCACGGCCAACACTGCTGCGACCACGGTGTTGTACGCGTTCCACCGAAACAGGAAGAAAAGCACGTCACTCGTTCCTTGTCAATCATGAAAGGAGTTCCCGTTACAAGTTCCAGAGGTTCGAAAGGAACGCGTTTTATATGCACGATTGGAACGTATTACATATGCACGATTGGAACGTGTTGTTACGTTAACGTTACATTTGCATATTTACGAAATATTGTGCCGGATAATCCGTAGATACAATAAAGCGAGCGGGTGAAAAGATGCGCATCGAACGACATGTCGCGTCGCCACGATCACAGTTGTTCCGGGTCTTTGTTCTCGACTATCCCCCGTTCCTTGAAGTGGGAGGTTGGCACGCGGTCAACGACTCAATTGTCGCGACGGCGTAGTTTTTCTCAAATTTCGCGAATCACCTACGATTCGCGGGAAATATTTTCCCCGCAAATATGTTTCCCTGTGGTAGCAAATACATAACGTACCACCCCGATTCACGAAAATTAAAGCCCGCGAATAATTCGAAATTTTCAGCTTTGGCCGGTTTCGCGAAAAAGATCGAGCCCGCGAAAATTTAGTCGTTCCCAAAAGACGCTAATAAAAATCCTAAATGCCTACTAAATTCAAGTAAAAATGCAAAGAAACCAACAAAAAAAAAAAGAAACGCCGTTTTTTTTTTTCTTTTTTTTTTTCTTTTTGTTCTTTTGAAAACGTAACGACTTCCACCGATGGGAGATGGAACGGTAATGTTCCTCCCAAAAGGAACGCGTTCCAAGAACGTCGTTCATTGGAACGCCTTTCTGTACAGCACTGTAACAGTGACCGGTATGTCTTCAAGGTCCGACGCGGTTACGAGCCTCGGTGACGGCGTGGCGTATGTTCTTACCATGAGCTCGACTTGTCCGTCGTGCAGGCTGGTTCCGCCTTCGGGCGTGTCGGGTAGAACCGTGAACTGCAAGTTCCGCAGCCGGTCCTATCGAAGATTGCGTGCGCTCTAAAGATAGAAGTCACGCTGCGCGCTTCATTCACACAGCGACAACCTTTGCGGCGCCGTGACGATGCAGGTTTTGAGAGTGGCGGCGTATAAGTTTACGGCGAGCAAGTGTACTAAAAGACGTCTTTGGCCATAGCCTCCTATATACGTTGACAAAGGCTGGCAGATCACCACTAGAAGCGGCCACCGAAATGGAAAAGGTAGAACGGCAGAAAACGGATGAGTGAAGAGCCAGGTGACAGGCGCCCCGCTGCGGCGAGGCGCCGAAACACACTTCTCCCGGGCGATGGAATGTCCGCTCGTGCTCTTCGCGTTCCTCGCGCTATCGCTTCTTTTCTCGCCGGGTTTCTAAACCATGTTTCGGGTCCTCGCCGCTACAAAAGTTGTGCGCGTCCATGTTCCCCGAGAAATGCTCTGTGCTACCAGATCCTTGCGCCCCAAATCTGCGACCGGGCACTCTATGGCTCCGTTGTCGAACTGCCAGGCTTCGTTCGTAGAGAGGAGGCTATACAATGCAAAAGAAGACGACGAACTCGTGCTCCGCATAGGATCGAAATGAGCAGAAAGAGGTCATGCTTCTATACCAAAATGTGCTTTGTTGTGCGCGGGTTTTGCTGCGTGAAAGACGGCTCACGCTTTTAAGGGACTTCGTACGCCCTTATCGTGCGACAAGAGAAATGCAAGCCAGGTGAAAGGGTTGACCGCGTACTCACCTTGATGTAGATCCACGACACGACGGGAAAGAAGCTAGACGAAGTCGGTTTCCAGTTCTCCGAACCCATTTTTGGCAAGGCGGGCCGCCTGCGTCAGACACCCCATTGAACAGTCAGTTGGATGCTCTGTGGGGAAACTCAACTTGAATCAGTACACTCTTTCCATAGGCACAGGCTTAATCAAAATGAGACCCAAAGAGCAACATGTGACAATAATGCATGGACTTGGGCCAGTCGGTACGTTGAAAAGCGGATAAAAAGAACTATGCTGTCCTTGCCCTTATATAAATAAGAGTTAGCGCGCAGGTCAGCTAGTGAGCAATCGGAAACCCTTATAGACGAGGGAACCACAAAGGATATAAATACAACCGGCCTGTGTCTTTGTTTAATTATTTACAATTATTATGATACATTTTGTCTTCTACGTATGTATCTCGTATCTATACTTCCGGAGGCTAAAGCCGGGATCACACTACTCATACACCATACAAAAATACAGTCTGCAAACAAAAGTCACCGCAATATCCGTAATTCGAATGCCGCGTGCCAAGTTTCTCCTTGTACTCATTGCCATGCGGCATTCGAAGCACGGATCTCGCGGTGACTCGCGTTCGAATCCGTATGCAGACTGTCTTTTTCATGATGTATATACAGTGTGACCCCGGCTTAAGGATGATAAAAAGGTCTATTAGGTTGAGTCGTGGTTGAGCCATAAGTATATGCGGAGCGCCAGTTCATCTGCTTCTTGGACAAGGGTTGTGATGATGTCAGAACGCCAAGCTCTTAATGGCAGATTGGGGAAAAAAACAGTGGGTAAACCTCAAGGCATCTAGCCTTGAAGTGCATCTAGCCTTGAGGTGTATGGTGCTATACTCCGTTTCACCTTATGTTGTACCGCAGCGAAGGCTAGAAGCGCGAGCTCGTAGCGTTGGCAGCTGCCCCTGGAGCACGAGAGCTTGTACCGCCGAGACGTGCCCTAGAGCAAGGAGCTCGCTCTTGCAGCCTTTCCTGCGGTACAACACAAGGTAAAACAGAGTATAGCCAATTCAAGTTTCGATCTAACGAGGGTTTTATATCCAGTAAGTTTCACGTCCTGTTGAGCAAGGTATAAATGTCTTCTCAGAAATCCCTGAGTTCTTAACGATGTGATAACGATGTTTTCGATATGGGCATTCCAGGTTAGATCTTCGGTGCAAGTGATACCTAGGTGCTTGTATGACTGAGTGGATAAAATAGGATCGCAAAAAATTGAGTACGAGAAAGTGTGGTGTTTAGAGGAATTAAAAGAAATGAGCTTGGTTTTAGTAACATTGATGTTCATTTGCCATATTAAGCACCATTCACCCAAGATGTTGAGGTCGCGTTGAAGGAGCTCCAATTCGCTGGGATGAGAAATTCGGCTACTGCCGAATTTCTCATTTTAGCGATTCGCGCTCCTTCCTTCAAAGTAACCGAACCACCCAGACAACGCGTTAATGCAGGAACTCGCACCTCCTTTCTATCGTGGTCCGTCCGTTGGAATCCGTGTAGAAGACGCCGTCATTTTGAAGGTTTGTGGAGAACCGAGACACAATCTCGCGACCTACCAATCCGCTCCTTCTGCTCCTGCGAATTGACGAGACAGTTAGGCGGGATCCAGCCAAACAAAAATGTGCTGAGAGCTGTCAAGCATGGCGTCCCGACTATTGCTCCATACGTGTACGAACGTGCAGCATGCTGGTGTTCTATCCGGTTCATACCACCGCTTCAAAACGATCTGCCGCTCCACCCGGAGAGGCATAGAAACGGTGAACCAGCTGAGTCTCCTGATCTGGTCGTTGAGGTGCGTCTCAGCGGACACGAGTAAAGCTCTTTGCTCAAATTCACGCTTACTCACAAGTCACACCAACCACTGTTGTGGGAACGCGCAAAGACATGTCACGAGCGAGTGCTGCGCCGCCATTAGCTTACAGGGGCTACTGTGGCGCATTTGACGCTACTTGCCAACACAAACGCCTCGAGGGGCCTTAGACACGAGTAATGTTTTTTTGCGTTGCTCGAGCCTCGCGTCGATCCCTCTCGTTCGCCACCAGGTATACATGGTATACAGCGGCCGCTGACCAGCGTTCCAGGTTCCACACACTGCTGCCGCTCTGCCTCCTTCAAAACTGGCCACTCGGCAGACCGAACCCAGCGGAGCGGGAAGCAGAATCGAGCGGCCATAACTTTTGCAGGCTTATCTTGCAGCAACTTCGTGCAAGCTTCGTGCTTGCACGTTTCGGGTGTTCCGGTTCACTCGCGCTTTAAAGAACAAAGCTCTCACGCTTACTCGATGGGAATGGGTCCAACCATCCACTCAAACTCGATAAGGTCTTGTCCCTTGTACAGCCGAATCACTTGGGTGATCCACGACTCGAACACCTGGTGGATCTCTTGGACCACGCTGCCCTGCAGCCAAGGCGACCAGAACCCCAAGTGAGCGAAGCATCACGAACAAGTCTGCGAAGGTTCATTTTCAATATTCGTCCGTTCGGGAGGTTCTGGCAGTGAACGCACTTGAGCACCACGAGCGCTGGAACGAGCCTCTCGCTTGAAACTTCGAAGGCTGTCATAGGTGGGTTAAATAAATAAACGAATAAATACTACCTAGAAGACAAGGCCTGCGCATTACGTCACCGTTACTGGATTCTCAACCCGCCCCAGACGGCAAAGACGCTGAAGCTCCACGAGAGCCGCCGCAAAGCGGCACACGAGTTCGTCTTGGCGTCAGTGTGACACCCTTTAGGGATATTCACACGAGGGAGAAATCCCGGGGCTTTGTCCACGGCACGCGCATCCCGCGACGTAAACGTAAGGCTTTGCGATGTGCAAAAGCCTCGCGTTTTCGTCTCGTGATGCGCGCGTGCCGGGGAGAAATCCCGTGATTTCGCCCTCGTGTGAATACCCCTGTACGGGCTGGCGACGATGCTTACGCAAGGCAGGCGTCGCTGCGTGGACCCAAGAGTGATGACGTTGGGGAAAGGGGGGGGGGGGGGTAATTTGCTGGCCTTGCCTTCTGGACGGTGTTGGCGGGTCTCGGCTAACTCGTCCAAAGTCAGCTCGTTGAACAGAAGCTCGTTGAAGGGTGATTCGTCAAGAGGCTGTCTAGTGGCCATTTTTTTTCAAAATTGCATTTAACGGCGATTAATGGACACGAATACATGTTAGTGTCCCGTTATTTTGACCACGAAAGTATTAGTGAGTCCAGCGTACTCCGCGGATTACAGACCCTGAGTGCGCGTGCTCAATGCACTTCGAATTTACCGTAGGACCTTCCGAAGTACTGCGATGTATAGGATACTTTCTGTATTATAGGACACAGCATAATTCGTAATAAAATGAAACAAAAATAACCTTTATTAATGATAATGTGTTTGCCCATTTTACCGGCAATTTTGCTGAAGTACAATGTTGCGATGAATTATAGTATCTATGAAGCTCCCCTGAGTGCACTGGGACAAGATATGTTCCATATGCCCGAAGACTGCAGCTTGGAACTTCTGTTTCCGTAGCTGAGACGCGTGTTCTGCACTTGTCTGGGTCAACTTCAGTTCTCTCTGTGCTTTTCTTTGAGGAAACTTAAGTCTTCTAGCTAAAATCCTCTATGCCACGGGTCAGCGCTGCTGCTTGTCTGCGGGGCTCCACGGCTGTTGCCGGCATATTGCATCATTTACATTCCACAGAGACGGAGCGGACGCCGGAATGCTATGCCAAGGAAAGAAAAGCAGTCTGATCGCTCTTCTCTCCGTCTTCACCAACTCCATGGCCATTAAATTGAACGCAAAAGCATCGAGTTTTGAACCCCTAAATATTTCTGAAGGAGAAATAAAGATGGCCATTGTCAGTGGAGTGCACAAACCCATATTCGGAAGACTCGACCTCAAACACTTATTTGTGTACTTTGGATTGACTCTAGTAGACTCCGTAAAAAGAAAACGAAATTAACTTGAGGGAAAAATGACAAGCGAAAAGCAACGACAGGTTGCCTCTTTTGACGAATTGCCCTTCTATAGCTTGACCTATGACCAGTTGGCAGGATCCCGCCTGCCAGGTTCGTTCACTAGTGGTGAGTACGTCTAACTCCAACATATTTGTATTTCAAAAGCTCCGGAACCATGAATTTAAAAAAAAAAAAAGTGATTTCTACTATAATTTTAGCCCATCACTGTGAGTATGACAGCCATTTGCCCGGAACATATTACTAAATTCAAAAGAAATGGAAAATTCCCCAGGGCACGTGACGACGGCTCCCCAGCTTTCAGCCGCCCAGCGCCTATCGGTCGTCTAGGCAAGCACGTACGACTGCAAGTCATGGCCACTATGGCCTGTCAAATTTATCCTCACGCAAACACTACAAGTTGGGCGCCATGCTTACACTTTTGTGTGGCAATTTAGAAGAAGAGTGCGCGCGCGTACCTTAAAAAACACTCAAGATATGTGCGCGTCTGCCCAGATTGCCGTAGAGAAGAACGGCGTTGCGAAACCAGTACCTTGAAAGTTTGCCAATGCCATAAAACTACCACAGAGCCGTAAACCGCGACAAAAACAGGCGCAAAGATGGACTAGCTACTCGAACAAACAGACGAGCCAACAACGAAGGCAAAAAGCGAACCGAAAACATGTTTTCTGCCGCGGAGGAAAGGCTCGTGGTAGGCGCGGAGATGTCGATGTCCCTGGAAATGACATCACTGTCCCTGTTAATTTCCCTTTGGTCGGCGACCACGCAGAAATTGGCCGGAAAGAAGAGCTATTTCGAGAGCTCTTTTATGGGTACTCCGCGAACAGCGGTCATGACACAGCTAATACATCATTCGAAAGACAGCCTGGAGACACTCTGTGAGGCGTTTCTTCTTTGTATGACGGTCCTGGTACATTGGTCAAAAAAACACTGTCTGCAGACATGTTCGAAGCAAACATATATACGAATCAAACATGTTTCCAACATTCCTGAGGCTCGAATAATGATGTCATCGTGTCTGCAGCAAACACCTTGTCCTTCGTATGATGTATGAGCAGTGGGATTGCGGCTTAAAGGAAACAGGAAGGCGATTCAGTTTTCCTTGAAAAGGATCCTGGCGATCCAGCAAAAGGTCAACTATTCAACATAGATCGGGGCGTTCCACGGTGGCGAGCATTATGATAAATGCGACGTTACACTTGTAAGTCAGGATTCAGAGGGACACTTATTGTATTATTACGCGAATATATGTTCAACTGACGACATAAACGCGCACTTTATTTTATTTTTTGTGGATTTCATTTATCCGCAGAGGGGGCAGAAATAAAGGCATGATGCCTGACAGCGCTACTGCCTCTGCAGTTCATACAGCGGAAATAACATTACAAACATGTCGCAGTGAGAATAAATAACAAGATTCTTGAGGTACTGCGTTTTGTTGCTAAACCATTGGAGGTTTGTTGTTGGTAGCAAACCTCCCGTTCAAGGTGGCGCGTAAGTAAAGTCTTTGAACAAGTTGCTCTTTCTAAGGGTGTCATTCTCGAGGGGGTGTTTTTTGGCGGCCACAGCCAACACCCCCTAAGATAGCCCAAGGCTTGCGAACATCCTTCTCCTTCTTCGTGGAACGTCTTCACAGTCTGATAGCGTCGACTCGGCAATACACTGGACCGGAGCCCGATACCGAATGTCCTTCAACTCGTTGACATGGACACGAGGCCCAGCCGAACACTGTGATGACGTCCTAGTGCACGGGCTTCGCGGATTCTAGACGGTGTTGCCGTAGCTGAGTTCGTTGCTGCTGACCGAATGCTGACGACCAGCTTCCCCTACCTACTGCACCCCACACCGTCGTGGATTGCCGTTCTTAACGGATGACAAGTGTAAGAGCGCCCTGAGCACGCGCTGTCGTGGCGTCCCCTGAACGCCACCTGTGGGCTCACCTTGACGACCCTGTAGGTGGCGTGCGTGCCCAGGTCGTACGGCTCGTCGAAGGCGGGATTGAAGACGAACGCGCCGGACGGTCCCCCGGTGCCCTGCCTGGCGCTCCTCGAGTGCTGGGCCTCGTAGCAGAAGAACGACTGGCGCAAAGACACCGTCTCGCCCCTCTCCAGGATGACCACGTCCGACAGCAGACCCGTGGTCGCGTCGACCATCAGCCGGTATTTCTGGGACAAGGTTGGCAAGATCTAGAAAACTTCGTTCGGGGAAGTATACCTGCTCTGCGACTAGCGCTTCGATCTATACATCGATTTCAATACGCACAGTTTGTTTCTGAGTGCTCTTTGGTCTTATAAACATTCGTATAGATAAACCAATGAGCTGAGCGCAATGAAACATTTCATAAAGCTGTATTTACTGGGTGAACTTAGCATACTCAAATTTTATGAGTGTAGGTTTCAAGAAATAATTTCAAGCGAAAACATTTTGTTTTTCTTTATGAAGAAAAACAGAAAATTTGTCTGATTGACGCTGCTAGTCACAGGTGGCACAAAGTACAGCAAAAATCTAAAAGATTATTTGAGATTAACACGCGAAAGGAGATCCAGCAGATCCGAACATGTAATCTGTGAGAAGCAGCACAAAGACAGTTTTTCTTTCGTTTCGTCCCATGTGAGCGGAAGAAAAATGAATTTTTAGGCTTAAATATGCTTCCTGAAACCTAAACTCGTGAATTTTAGTATGATAAATTTCACCGCCTAATTGCGAAAATGTCCAGAGCACTAAGTTCATTGTCTAATTTATATAAATTTATTTATGCCTCGGTATCGCTCGACCTTGTAGTTGTACTTTGCTCGCGCTTGAGTTTTCAACTGCGCGCAACTACACGTGCCACGGCTTACGGTAGGCAGGTGATGCTCATGCATGCACAAACAGTCAAATGTTTACAAGACCAACACGGCTCGTCCGTCGCTTTCGAAAGCAAACAAAGCACGTGCCATACCTAGGGTGCCTTCATGTGCGCTTTGCTTGGGGTGATGACATCTGGCCATTTTGTTTCGAACGCTTATTTGTATTTTTTGTTCTGAAGCGCGTGAAAGAGCGTGTCCCTGCACGCGCTCGTGGCGCTGACTGTGCTACGGCGACATTTTGTTTCCTGCGATTTCTTCGTATTTTACCCGTGAGCGCGTGCTGTCGGCATCGGGTACTACAAACGATGGCATCACCCTAAACAGAAGGACATTGAGGCACCCTAGCCATACCCACGAACATCGAAGATGGCACCGGTCGGAAGCTTTTCTGCGCGTCTGCTTCTTCCCAAAGCACGTTGGAGCACGCCTGGCGTTTTGTCTTTGTTTCGCTAAATTATTCAAGCGCTGATATTCTGCAAGTTTAGTTACACGCGCTACGCCTCCTGTTGTCTGAAGCAGTAAATGTTCTAAAACAAAAACTTTAAAGGGGAGCTCCGGCGTCAATTCAAACGTTTTCAACTAAACATATTTTCTGAAAGAGCACAAGAGACTGAGCCTAGAGAAGCATGTAAATTTCCCCAAAACCTCTTAACCAATTTTTTATCGTAAAAATAAGATGTAATCGAAACGAACCTGCAACTGTACTGGTCTGCCACCTTGTTGTGACGCAATTTGTTGTATGAACATCGGCACATGGGCAGCTTGAGCCTTTACGCCCAGCATCAGAAGCAATTGGAAGGCCGTAACGATACTACAAGGATCAGTGGCGTCACGAGGGTCAGCTACCCCCCCCCCCTCCCCCCCCCCCCCCCCGCTCTCGTGGCCCGCTGCGACACCCCCCTGAGCGCTGCACCCAGGTCGGTCTGCCCCCCCCCCCCCCCCCCCCTTGTGACGCCAGTGACAAGGATTACTTCTCGACTAAAGCCGCTGTCACGCCGCTAACACAAAATACACTCTGCAGACGCGTGTTTTTTTCCTTGCGTGACAGTCATGTCACACGAAAACTGGCTGTAGACATCAAATGAAGAAAACATGTTTGCAACAAAATTGAGGCGTGTCAGCAGAATCTCCGCAGATAAATCCGTGGATTTTGTAGGATGAGTGTCCCTGAGTGACGAGGTGTATCTTTCTTTTCAATGCCTCGGGTAGTTTTGTAGATATTTCATATCAAAGTTTTGTTTGGGGAGTCTGCGGCGAAACCGAAACTACCGGCTCGAGCAAGATGGCAACTCTGGTGACCAGCGGCATGGCCATCCTGTGATACAAATATCGTTTTGTGGTACCGCAAAACGTACGACTGGTCTAGTCGCGAGAGCAGTTCCGATCAGTCAGGTGAAATGATACGGCTGTTTTACTGTTTTGCTTCGTAGATATGGAACATCTGTAGCAAATATTAATACGCAATTGTAAAGTTGCCGGCCGAAAAGCTAGTTTGCCACGATGAACGCAAGCTCAAAATGAGCCCCCACTTAAGAAGAACTACAATCTCGGTGGTGTGCAATGCACGTTGCAGGAGCATCGTAGAAGCTAATCGTAAGCTCGCGCTGAGCAGGAACGGACTAAACTATTTTGGCCAGTGAATGTCACCTTCGGGACCACGACGCGCTTGAGCGAACAGGGAGTCAATAATATTCGCGCGCGATCGCTGAGAAGCACTTACAAAAGACGGCCGCTAAAACATAACGTAAGAAACAAAAATCGTCCACTGGGACGGCCGATAACGCAGCAGAAAAACAAGGCGACAGAACTGGAAGTACGAACAAGTAACCTGCTTGGCCAGGCATGGCCTCCTTGGGTACGAATCCAAGGATAGACTGTACTAGAAAGCACGAGTGGGGCCACCGTAGCGCCCTTTCGGGCGCTAAGAGCGAAGTGGTTTGGATTAGCCGCTTTTTATGAAAAACGCATTTCGTTCCAACGCCAAGCTCGACCGGCACACTGGTCAAGGTCATAGAAACGATAGAACGCCGGACTATATTTTTTATACAACCTAGACGTCATGCGTCACGTACATAAAGTCACCGCGACCTGACTTATCGTCACAAGGCCATGCGACATCAGGACGACGCCTTGATGTCAACGTCGTCATCGACGTTGACAACGTGCGTTACACGACATCAAGACTGCGTTCTGACGTCATGCTGCGTTGACAATGACGACGATGTCAACGTGGACGTTGATGACGACGACGACAACGTCACGGGGCGTCAAGATGACGGTGTCCTTGTCAATGCAACGTCATAAGGACGCTTGGTGTCAGTTCGTTGACGTCGTTGTCAACATGACGCAACTCGACGTCACGAAGACGTTTCGACAACATCACGACGTTGACCACATCGTCGACGACGTTGCACAACGTCAAGACTTCGTCGTGACTGCGCGTCGACGTTGATGCTGGCGAAGGCGATGACGTTAATCGCCATCAAGGCTTCGTCGTGACGTTGACGTTCACGATGACGTCAGGACGACTTTAACGTGACGTCATAGCGATGTTTCACGTTGCGTGGGGCGTCGACGTCAACGTTGGCATCGACGACCATGTCCACGTCGTCCTCGATGTGGCGCGCGACGTCATGACTGCGTTACAACGGCGGCTTAACGGCGCTTAACGGCGTCGTCCTCAACGCAACGCGATGTCACGACGGCCTTACGACAGCATCTTGGCGTCGCGTAACGTCGTAGTCGATGACATCGTGGCGTCGTCGTGTCGTGGTGCTTTGACGTTACCTCTGACGTTAAAATCATAAAAAAATACATTATAGCCCCTAAGGGGCTATATTTCCCATATGACCTTGACCTGTGTCGTTGCTTGATCGCAGCGAAGGTGGCGCTGCGATCAAAGTGGCTTGGTTCCACCTGATCACTTTCTACATTTTGAGGTGTAACACCCGAGCCACACGGGCAACTCGAATGTCATTTACAACGAATGACATTTGTGTGATCGGCGAGTCAGTTCGCAATCTGTCGCGCGTGGAATGCGCTACGCCCGGAGTGTCGCGCGCTGATTGGCCGTCCGCTCAAATGTCATTCGTTGTAAATGCCATCCGAGTTGCCCGTGTGGCACGGGTATAAAAGCATGAGCGGAGCCTATAGCTCGTCCCACTCGTACCTTCTAGAACACTCTACCAAAGAGGCAAACTGCGTGATGCACGTTAAAGACTCCAGGCTAGCGGCTGTACCGCACTGGCTAAATTGCTCATCTACAGCTGGGAGACTCGTCGCCCCTCTGAGGCAGACCAAGTTCTAGGCTGTATAAACACACACACAACCCAATTATTATTATTAAGCCTGGCCAAGCAGGTAGCTTGACAAGCAGCCAACCCGCTGAATGCCCGCTGAGAAGCTGATGGTAGCATTTTTAATATTGGTCTTAAAGTGCACCGCGGTTTTCCATTGGTGTAACATCTTGACAGTGCTCGTATTTAGTCTCCGTAAATCGATATCAGTAATTTAATTTGGTTCGAATTTTGACCGGAGTTACCCTTTAAAGGTTTATTCAGGGGCAACAAGACGACTCCAAGAAAAAACTGCCTGTGTTAAACGGGGTACAGGGGTGGCCAAGCTGCGGCTCGCGAGCCGCATGGGGCTCTTCGCGTGTTAAAGTGCGACTCGCGGCTCCCTCCCCAACCCCCAACCCCCCTCCCCCCCCCCCTCCCCCCCCCCCCCACGTCCCAATCACACGAGCACTTCCCCAAAAAGAGAAATGGAACATGTATTAAATCGAAAAACGGATTGCGGTTTGGTAGTCTTGTGCTACTGCTACCTTACGTACAGTTGGACTCATTTTTACTCAGATAGATTGATAGTAGTTGGAGTTTTGTTTATTGCTGTAAACAAAAGTTTGCCACCCGCCCCGCGGCTCTTGGAAGTTTCGTGGTTTTGTTTGCGGCTGTTAGGCCGGGTCAGCCTGGCCACTTCTGGGCTAGTACTTCACTCAAGATGACATCTCATCACCGAATGCGCTCATGTAACTTTACATATACAAAATTTCTCAGTGCTGCGCACATCACCACCGGGTTCACGAGGACTGCGAGGTCACGCGAAATGATGATAATAATCCCTGGAGAAGGGGATTTAGGCCGCGCACCAGTCACCTAGCTGTGTTCGTCCTCTGTTCCCCCTGTTCTCCTTCTCCAGGGATGATTATGGTCATTATTGTCCAGCACGCTCGCACCTTTGCATAACTTGCGTTATCGTCACGCGAAATGTTCTCTTCGAAGGTCGTATTCTTTTGCGGACAACCGAGCAGACAGACTCGGCTGACGTACCTCATTTTCGATGGAAACTTCTTCGAGTTCCATCTTGAAGAGGCTGTAGTCTTCTGTCTTCTCTTTTCCGGCTGTAAGAGGGGCAGATAAATTTTGTTTACCGTACAGTTTTTTTCTTACGTCCGAGACTCACTAGATCGAATATAGCATAGCCAGGAAATTCAAAAAATACTTTTTTTATTAAATTGCGCGTATAAAAATTACGAAACGACAGTTCAGTTGAAATTAGGTAAGCGATGATTTACGTAAAATATAAATTAATCGACTGCACTTTTTTTTTTTTTTTTTTCATCTTCGGACTTGTGAATTTCGAATGAGTTATGGCTAATCCAGAGGCACGGCCAGCCCTACTAATTGTGTAATATTACGGACTATAATATTCTATCCTCAATAAATGACCTTCGAGAAAAAATAAACAATTAAATTTATTAGAATAAAATTACCAAATGTTCTGGATAATTTGTGCGCAAGCTATCCATGCGCCAAGCAACTGAGGGAGAGGAGGAGGCGAGAGGGGACGGTCAGAACGCCGAGCTCTGGTTGGAAGGATTAGTGGGTAGACAGAAAGCTATAGCTGCCTTTGCCTCCACTGCACTCGTCAGACGCGTTCGAAGTTGAAAGCCAAACGCCGGACGGCGTCGACGAGTGCAGTGGAGACAACGGCAACTAGCTATGGCGGCCTCACGCATGCGCCGAACGCTTGGCGAGATCGGTCTGTTCGAATACCGAAAAGAGTTACAACGGAAAACCGGAATATATCTTGGTTACTTTCAATGAGCACATTGAGCGCATATCTTTACTTCATACGAAGACTCCTTGCTCGTGAAATGTGGCACATGGGTAAGAAGGCCAAAATACTTGGCGTGCGCGACACGTGAAAAGCGGATGCTCCGAGCTGGGGGATCTCCACTTGGAAGACCAGTTCATTGGTGGCAGTGCTTGTCTTCGATGGAAGCTCCAACACCGTGTTCACCCTGGGAACGACCTGTGAGAAGAAGGGGGCAGGTTCTAGCCCCTGCATCAACTTGTTTGCCGACATGAACGGAACCACCGCGCCTGCGCAGGAATCCGTTTATCGAGCGGCAACGCATCTGCGGATGCCCCGACCAGCGCCGCCAGGTTGTCGTGACGCCAACTTCGTGAGTTGGTGCACAGTTTCAGATCCGTAGTGAAGATTTTAAAAGTCTGTCTTGCGCCACGACAACGTGGCACCAAGAAATCACTGGCACTGTGACGTGAGTCATGGTGTAATGTGATGGTGTCATGTGACACTGTGATGTTTGAAGGTGTAATTACCTGGGATTCGATTGTCTTGTTGTCGTAGCTTTGCACCTTGTAGCCATCGTCGAAAGGCACCGGAAGCCGAATATTGTGAGTAGTTTTGTGACTCATGGGGTTGTACGCCACGACCACAAACTGAAAAAAGGGGAAAAAAGGAAGTGATCTCGGTGAGTTATTTTCGTTCAAGAACCGCGGTGATATTGTAGTGAGTGCGCAGGCGAGCTGGTGGATGCTATGGAAAACATCCACCAGCTCGCTGGTGGATGTTTGTGGAGCTGGTGGGTGTTTGTGGAAAACGTCAAGGTTTCAAGGTCGTTTGACAATTGTGGTGGAAAGAGATGAGACCTTTGTTATCTTTTTGCTTTGGGGGTCGAGAAGGACGAGAAGATTCTGTGGTGAAGTTCGTGGAGTGTATATAAGAGGGTGACCAAATAAACTTGTCTTTAGCTGTGTTAGAGACGTGTCCTCGACTGTTTATTTTCATTCTACTTTGAAACTTCCCTCTTTTCCTGCCTCAGTCTCGGGTTAAGAACAAAATGAAGAACCTCCCCTACCGAAAAATCCGGTATAACTTTTTGTTATCTGGATTATGGAACCGGAAATCTATCTGGATTCTATCTGGAGTCTATCTGGAATTTAAGTTTTCAGAAATTATTCCTTTGTCTTCAATCTGGATTTCGGGTTTCCGGTAACAAATTTCCGGTTCCACAATCCGGATAATGAAAAGTTATACCGGATTTTTCGGTAGGGTCAGGTTTGTTGATCTGCGCAAAGCCCATCTTCAGCTCCAAAACTGTAGTCTCGTCACTTTCAGCTAGAGTTAATCTCCACTGTCGAAAGCACGAGCGAATCACGTTGCCCAAGTTACCTCCAGTTCTTTGGCCCTGGCAAGAGCGCTGGGATTTCACGAAAATCATCTCGCTGCTAAAGCTTCCTGCGGTTTTGCAACGGCTGAGATTGAAGGACGTCTTAGCGGTATCAGGAGGGGATGCAGCACTGGCTAGGCGTGTACACGTTACTGAAGTTAAATAACTGAATACCATTACCCGTTGCTCACTCAAAAAGTAACTAGGTACGTTGCTCGTTGCTGCGATTCAACAGGGGCGTGTTGCCTGTTTGAAAAGTAACACGCTATTTTCTCGTTACTACGAATGTACAGCTTTCATGAAGCAGTAGCCGCCTTCCAATATTTGTCGCCGTTAATGATTCTCTCTTTTTTAACGCGTTCATTCGGGGATAACTGGGGTTATGGTAACGTATCTTGTGCACATCCTTTGTTGTCTTTCTGGCGTTTCTTTCACCGTGAAAATCGCAGAAGCGAGCTGGAGTGAGAGCCAGCTTGGGTGCCTCTGCTGTGCACGTACTCCTCCAGGAGTCACTAAGTACACTTACAATTGTTACTCCATCAAAAAGTAACCAAAATAAGTTACTCGTTCCTTCTTTTTCGAAGTAATTAAGCCGTTACTTCGTTACAAAAAATCGTAACGCGTTACTTGTAACGCGTTACCTAGAAGTCTGTCTGTGCATACCCTGTCCACGTTCTCCGTCATGAAGCAGACAGTCTCGTTGAGTCTGTGGCAGAACTGGAGCGGCTCGTCGAAGCTCTCCGGGTTGCGCCAGAGGGAGCTGACCATGCCGTCGCTGATCACCTTCTGCGCTCGCCGGAAAAAGTCGCCAGAGGGCGCTGTCACATTGCGCTCATACAAAAGGCAGCCTGCAGACACTTTCTCGGGCGTGTTTCTCTTCTGTGTCTTGTCACATGGGTCACCCATAAACACCCCGCAAACATGCTTGGAAGATGATTAAGCTGTGTCATTATGCCTGCAGCGAACGCCGAGTCGTTTGTATGATGCATGAGCAGTGTGGCCGTGCTTAAATGCTCCCCGAGTCTCCTTCTCAACTTCTTCGTGCACCGGCTTTGACTACCTTCGTGACTCGATGAGTCCCTGTTCCGATCGATTCCGTGGACATTGAAAAATACCCGACCGCCACCGATAACGCATTCGGAGTACATCGTGGACGTGGATTCAATCCGCTATCCGCCGGTAAATAAATAAAAATATACAGTTTTATTTACCACGTAAGAATGGTATACTAGCTGAGGAAAGGCAGCTTGACCGGTCCTCAGCCCTCTTCAAGTGCAAAGTAATGACGAGAAAAAAAAACAATAAATATATTAAAATACGTGGTGCTTCCGTCATTAAAAAAAAAAGAAACAGGGTACCCTTAACAAAGCCATAAGCAACAGTGACAATGAATTACATTAAATAAATAGAATCGAAAAGTTGAACACAAAGAAGAAGAAAAAAGAACTTACCAAAATTTATTTTAACACATCTATACTCGGGTACAACTTATCTTGGCAATAGAGTCAAAGAAAAGGGCCCGTGTGCCCTCTCCCCTTATAAGCGCTAACTAAAGCTGCATGCGCGCTCTCCTCGTCTCCTCCGAAATGCCAAAAAACGTCTTCCCCGATGATAAGTAAATTACAGAAATTGCATTTAATAAAATTATGTTCCCATGCTTTCGCACACTGCCCCAAAAATACCTTCATCCGCTATCCTGAAAAGAAATATTAATAAACCAAAAAGAAACAAACACAACAAATTTTCTTTTCGCTTTTTCTTTGTCTCGTAAGATTTTCTTCTTTTTTTCACTATGACTTTTTACCAGGTTGCCTGCGCAATATCCAGTCTTAAGTACTAACGCATTACCTTAACTTCGTTACTTTTTGTAACGAAGTTAAGTTAGTAATGCGTTATTTTGCGAGAAAAAAAATTAAGTAAGTAATGCGGTATAACTTATAAGTAATGATTTGTTGTTGTTGTTTTTCAAATGTAACTTTTAAATGTAGTTTTATTACTATTTCTGAAGTAGCGCTGTAAGTAGCGGCGTTACTTCTGTCGTTAGTTTTTACCGTTTCTTGAGGAATAGGATATCACTGAACGAGTCCGATCTAACCATTCCTTGCACTTTCCAAATGATGTTTACCGACATTTTGAGCGTCATGTTCACGTTGCGCGAACTTGCGAATACGCCGTTTCTCACGAGCCACTGTCCGGTCATAGCCCCGTGTGAACGTGATGCGAAGAACGTATAGTCATCTTTACTTAACCTTCTGTTATAAAAAGTAAGTAAAACGTAAAGCCGTTACTTTTCAAAGCGACGGTAACGAGTTACTTTTTGTTTGTGGTAGATGTAATAATAACTCCGCTGAGTTTTTTTTTGTTTTTTTTTCTAAAAGTAACTGTAACTAACTATATTTTTAAAAATAACCTACCCAAGACAGGCAATACCTCATTATTTTATCTGCATTCGTTGATTTCGCAGCAAATATTAACATATATACAAATTTCTTAACATAATATTTTTTTCGATGTTAAAATTAGTTTCCGTCAGAAAGTAGGGCTCGCTATAGTGAGCGAAAGAGAAGACGGTTGCGTACCTCACAAAGAAAAATGCTGTCTCCGATCATCTTTGCGTAGTCCCTGGCCACCTTTTCCGAAGAAGTCCCGCTGTCGAAAAAGCGTGAAAGTAAGTGCCGGGAATTCCGGTTGTGGGTTCATTATATGCCAATGGAGAGGCGTCGATTAATTCGTGTTTACAATATGCGTGTAAAATTTAATTTCGGTAAAGACTCGTCCGAACTCGCAGAAAAGCATTTTTCGCGAAAAATAAAAATTAGTTTCGCAGATATCATTGTCTAATTTACTGCACATCGCATAAAATTTGACATAGTGTTGAAGAAAAATAAAATTGCGAAAGACCTATTGCATACCTCAAAAATCTATGTGGGCGCCTGATTCCGCATTATTATGTTCTAGCTTACACTAATATAGAAAAACCAATGGAAGCCATTTTGAGTATAAATAGGAGTAGAGCCACTAAATAAGCTGCGCTTAGAGTATCGGCACTCCGTTCCCCGACATTGTTGTGGGCGCTGCCATTTTGGCTCGTATGCAGAGCAGACGCAACGGCCGATCGTCATGATTCAAAAGTGCGACTTCCTCAGCATTAGATTCGGTGTTAGGAAGGTCATGTAATATTGCTTTGCTCTGTCGCGAACGGTTTAAACACTTGTGGAGGGCGGAAAAGCATTTCCTGTGATTTCAGATAAAGCTTCAGATAACTGGCAACCTTGATTTTACGACACAATATGGCCAAATGTCGTTACTCTGAAGCGTAGCTTATTTAGTGGCACTAAATAGGAGCTCCAAAGAGGAGATCCTTCCTGACACTGTTTCATTTATTTTAGCCAACTTGGATTGAGGTGTTAGCTATAAAAATTACTGTACTTTTTTTTCCCTGAAAATGTACTAACATTAAAAGGCCTCGTCTCGTTGTACTTCAATTAAATTGTGAATGGCTTAAAAAGCGCTGTCGCGCGAATCAGTGGGATCGGCCTCTTTATAGGACATCGTTACCGGAGCGAAATATAATTTACTAAAGTCTGTTGAAACCCCTTATAGAATTTGTGGTTTTCTCCTCTCGACTTTCCTTCTATCCAGGGTTCGCTCTGATACAGTGGAAAGGGTGGAGGGCCTTGTGGGTGGAGCTTCTCCCACCAACTTTCACCCACCAACAGAGCATAAAACTCTTTAAGGACGCGCAAGTTGTGACGTGTCGACCCTTACGTGACGGCGTCGTGATGCTGCATGGTCGCAACAGCCTGTTCTGTAACAAAAATAAAGAAATTATTTCCACCACGTCGATCTTAATACCTATGCACGCGTAGCGAGATATTAGGGACTTTAGTAGGTCGTTTTTGTAATACGATAACGATATCTCGATAACGAAGCGATACACGCGCAGAGGCTCCGCCGAAGTATCGAGTATAATTAAGTTATTGGAACGATCAACTAAAACTCACTATGCAAAAGCACGCCCGTTAGTCCGCCTGTTGGCAAGTTTCTGAAGTTCCTCATAGGCGCTAAAAAGGCCCTTTCCGCGGTTCTAAATCAACCGCACCACAAATAACGTTGACTTTCGGATGCTTTCGAATGTGCCGACCCCGTATGTGTACGAGGCTTACACGTGACTGTCATTGAATTATGCTGCGTGGTCATTCCTAGTCTCTCTTGCCGCGAAAAGCATCCGACATTGCGAACAGAACGCTGCAAAAGATACGCGCTCTGCAGCGAGGCCCCCACAATGACCGTTAATGTGACGTAAGTGCAAGTCACGTATCCAACGATCATTTTCGCCCCCTGAAGCCGCATGGTCGCATGCTACCGATCGCTCTCCTCGTCGCTGGTGGCGCTGATTAACGGAAGACGGTCGGCGTTGTTACGAGTGGACAGCGGTGCAGTGTATGCACCGAGACTTTCACACCGCTCTTACAGCATACACAACCAGAGGTCGGCATTTTAGGTCGCCCTCACTCACCCTCACCCTCACAACCACACTCACCTAAGCCCCTCACTCACCCTCACCCTCGCAGCTACACTCACCTTCAGCCCCTCACTCATCCTCACCTCACAGTCACACTCACCTTCAGCCGTTCACTCACCCTCACTGAACCTCACGGCCCTCACGCACTCACCGCCCTCACGCCCCTCACGGCCCTTACCGCCCTCACGGCCCTCACGCCCCTCACTCACTCATGGCCCTCACGCCACTCACCGCCCTCACGCCACTCACCGCCCTCACGGCCCTCACCGCCCTACCGCCCTCACGGGCCTCACCGCCCTCACCGCCCTCACGGCCCTCACCGCCCTCACGGCCCTCACGCCACTCACCGCCCTCACCGCCCTCACGGTCCTCACCGCCCTCACGGCCCTCACGCCACTCATCGCCCTCACGCCACTCACTGCCCTCACGCCACTCACCGCCCTCACGCCCCTCACGCACTCATGGCCCTCACGCCACTGAGGCCAGCTTCAGGCGGGGCAATTTCACCCAGAAACTTTACGTCGCAACACCAGCAACACGGGCCGCCCGCGATCACACGCAGCAACCAATTGCTGCAATTCGCCATCGTCATCATAAAATTTTATTTTTCTTGCACTATTTAGACACAATTACGCGTTATAAACGTGTTTTTATGCATTTAAATCTCGTTAAGAATACTAATGCACCTTTCTGAAACAGTTTATTTCCAAAAAAACACTATCGATTTCAAACCAGAACCAAGTCTTTTGGTGTCATCATCACCGGCACGAGGTATCACGTGAAATTTTTGCGTCTCTGATTGGATACAGCCGCCTCAAACGTATTCGAATTGCTCCAAGTTGCTTGCTTATTTCGAGCCGGACCCGATCTCAACAATTCGTGTCGATCTAGGGAAAGCTAGAGAACAACCCGCCATTAACACCAAAATTGTTGAGAAAGATGCTCGATCTGAAGGGCGCCTCACGCACTCATGGCCCTCACACCACCTCATGCACTCACCGCCCTCACGGCCCTCACGCCTCTCATGTCACTGCCCTCACGCACTCATGGCCCTCACACCCCTCACGCACTCACCGCCCTCACACCACTCACGCAGTCATGGCCCTCACCCCACTCACCGCCCTCACGCCCCTCACGCACTATGGCTCTCATACCCCTTACCGCCCTCACCGCCCTCATGGCCCTCATGGCCCTCATGGCCCTCACGGCCCTCACGGCCCTCACAGCCCTCACCGCCCTCACGGCCCTCACGGCCCTCACCGCCCTCACGGCCCTCACTGCCCTCACAGCCCTCACGGCCCTCACCGCCCTCACAGCCCTCACGGCCCTCACTCACCCTCACTCACCCTCCCACTCATGAGTTTTCCTGGTTCAGAAACTCACTCACCCTCACCTTACCTGTGAACATGAGGGTGAGTGAGGGTGAGTGAGGGCCCTCATGAGTGAGGTTTGCCGAGGTATGTACACAACATACACAGTGTTCGCTGCGGACACGAGGACATCTGAGGATACGCCTCAAGTATTCTCGAAGAATGCTTGCTTTATGCGCACGTATGCCCCAAGCATATCTGCAGAGTTTTTGTGTGGCCAGTGTGATCGTCATACAGGCAAGAAGCACGCATCATGCAGACTGTCTTTTGCACGATGTATAGAGTGTCCCGAGTCACCAGGCTCGATCTAAAATGGACCGTAAAAATCGACGCCTCCACGTAGCAATCCAAACTTTTCGTCAAAGGTGTATTTCCCAGGTCGGTTTTTTTCTGGTAAAATTAGAAATCGTAGCTCCCTTTCTGTAAAACATAGGGCCAAGAAGCTTGCCAGGGCCAACGGCCGGCGGAGACGCAGACGACCAAGTTGAGTGGCGGGGTGCACTTGGCGCTCGTGTTGATAGATGGCGCTACCTCCTTATCGAGACGGCTCGCAACCACCGTGGTTTATTGAAATGAACATGATCTTTTTTGTAATGTACCTTTGCTTAAAACATAAATGTGCACAATAAAAGCAAAACTTAAAGTAAAAAAAAACACGCGTCTGCATAACGACGGCGCTTTTGCTGCCAGCGGATTTCATCTGCGTGTCGTCTGCTTTCTTTCGCTAGTCGGCTGCGCCCAACGTAATTAGATTAGCTCAGTTACATAACTCCTCATAGACGCAGCATGCACGATTTTTGCGGTCCATTTTAGATCGAGCCTCGTGGCTTCGCACACCCCATATTTGCAGTGGGACCGCGAGATCTTCGTTAGTGAATAAAAACATACTGCACCAACGTACTGAACTTGAGGATGGATTCCCGAATCCCGGATGTCACCGCAATTTGCTTGCACGCCTAAAATGCAAGGAGGCCAGCTTCGGAATGCGCGTTCGTTGCTCGCCCTTCGATCATCCGCAGTCCCCTCACCTGGAGGAAGCCGTTGGCGTAGCGGGCGTAGCGCTTCAGGGACGGCCGGCTGGAGTAGAGCCCCGTCCAGTAGAAGTGCTGCTTGTCCGCGTACGGCAAGAAGTCCTGGGTGTAGACGGGCCACGGGGCGCTGGCGTTGTTCACGGCCCGCAGGTAGCACGACGGAGTCGAGTAGAACGCCTGCACAGGCGTGCCCGTCGTCGCGGCCTGGGAAGGGCAGTGCGTTTAGGTCAGTGTTGTCGGAAACACGTTACAAGTAACGGCGTTGCAGGTAACGTCTTACTTTCTTCGGTAACGTAGTAATGTATTCGTTACATTTTCAAAACAGAAACGAATGACCTACGTTACTTATTTCGGGTGACGGGTAACGTAGTTACGTTGCTCGTTACGGTCTTCTGCCCAAAACTGCAAGAAAAGTACGCGTCAAGTCGTATAAATCCTTGCACTCATCCCACGTTCTTTAAATATGTTGCTTAGTCTGTTTTCCCCACGCAGAAAACCCCAACGCCCAGTCGAAAAACGCTATCGCCTAAAGTAACGCAAAACACGCAAAACACACGCGGGATATTCTTATCGGTTACGGTAACGCGTTGGTTTTATTTTGACGTTACGTAGGTCGATAACGCGTTAACTTTATTTGCGAGTAACGCGTTACGTATTTCGTTGCATTTTGCAACGCCTACAATCGATTGGAATCGCGTTCCCGCACCTACAGTTTCTATAACTGACACCGCCGATTTTAAAACTGCAATTACTAATTTATTAATAAGTACTCTCATAGCATTTGTTCATTGCACATTTTTGCCTCTTCGTTCACGTTTGATTAGTTTACTGAATGCAATTAGGCCAGTGCTTTGTCTAATGCTCCCCGGATCCCGAAAGAATAGTCAATAAAATAAATGAAAACCAGTCTTCCTTAAATATAATGTCCAAAGATATCACACTACTTGTTTGGAAGTTCCATGACTGAAAAGCTTTCCGCTGTGGAATACGTCGGAAGCCGGCAGCCGCTGGTAAGTATCCTCATTAGCGCGATAGCCCCGGTTGGGGACTTCAAACTTTGAATCCCCATACCGTCAGCTTGGCTCGAGCTCCCGACTATAACAAACTAATACCCGTGCCACACGGGCAACTCGAATGCCATTTACAACGAATGACATTTGAGCGAACGGCCAACCAGCGCGCGACACTCCAGGCGTAGCGCATTTCACGCGCGACAGATTGCGAGCTGATTCGCCGATCACACAAATGTCATTCGTCGTAAATGGCATTCGAGTTGCCCGTGTGGCGCGGGTATAAGGCTACAAGTCCGATATGCTTTCTTCAGTATACTCTCCAACTACACGAACTCCCGTGCACCAAGAGCACCCACCAAAGCTATGAGCGTACGCTTCTATAGCCCTCAGATACTCTCACACACACACAAAAAAAAAACAAAAAAAAACAGCAGTTTAAATTATTTGGAAATTTGACTTTCAAGCCTCATGAACCGTTGCAAGAAATAACTAAGTACATAAGCGCACACGCACACCAAGAACGGTGACGGTGCAGTTTGTTTGCTTCACCACAGAGTACTCACTTCTTTGTTGACTGCCGCGATGAGGCGGTCTAAGTTGTCGAACCAGGAGTCTGCCTTGGTGTACGCCAGGTCACCGCCCATTGTCACCATCACGTTCTTCGTACCGTAGTCCTTCGCCTTGGAGCGGCGCGAACAAAAACCAAACAAGAATCTTGGAAATGCGCTTGTCGTCAACGCACACAACGAGCCTGAATATCCAACGAAAATGAATTTTCAATATTCAATCTCGTTGGGCACATCATTCGGGCTCGCTAGACTGAATCGCAGAAGTGGCCGATACTGTAAAAGGTCCGGGGAAAACGATATCAGAACAGAACATACTGTCAAGTATTCGCCGCATAATCTAAGGCCTCGAGTGTAAATATTCCCGAATCGAGCTATTTCTGCCAACTGCCGTCGTAGGGATTTTGCTTTTAGACCACCGGTATAGGCAAATTTATACATATCCTTGCACCTCATTACCTTTCTCGTAAAGCTGATAACATAGAAAAATATTCGAGAATTCTTTGCGCTAACGAAACTGCTAAAATACTTTTTTTTTTTTCCCAGGCCATTTAAAATTAGAACTTGCTGCCCAATATACTGGTAGAGCTTTTCACTGTTGACTCATTTTTTCACGAATTGATGTTATTGGTGTGAGCTTTTCTGTTTAGACTCTTTTTTGGTTTTTCTCACTGCTGTTGTTTTGTGTGATTTTTTCATATGCATCTTCTTACGCCCCCCACCCCTTCCCCCCCTTCCTTTATTTTTACTATAATGCCCACTGGGCGATTGTAGGTATTGTATAAATAAATAAATAAATAAATAAAACATTGGGCAATCAGAAATGTCCAGGACATAAACACATTTATTCGCAATACATGCTGCGTATTATTGTTGCCAGACTTCTATTGTTGTGGTTGTTGGTTTTCGATTTTAGGAGCGTAAATACTTTCCAGACAGAACAGCTTACGATAAGGGCTGATCTCTTTTATGGTGACGTAAACGCCGGCCGGCTTATTACGCTGCATAGCATCAGAAGTTAACCGCTGAAAGCGGAGACTTTTATTGCATCGTAATACTATCAGACCCCTGCATGGTTTATCCTGTCGCTATTTCGCTCAATCTTTAAGTAGAGTAGCAATTACGTATTCGATATACTAATTCAGTTTATTGCTAATCATTTAACTCTCCTTTCCAAGTTACTTTTCGGTAACAAGAATTCTATAGTAAAAAAAAAAAGGAAGAACATCCGTCTTTTGGGGATATACCAAAGACGCTCTAAACGCACAGCGTTTTATACGTCCTCTGCGACGTCGTAGCCACCCCTGAGGCTACGACGTCGCAGGGGAGTGACCACGTGACGTGACGTCATGTGATCTCATCACATGACACCACGCTTTCACGTGAAGTCAACGTCATGTGACGTCACAGTGTCTTGTGAGTCACAGTGTCACGTCACATAATGGTGCCACTTGACGTCACACTGTCGCGTAAAAACTATGACTCGAGAGCTTCCTTTTTTTGTGAGGACTCGTCACCATTCCTGCACCGCGGTCAGACACCAACTGCTGCGATATCGTGACGTCATTAGCGTGGCGTCACCATGGAGTCGACATCTCACGGACAGGAGGAAACGGCTAAAAGCTGGCTCTATAAATTTAAAATCTGGATAGACGTTTCAGTTCATTGATGGACGCGAAAGGCCCGCTGTTTGAAATATTTCTTCACTATGAAAGGAGATTTCATCGAGACCGGAGCAGTCTTTTTCGTCTCACTGTACAAAACCGCCAGGGGAACGTCAATACATTTTCGTGGGGTTTCTTTTCATACTCCTTCTACTAGGTTCTGCTATCTTCCTGTTTAGATTTCTTTCGTCCTTGTGTTGTCTATCCATGAAGCGCTGTCCTAGAACGAAGTGGTCTTTCGCACTCTCAGTAAGCTACCTCGATGAAAATTGGACGCAGAACAAATTGTAAGCAGAAGCAGGGGCTTTATTTTCGATGCTTCTAGCAGAGACCGCTCTTTTTGTTAAAAGGTCAGGCTCTGCTCGAAACGTCAAAAATAGAGCCTCTGCTGCTGCTCACAATTCTTCCTACGTCTGATACTCTCTTGGTGATGAATTGCTTATTAACACTTTGAATCGAGAAAATTGGTTAGAAATACGCGGACCGAAATCTGACAACAGACTCCTGTCTGAATCCGCTGCTGCCGGCCACGCGCTCAAGAATGACTGGACTCAGTGATGTGATTGGTTTGCGTAATTTTATATCTCTTTTTGGAGCAGCCAAAAGTCCCTTTTGGAACACAGACATATCCTTATTTCTTATTTATTTTACGGCAAATAGTATGTTCGGATTCATGAATCGGTATGGGCAAATACATCCATTAAAGCATAATTGATCTTCAAATGTAATGTAATATTGCACATCAATCTTCAAATGTAATGTAATATTGCACATCAATGACATCTGAAATGTATAGATGGTGCAAAGTCAGCATGTGAAAAATAAATATCTATCAAAATCTAGCTGCACTCATTAGCGCAATTTCCAAGCTATTATTTCAATACTAAAGTTACTTTAGCTTTACTTTAATCTTAACGACTGCGTCCATCAACAGCTGGGGGCCAAAAGAGGCTTTAATTAAACGTGCAATTTCATCCTATAGCGCAGCCCGGCTACACCACATCAACGTGATTCATCAACCTTTCTCCCGATATCCAAATATGAAGGTATCATCTCTTAAATCTTAAATTTTAAATAAAGAAAAAAAACAACGACTGCGTCTAATGAACTTGTAAGAATATCGCAACTTATCATTACAAACTAGCCGGAGTTTTATTTTGCAAATTTTATTACCACGTATATGTTGTCGATAGGCATTTAGCAAGTTGTATTCTTATATTTTTTTATGTTCCAGCCTGGAGGAGTGTTTTACCACTTAACACGAGGCTGCGCTGCGACGAAGCGACATTCACAGAATCGCGATGTATATTTTGAGGTTGTAACTTCTCTGCAGTGCACCAGTGCGCACTCCACGGAACGAACTAAACTGCTTAAGCAAACCATTGACATTGAGAGATGTCCCGAAACATCAAAGTAATAAGTCATGTTTAATACAAAAATTATATTAAATGGCACTTTTTGTTTTCTCTAAGCTATACCCGAAGGTTTTTTCCCATTTTCGCAAGCTTGCGATAACAATCCGGCAGTGTAGAAACGCCTGAACTATTACTTTCTGTGTTGGTAAATTCAAGTTAGCTAGTGGCGCAACGTGGGCGCAAATTCCCCACATGTAGGGGAAATGTATCAGGATATAGTATGGTAAGTACTCTGGCAGACTTTGGCGTAAACATAGAGCCAAAAAACTTGCCAATGTCAACGGCGGATGGTGATGCAGATGACCGAGTCGAGTTGCAGGGTGCGTTTGGCGCGCGTATTGATAGGTGTTGTGGGGAGCAGCTTCCGAATGTGCAGCCGACCAGCGAAAGAAAGCAGACGACACGCAGACGAAATCCGTTGGCAGCAAAAGCGTCGCCGTTATTCAAACGCGTTTCTGTTTTCCTTTAAGTTTGGCTTTTATTGTCCGCATTTATTTTTTAAGGAAAGGTACATTACAAAAAGGGTATGGTCATTTGATAAACAGCGGTGGTCGTGAGCAGTCTCGATATCAAGAAGGAGGTAGCGCCATCTATCAATACGAGTGCAAAACCCACCCAGCTACTCGACTTGGTCGTCAACGTCGCCTCCCGCCGTTGACCCTGGCAAGTTTCTTGGCCCTATTTTTTACAGGATGAGAGCTACGCTTTGTAATTTTACAAGAAAAAGACTGACCTGTGAAATACACCCTTGAAGAAGAGTTTAGATTGGCACGTGCAAACGTTGATTTTTACGGTACATTTCAGGTCGAGCCTGGTGACTTGAAACGCCCTTATAATTTTTTTTATTTATGTGAGTTTATATTTTCGTATTTCCAAATATTAAATGTCGCACCTACGGGCACCTATGTATTACCTCGTAGCGTGATACGTTAAAAAAACCGGTCTATGCTTTCCCTTCAAAGGACCAACTCGCCGTTGGGTCCACCGTGTAACATTCCTATAAAAATGACATTCATTTTTGTGCACCCAACTTACGTATTCTTTGACGGCGTCGATGAACTGCCGAGCTCTCGTCCTAGAATTGTAAGACTGCGCACGGAGTCAAGCAAAAATGTGTTAGTATATATATAAGATACCGACACTCAGCCAAATTTATTTTTATAAAATAAAATACGTCTTTGTACAAAATAACTCGGGCATTTTGTCAGACAACCCTTCATCGAATAAGCTTTCGTTTCATCGAACTTTATTTTATTTAATGCCGTTCCGCCGTTCCATCGATGGTAGAATCTTTATGATATACCTGTTTGGACCTTGCAACACTCAACGCATCGCTCATTTAAAGAAAAAAAAAAGGGGGGGGGGGGGGGAGGGGGAGGGTTTAGCCAAGAAGGACAAGGTTTGGTTCAATTCATTTCAATTAACAATACGGTACGGGACGTTATAAACAAAGGATGCAAGGTGCAAGCAGTACGATTATGGAACCCGCTTTGTTTTCGTCCGAATAAACGGTGATTGCCCCCCGTTTTGTCCCCGCGATTTGAAATGGCCCCATTTCTATAGACCATCGAAACTTCGTAGTAAATCTCGAAGTCAAAGGATGGAGCAACTCTAAATAAAAGAGAAACCAGTTTCGAACATCCCAGATTGACGAGCGATTCCGTGACGTACCAAGACATCTGCACCTGGAGCACAGCTGGTTCTATCGAAGCAGAAGCCTTTCGGTGGTTGGTACACGTTGGGAAGCACCGATGCGAACAACTCGGAGTTCTTGCCTACACCATGCACAAATAAACAAAAGCAAAAAAGTAGACATAAGTTACCACGAAAATTAATTAATTCATTAGCTTCGTATTCAATCACTTGCTTTTTTTATTGATTGATTTATTGATTTATTTATACAGTAAGCCACCAAACCTCACATTTGGCACGCCTGGCAAAATTTAAATTTTAATCGTACATAACCTGAAATTGGGCACGCCGCATTTTTCAAAAACATTTTATCTAATTCTTTTTTTTTTTTTTTTAGAGCTCAGTTTAGATGTGGTGAAAACTTAAAAATGGGCAAATCTTTTTGCGAAACGACGTTCGCGTGCCCAATTTCAGATACGTATGCCCAAAATTTGAATTTTTCTAGGCGTGCCAAATGTGTTGCTTCTTACACGTGATTATTGTCCAAAGAGCATTATATTGTGTCAGCTTAAACCGCACTTTGTAAGGCGAACTGATAGTAGGGGAAGTAATGAGAAGAATTCCAACACAACAAACATCTCATCTCCTCTTATTTTTTTTTTTTTTGTTGTTGGACCGTCACGTTGACAGCGGGGACAGATTACAAAAGTCGCCGAAGAAAATACGTGCCCAGAATATATAAACTGCGCCGCTGCCAACCCAATAAGCTTACAGTAATTTCGCAAAGACAAAACAAGACGTTAACCCCTCAAGGCAAGGGGAGAGACGACCCAACGCGTGCGTCGGGAATCGTGGAACGCTACAAACTGGTCTGTGTGAAACCCCAGCTGGGAGACAAGTCCTGCACATGACGTCATCGTTAGTGCATCACCGACCCGCCCCAGGTGGCATAACACACCGAAGCTCGACGAGAGCGCGCGTCCGTCTTGGTATGGTGCCTGGAACGCGTCTCTGACTGGTGTGTTTACCACGGACAAAAAAGTGGTCCCTCGATTTCCGCCTGATGACGTCATAAAAGTGTCATGCTGTCGCTGGTCGCGACCCTGGCGGCGTCCCAATAGTTGTGGTACGTATTACAGACGCCTGTTCTGCTGCAGGTCGCTCTCCACTCTGACAGTTCACGGAAGCTAGAGCAGCCGGAAGTTGGGACGCCTGGGACACGGTGACAACAGCGACACTCGCGTTCGCTCGTGCTTTTCGCCAGCAATTCTACGGCCAACCGCCAGGATCGCGGCAGGCAACAGCATGACACTCCGGCTTCTGTGACGTCATTTGTTGCCACTTTGGGACCACTTTTGATGTATGGGCGGGATAGGACGCTAAACACACCAGTCGAAGACGCGCTCCAGGCACCGTAGTCTTGGCGTCGCCTCGCGCTAGCGTCGCGCTCGCTCGTTGTGAGGCGCTGCGAGTCGCGATGCTGGCGATCCTAGCGTTGTGACCCATCCGCGGTTCGGGTTCGGACAGATTCGATGTTTTCGAACCTTAAACCAAACGTTCGATAAAAGTTCGATAAAAGTTGGACTATTATGCGCATGCCGGTAAATTAGAAACGAACAAGCGCCGCCTGGCGGAGGAGAGGTGCAGCGTTTTGACGAACTAAATTAAGAATTTAAATTATTTAAAGCGTATAGCTTATCTGCTTTTATGTTGCGCAAACACTGAAAATTATTCTATAGTATTTAAGGCAAGCTAATTTATAATAAATATTTTGCCAAAAAAATTTATTTTCCTTTCCAGAATTCGGGTATCGGTACTTGGCCGGACTTAGGTTCGTAGAACCAGTTGAGCCTCGAGGGACGATTGTTCGCGCCATCCCTAATCATGACCAGTATCGCGATATGAGACGGCTGGGTATAACAAAAGCAACAGCTGCGATATTTGGGATCTATCACCTGCGTTCCGGTCTACAAAGCTAGCAGACGAAAAAGGAGCGCTTTAGTTGAGCGACAGCGACATATAGAAGACAAGGCCTGCGCCTTTCCCCCCTCCCCAAACGTCATCACTAGTGGATCCAGGCAGCGCCGCCTAGCTTGTGTCAGCATCACCGCCAGCAACGCGTCTTGCAACATCTCACGACGAGCACGACACTATCACGCGTCGACGCCAAGACTGCCGCGTCTGCCGCCTTTGCAGCGACTCTCGTCGAGTTTCAGCGTCTCTGCCGCTAGGGGCAGATCGGGGATCCACCAGCGATGACGTCATGCACGGGCCTTGCCATCGAGCTGGCATTTGGTATGCACGCCCATCCAGCATTCCAAAAGTGGCAGACATATATGCTATGTGTGCTGTCTTACTTACCCAGGTTTCTGTCGGCGTTCCACACGAATTCCAGGGACTTCTGAGAACGCCGAAACTGCTTGTCGTTCACGTGAATCCGGCCGAGGAAGACTCCGTCCAAGCCCATCTACACTCCCCGGTACCAGCAGACGTTGAGGCGTCAAAAAGACAACGGTTCACATAAACGGTTACGCCGCAGGAAAATCAGAGAGTCCTCTGCCATCGCACGCATCAAAAAACATGTTGCGAGTTAAAAATAAACGCTGTTGTTTTTTATATATATATATATATTTTTTTTTTTTTTTGCAGCCTTTCACTAGGAAGAATGGCGCAACAAATATATTGTTTAAACGAGACATGGTAGTTTATTGATTGTCAAAAATCCTGGCCGTGAGCTCTGAGATTCGGCACGACGCACCTGACGCATATTTTGTAGCGGCCGTCCGTTCACAACAAAGTGCCCCCCTCCCCCCCCCCCCTTTTTTTTTCCCATCTCTAAAAAAAAAAAAAATTACAACGTGTTTTTTTTTTTTTTTTTGTCGAAAGCTCATCCTCCTTCAAAATGTAGCGCAAGGGGTTGAAACCAGGTGCAAAAGTGTCAGAACTAACCGTCACCTTATTCAAGAGTTGTAATTTTCTGAAAATGTCGATAGTAAAATGTTCTGGGTAACTGGCACCGTTCAGCTCCACGTGTGTTTCCGTCGGCCACCATTTTCCCATTAAATTTTTCAGAAAATCACGTATAACGTTTGAATAAGACAACGGTTCATTCCGAAACTTTGCCATCTGATTCAGACTGTTAGCCCTACATTTGAAAGAAAAAAAAAGATGTGTTTCTTTTAGCAACCTGTACGATGGAGCGGTACTCGGTTAGCATGAATAAACGGAAGCCGGTTTTCGACGTTTTCCTCCCACAAATGAGTGACTGCAATCGAAATCGCTAGTTAATGCAGTGCATTGGCTTATCCCGCGGAGCGCCATCTTTGGGGATTCAAAATTTGAGTTCGTTTTGATTTGTACCAGCAAAACCTAAAAAGGCAGCTAAGTCTTGTCCGTGCTAACTGGGTCGCGAAGTGTATACAGAGAGCAAGACTCGTTGGAGTTGCTTCGGAGCTGCGGAGCTTGAAGGGAAGAACAGATGCGGTAAAAAACGCCTTAAGGTTTAAGGAACCCTACAAATCACCCACTCTCATATAGGTCAAAGTGATAAATTTTCATCGTATTATCAAAAAATGTATTAGTATGTCGAGACCGGTTACAAAGAAGTGGACGGGAATCTGAAATCACTTAGCTATATCCGCTTCTGCGTTATATCTGGACACCATAAATGTAACACGCAAAAACAAAAATATAGATACATATATGACACGGGCCGTCACGGGCACATGTTTACCGTGCTTGCAGAAAGCGGTAGAGGCTTCACTGCACGCACTCTCTGCTAGATCGGAGGTGCTTCTCGCCTTGTTCAAACCAGGCAACAAGCAGGTGGTTACAAACTACAGACCCATTCCGCTCGAATCGTCTTCATGCAAACTCTTGGAACGTATGATCTATAAGCAGATAACTAAGTACACCCGCCGGCAATATGAAGGTGAACACCTTAACTGGTTTCTTGCCTGTTTAACCGGCTCCCTAAAGCTATATTAACTCTCAACGTCTCAAATGGTACGTGGCTTGGGGTCTAAACTTTGCGTTCTAGCCCTCTTCTGGAACAGAGCTTGTTCCAAAACTTGCAGGAGCGTCAAAAACAAGAAGAGGGCTATTCACCTTCGTATCGCTCACGGGTGTACCTCGATACTAATTCTGTTCTTTGCCCACAACAGCATGGTTTTCGTCGTGGCTACTCCTCCTCAACCCAACTTCTTGAATTCACTCGCGACATAGCTTTGGCTTTAGATAAAAGAGGACAACTTGATGCTATCTCTGTAGATTATTCTAACGCTTTCGATAAAGTGCCACATCTTAAGCTTCTTCAGAAACTACAAGCCATATTAAGTAATGCCTCATTACTTAATTGGATCGAATATTATCTAAAAAATATATCAAAATTTTGTTCATATAGGGATGTTCATTTTAGCAATGTTTCGGTTAGTTCCGGTGTCCCACAGGGATCGGGTCTTGTACCGTACAGAGCCCACATAAAGTTTTAAATATTATTTTTTTCCTCGAACGATAGAAAACTGGAACAACTTAAATGGATCAGTTCGTTATCTCGATTTTGATAGATTTGTATTAGAAATGCAGTAGCTTCCCTGGTATGGTGCCTGTAAGTCCATTATAGTGAATTGTATGGGATTGTTTTTGTACTTTTTTTCAACGATATTGCATTTTTCACGGCTTTCTTAGTTTTGTTTCATGGGGTGTGTACATCTGTAATTGTTTGCTTTTTTTTAATGTACATGTATGTTTTCATTCCACTCCTACGATGACCTCATCGAGGTCGCAGTACTTTGAAATAAAAAAAAAATGAAATAAATAAACTGCGAGAATTTCTGATCGAAAGAAAACCCTGCGAACTACTTACGGACACGCAGTGAGGGCGCAGGCGAGCTGGTGTACGTTTACCATTATGTTAAAAACACCTGAGACTGGGTGCGAAAAAAATCCTGAAACAACCAAAAGTAGAAGAAGTCAGTCAGACAACGTCTCAACTTGGTTGTTTCAAGAATTTCCGAAGCCCCGTGTCAGGTGTTTTAACATAATGGTAATACGTACTGACCGCCTCTAGAGCCCTATCGACAGCTGCGACGACCGCCGCGGAAGACGCCGGCGGAGGACGGCATGTTCAGAGCGCAGCGCGCCTGTTTCCGGCTTGAGCGGCGTCGCCGTGGCCGTCCGCGTAACCGCGCGGTGCATTATGGGACGTTTCCCATGATGACGTCACACGTGACGTCACGTGTTACGTCACGAGGGCCACCGGTGACGTCATAGATGACGTCACCGCGCGTAGCATTATGGGTAAATTTTCCCGCTAATTTAACGGAAAAGTTTTCCCACTAAATTTAGCGGGAAACTTTTCCCCTGAATGGGAGGCGAGCAGGAGAGGAGGAGGGGAGGGTACGGATGAGAAGGAGGGGCATAGCCACCTCTCCGTACCTTCTCCTCCTCTTCGTCAAGAGCTGCGCTCTAATTCGGCGTTACAGGGGATTGCAAAAGTCTTTCATTTTTAGGTTGAAGCACACTTTGTCGAGGATGGCAGGACGCTTCCGTCGCTTCTCCTTCAAGATGATTGCCGTCATTTTCCCTTCGAAGTGCCGGCGGTGCCGGGACGCGCCATCGTTGAGTGGTGATGAGTCGCCGAATCGGTTCTTGTGCGAAGCTAGACTTTCGCGTAGAGAGCGACCACACTCGCTAACGACGCCGACACGAAACACGAAGTAAACAAAGCGCGCACGGCACAGAGTTGGCGCTCAAGTTCGTGTTTCGTAGGTATAAAGAGCCTAGATTTAAGAAAGGCGGCAACTGCTAGATCGGAGTCACGTGGTTCGTGGGCCGCGTTTGCACGACGAGCCGCAGCCTGCAAGGAGTCAAAAGCGTTCAAACGGAAAAATCCTGATCGCTCCTCTATAGCCGCTATTTCGTTATAACCAACTTCGTTATAAACGGTCACCACAATGATTTAAATTGAGAATTTTTCAATAAATATGTCGAATTATAACTAAGTTGTGTAACCAAAGGCCTGTTTCATTCCGAAAAGTTTTCTGAATGACCTGAACATATACATTATGTGCAAAGATTCTTAGACTATAAAAACAAAAATCTTATTTCTTCTAAAAAAATAACAATTTGAACGTTTTATCCCGTACGGCTTTGGCAAAAAGACATTCGGAAGCGGCAGGAAGCGCCGGTTGGAAGGATTGGCGTCTCCTCACAGACAGGCCACGGTCACCTGTGCAAAGAGGGCGGCCGTCTCGCGCGAGTGTCCGTACGGGTCGACCTGCCAGGCGACCCGGGGCCTGCCGCACTCGCCGAAGCTGGCGTTCAGCAGACCCATGCCCAGGCTCATCTGGTCCACTAGGGCCGAATAGTGCGTACACGCCTCGTCGCCCTGCACCCAGCCGCCGCCCACGAACTCCAGCTGGCCTGAGGGTGGCAAGCAGCGAGCTGTAGCAACACTACCTACGTCATCATCAGTGGATCCACGGCCGCGTCAGCATCGCCAACAGCGCGTCTCTCAGCCTAACGAGGACTACGACGCCAAGACGGACGCGTCTGCAGCTTTGACTCTCGACCAGCTGCAGCGTATTTGGGGCGGGATCCACTAACGATGACGTAATCAGCAGGCCCTGTCTTCTACGTGGGCCGATCCGCCGATATTTGAGAGGCTGCATGTCCGCACCTTGTCGCACCAGTTGCCGGACGCTGGTCCTGCGCGGAGGCAACTGGTCCTGCCACCAGCGGTCGAAGAAGGCCACCTCGGCGGACACGTACTTGCGGTCCCGGCTCTTGAGCAGAGCGTCCGTCACCGACGTGTAGATCCGCTGCACGTCTGCGCGGCACGTGGGCGCACCGCCGTCATCCGATGCCTCGGCGAGGCGCCAATGCTTCCGCGGATCCAAATGTACACCGAGATCGGTATTTTAGGTTCGGCTCCACGCAAACTCACAACTGAGTTGATGTAAAAGATTCCTCATTCACTCGTACTCAAACTAACATGTTGGACCCACTCAGACTTATCCTCGGTCCCTTAATACTCGCACTCACATTAACTATAATTCGCTTACTCAAATTAGCTCACGTACGTACTCAAACTCGTTTCCCACTTAATTAAGGCTCGTTCACACAGTTGCGTTTGACCGCGTTAAGACTGTTTGCGTCGAGCTGTTGCCATGGCGACCCTCAAGATGAGCCAAAAGGGAGGCGTTTTGCTGCACGACACAACGCGGCTCAACACGGCCGACATAGCTGTGTCAACGAACCTTTACAGATTCACACTCACTCAGACTCACTCACGGACTCGCCCACTCAAACTCGTGCACCCCTTACTCAACCGCTAACTCCCACTCACTCACTCAAGTGCACTGTTTCCTTCACCGGCTCTCAGAACTAGCCTTCGTCACCCCGTAGTTCGAGAACTGATTCCGTTCATCGGGCTCCGCCGTCATGCACGAAGCGGCAAGATCGCAACCAACACCGAGGCGTTGTGAGACGGGAAGATCTTTCCAAATAATATTCTAAGGTGGCACGACTCTGCAAGCTAGAGACATCGGAACCGGGGTTGCAGACGACCATTTAAAAGTTGTCGTCAGTACATCAACTCATGTTTCTGGCAACCTTTGACCTCATGCTAAAGGTTGCGAAACTGTGAACAGCGCAGGTGCAGGTGCTTCAGTTTCATCGGTCTTAGACGTTGCATTAAAATAAAAACGCCTAGGTTACGTCGTATTTTTCTTTTTTGTTGCTTTTGTTTCTTACGAGTGTCGAGAAGACGGGTCTCACATTCGTCGTAGATGACGTCCATTGTCTCCGTCCAACCGACGTCATTGTGGCTGTGGCAGATGATGTGCGCATTCAGCAGGCCGGGCTTTCCCGTGAAGCACGACTGCAAAACAACCTTGGCGTTGGTGTATGCACGCGTTGTTCCAATCCGAAGCGCGTGCGCGTTCCAGTCCGACTCTAACCATGACCTACCGGTTAGGATTATTGTTGGGTAAAGTACATCTAAAAGGTACTTGAAGTAAAGTACAAAGTAAGTGGGAGGTTATGTACTTCAAGTAAAACAGTAAGCACACGGGCGAAATGTACTTGAAGTAAAGTACTGTAATAACAATGTACTTTCAAAGTAAAGTGCAAGTACTTTTTAACACAATCTTTCATGAAGTCCTTTCATTCCCCTATAGTGTACAATATTTTTCTTCTTTTTTCCTCTTTTTTTATCTGGTATTCATTGCCCCAGGGGTAATCGGGGGTGCATCAGGTATTTTAGGAAATGGTGGCGAATATTGAATAAAGTCAAGAAAATATAGTATTCTCTATTACTCTCGCTGACCAAGTATTATCACGAATGACACATGATGAGGCGGCTAATAACCGGAGAAAGTAAACGTTTAGTGGGGCAAACTTGTGCTCAAAAACATCAGAGCCGCAGGCGTCGATGTCGGCGAAACGCCAGGATCGAGCGCTGGGGCGAGACTGACTCTGGACTGCCACGCGAGGTACCTTTGTACATTCGTGGGCTTCTGGGACAATCAGTGTAGAATGTTCGGCGCATAGAACAATCGGACCTCGAACAAGCAACTGCTACCATTCGGCGACGCGCGTGGCAGTATTTAAAGGGAAATTGAAGCGGTTCTGTATTGAGAGGGGGGCGCGTGGCGTGTTTCAGCTTGGAGCATGGAGCGAAAGCTTGCGCTGCAGAACCTCCTGGGTTCGATTCCCACCCCCTGCCCGTTTCGATCTGAATCAGTTAAATACCGGCACGCGTTCGATTTATCACTAATGCGTGGTGCACGTTAAAGACCCCAGGCTAGCGGTTGTACCGAACAGGCTAGATTTCTCATCTACAAAGAGACAAGTCACCCGTGGCAGCGTACTAGCGTCAAGGTTGTCTAAGCACACAAGCAACACAATTAGTTTTGGTAAAAACACTTAAAACGTCCTCATTTGGCCTCGAGGATCATGAATATTAAAATTATTTTCAATTTGGTGCAGAAAGACTGCAGAAAATCATTTTCAAAGTACCGCTGAAGCCCCTCCTTCCTGGAGCGTGACGTCAGAAAAGGAGTTTTGGGAGTCTCCGCCCTCGCGCAGCTTCAGCGTCTATCAAGGCTATGCACGCGCACTCTTGCAAGATTCAAAAAGGTCAGAAAAAGACGTCATGAGATGTCATTGCAGGGGAATATACCTGCAAGCTTGCGATTGCACGAGCCGCCGACACGAGTTGTTGGATGTTTTTCATGTTTCTTCACGTTTAGTTTCATCTTCGAAGACAACGAACGCGATATTCAAATTCAAGGGATTAAAAAAACTCTAGAATTCAACTCTAACTCTTTTTTTTTTTCAAGGATCCCTTCAGCTTCCCTTTCACACAATATACTTATAAGGCAATAATCTGTATCCGTTTTACAGACGCCATTACTTTACTCAGACAACTGACCAGATGACTTTTCCACAGGTGATAGTGCGTTTTCACATGACGATACGCCATTTACGCCATCTACAACGCGCCGTTTCAACGATATGACGTATCGCTCCAAACAATATGTCATCTGGACTCGTGTTTGGTAAGAATGAAATGCACCCCCCCCCCCCCCCCTCCACCTTCACATAGTATTGCTGCAGAGTTGGCGAAGCATCATTTTGTGAGGCAAATTCAGCAACACCAACTTTAGGGCAAGACCAAGTTTTCTAAACGTAGTAAAAATTGTAAAAATAACTATGTTTTCCGGCCCGGATAGATAAACTTTGCATCGCCGAATGCTCAAACTCCGTGAGAATGTGACGCTAGCGGCTGGAATGAAACGCGAAAGTTTGAGAACGTGACGTTGCCTGGATCAAAAGATAACTGAGAAAAACGAGGTATCTCTATGAGCCGACGTCTGCCTAAGACTAATAATGTCAGAACAAAAAGTGACATTGTGAACGCTTGTGGGATTTGAATCACTGAAAAACACTTGGCAGAAAGAAAGAAAATATTGTTTTCTTTCTCGCTGACCAAGCTTGTTTCACTGAAATAGAAGCTGCAGGCGCCCACGATGTCGTTTCTTGTTTTGACGACATTAAACTTAGGTGGACGACGGCGCATAGAGAAATTTCTTTTTTAACAATTATCTTTTGATCCAGGTAACGACATGTTCTCAAATTAAAACATCGCAAGGACACGGACAAGAACAAGAAGGTAGACGAGCAAGGCGCTGACTTACAACTAAAGTTTATTCGTACTAACATCAAGTATAAATACTGAACGTCATGACAAACAAACAGAGATAAAAAAAGATAAAAAACATGAAATGGACGCCATGTGCTCCTTAGCCACCGTTATGCGCTGTCACTTTGTGTCGAGAAAGCAACATTCCTTTTCGGATAAACATATGGAAGGAGTGCTGACCGCAGTTTTCCCCCAATTTTCCAATTTCCCGCGCCGCAATGATTTCTCTTTGTCCTTATTCTTTCTAATCACTTCACACTTGTCGAAGACGGGAGTGCAGCAGCAGTCACGACAATGCAGGCCAAGGTGACCTGACACAACTCTAAAAACGTTATACTTGTGTTCTCGCAAGCGCCTACCTTCTTGTTCTTGTCCGTGTCCTTGCGCTGTTTTAATTTTTAATCACGAAATACCAACTAGCCCACACTTTCACGTTAGTCAACTTCATGTTCTCAAACTTTCGCTTTCTATCCTACCCGCCATACAGCGTCGCATTCTGACGGAGTTCGAGCTTTCGGGCCGAAAAACGCGTTTCTCTTTTCTCGGAAACACCCTGTATCTTCCCAACACTCGTTAGGACTAGTCATGAATCACAACCAATACCACCTAGAAAACAAGCCTCCCCCCAGACGTCACCACTAGTGTGTCCAGGCAGCGCCGCCTAGCTTGCGACAGCATCATCGCCGGCAGCGCATCTCGCAGCATCTCACAACTAGCATGCACGGCGAGACCGCGGCGACTCCAAGACGATCGCGCCTGTCGCTTTCCGCGTCTCTCGTCGAGCTTCAGCGTCGCTTGGCGCGGGTCGGGGATCCATTAACGATGACGTCATCCACAGGCCTTGCCTTTAGGGAGTGAGGTGAAAGTTACGTTCCAGATGATCACGCTCCCGCCCATACCCAGGTGCAGAGAGTGGGGACAAAATGTTCTGACAGCGCGTCCGAGCATTTCGGTGAGACGCGGGAGGGGGGACGTAATGGCAGCCGCACAGTGGCGTAACCGCCACTATGAGTAAAAAAAAAAAAAAAAAAAAGAAACTGCGAAGTAGCGCACGTTATGCATCCATCTATCCATCCATCCATTCATGATCATCCCGGGTCCAATCGGTCCTATCCCGATCTACCTCCCCTTTTCGTGTAGAGGAGGGGTCTCAAACACGCGGCCCGCGACCCACTGGGACGCGGCCCGGCGGCCCGCAAGCAACTGGCTGCGAGCCACTCTTATACCATGTCTCGAGCGCTAGAAATGGCATGCGCCATAATAATCATCATGTCGCTCACTCATTTTGGTTCAAAACGTATCTCCTTTAGTACGCATTCACATTGTTTATACTATTTGCTTTAGTTCTCGGGGTGAATTTAGTGTCCTTACTCAGACATTTCTGCCAGCAGTACCTAGATTGATTCACTGCTGTATTGTACTTCTGTATTGATCTGTGTATTTCGTGCGCATGATTCCATGTGATTGTGTAATGTCATTCCTATCTTGGTCCTGCATAGACCCGATGGTATTTCAAATCAAGAAGTAAATAAATTTAGTCTTCTGTTTTGTAGTAACTTTTGCTTCCTTTTTTTTTTTTTTTTTTTGTTGCACGGATTTTTGCTTTGGCAGGAGGAACTGCCAGAGCTAAAGTATACGAGCTCGGAATTTTCCCGTTCAGAAAAAAATCACTACAAAAATACAAGCATTTCATCTGACCGCTTCTATAAAATCGTCAAGAAAGCAAAAACTGCCGTATAAATTTTTTTTTTTTCCTTTTAGACATGTTGAGTTTGATTAATTTCCGTTTGAAATGAGGAACGGGAACTACATAACGTATGCTTGTGCACGGTGGCGAGGCGGTGTCATTTGAATTCTTGCTGTTAGACCACGTAAGGGGCTAAAGTAGTCCTATAGACAAATCAAACCTAAAGATGTCACAAGCAATGAGCACGAGATTCCTTCCCTATAAAATACCCCCCGGCCGCCTTTCGAGGGTGGTTTATCTGGCCCCCAAACTTAAATGAGTTCGATATCCCTGGTGTAGAGGGATTACCGAGGGACAGGCGGGAGAAGGGGGGAGGGGGGGGGGGGGGAGCATCTCAATAAGCTTCCATCCCCCTGACTACGTCCCTGGCATGCGTCCAAGTGCAGCAACCTAAAGACCAATGTTTTTCTTCATTTTGAGCGGATTCCTCCCACACTCTGACCAATCGGTGTACGGGAGAGATTAATGCGGGATAAGTGAGAGTTTATTTGTATTTGCTTCCAGTCTCGATCAAAGTTTAGTTAGATCTTAAGTGCATTCATATCTACAAGAGAACGCGTCTTTCAAAGCTCACCTCGTAGCCGCAAGACGCGGATGACTCGCCATCGTCGTTTCCTTGGTCCCTGCCAGCGGTCGAGCGAGCCCGAGCTGCAACCCAGAGCCAAACGGGGAGAAAAGGGATGCGCATCCTGGCTCAAGTCTCCGAGCACGGGATTCGCAGAGACGGCAAGGCGGTAGAGTCAGCGGGCCCCGGCGAACATTGGCGATTCTTCGCTGGACGACAAAGGGACTTCCTCTTGCGTTTTTCTGTCTCGGGTTACTCTTCCATTGTATCGATCGCTACACGGTCACTCGCCCGCCAGCGTCCCGGCGAAAATATGTTGAGCCGACAGCCGCACAATAGCGTAACCGAAATCGTTCTTGCAGTAAGACGGTGATTTCAAATGTTTCTCGTGTCATCTTAAAAAAAAAAAAAAAAAAAAAAAAACGATGCCAGAATAGACATCTGAAAAAAAAAAAAATGTAACGACCGTTTTTGTGCGGAGAAATTCGAAACACAACTCTGGCTCCAATCAAAAATTGACTTACCTCGCAGCTTCGCATAAAGCAGACAGGCGCAAAATGGATCCTGAGAAGACGATAATCGCGTGGTTGTGTCGACCTGCTTGGATCTGTTGCGTTTGTCTGAGAGAATCAGAGGTGTACACACGACGCGTACCGGCGTCAGACCGCTTTGTATAAACTACCAAGGTAAGTGAACATTCTACGGCGAGGTTTTGCAAAGCACGTGACGTCAGTGTCACGTGACGTTATGGTGTTTCGCAACGTGAGATGACCGCGCCACTTGACACTGTGACGTCATGTGACAGTGTGGTACCACGTGATGTGACGGGACACCGTGAAATCGCAATGTCAAGCGACGAAACGACGTCACGTGGTTTCACATGACGCCACAGGGTCAAGTGAAGTGTCACGAAAATATTTTTGCAAAGAAATCCGACCGTGTTATTATGTTTTACGTGACGCTGTTTTACTCAAGACTCAGATACCAACCTTAAAACTCATACTGGCAGACGCCATTACACGAGACAGCTCCTCCTGCTTCGTGCTCTGTTCGCGCAGACCCGCAGCGAGGTTCTCGCGAGTGCAGAAAGACTAAAGTTTCCAGAATGCATACAGGCAGCGGCAGTGTAACGGAATCGACTGGTGAAATCAGTGTGTGTGCACGATGAGAGAACAACAACACCAAAACACACAGATAACTACTCAATGGTCACAGAAAGTTGTCCACGAGTATTAGCGGCGAGAAGTTATGGTGGCGCCCTCCTACGGTTCCCCCTTGTGACGTCATTACCTTGCAAACAACAAGTTCGATGGTGTTTGTAAATAGCATGGTGGAAGCTTGAAATCATTGCGCTCTCAAAGGAACACTTCCAACACCGTCAAAATTAAAGTTCTTTCATTCCTCTTATTTCCGTCGATGATACCCTTTCCGACGTCATAAGTCAGCGTTCGGCCAATCGTGGAAGGCCGACCACAGCGACGCTTTCGGTCGCGCTCGTCGCCAATAAAGAAATACAGCGTTCAGCTTCAGTTTTCCTAGTGGCGAGGTTTGAGAGGTGGAAACATACAAGAAATATGCAAATATGGATGAGAAATGGACCGTAACAACCGATGCCATAGGCAGTGCTGGGTAAAGTACACATGAAAAAAAAAAATGCTTGAAGTAACAGAAAGTAAATAAGGGGTTATGTACTTCAAGTAGCGGACTTGCCAGCAAACTTGGGCTCCCTAAGCTAGAAAACTCGTACCTTGATACACTTAACCGGTTACCGCTAGTAGATGTTAAGGTAGGTTGTTTTCCCCGACCTCGATGGGCCACCTTGAAGTTGCCGTCGAGGACCGGGGGATCGTGGATGAAGGTAGTTGCTGGAGTGCTGGATGCGTTGGTGGTGATGCAGAGGCGACCGACAACTCGGAGGGTTAACGAGATGAACGAAACTTTACTTCGATAAAAAAAAAAAAGAATCAAACAGTTACATAAAATACAAGTGCGAACTGTAATAAACTGCCGCGCACGGCTTACAGACTGCACAGACGCCTCGGCGTCGGATGGCCCTACCGCGCACGGTAAGGACGGTGACTACCTTGTAGCCGCGAAGACGAAGACGCTGTCGCGCACGACAGGTAACGCGGCGCACCGCGGGAGCTGAACGTCAGTGGGGTCGCTCACGAGCCCGTTCCAAAACTCAAAGATTTCCCTGTCCGACCAGGGTCTAAAACAGCGTGCTCAAACCTGCGTAGGCCAATCAGGGTTCGACCTCGGTCCTATTGGCTAGAGGGACCAAACTACAACGCCTACACACAACACACTTTCGACCAATCGGGTGAGAGTTCATTGCCCCGAGAGTGAACCAAAAGTTCTCAGAAGCCGAGGATAAAATAAGACTTATGGCTTTCCTATCTGGCCACAGAAGATACACATTCGCGAACGGCAAGAACCATCGAGACATGTCGGCTGGGGCGCGTCAATGCCACCGCTAAAGGCCATTGGCGACAAAGTAAAAAAGTGAAAGCCGTTTACAAGTTCCTGTAACGCCGAATTGGAGCGCAGCTCTTGAGGAGGAGGAGTGGAGGGTATATTCCTCCTCCTCCCTCGTGATTATGCCTGCTAGTCCTCCTCCCCTCCTGCTCCCCCCTCCCTCTCCTTTACCACCTTTACCGGGCGGGGGAGGAGGAAGGAGGAGGAGGAGCGGAGGGGGAGGAGGGGGAGGGGGACGCCGACGCCGACGCCAACGCCGGCGCCGACGCCGCACAGGCTAGAAACGGTTCATGTGATTCCCTCCCCCCGAGGTCACGTGACCCGCCCGGACCATACTACACAATGAGGGGAGGAGGAGGAGAAGGAGGGGGAGGAGGAAGAGGGGAGGAGGAGGGGGAGGGGCGCGGTTACGCCGAAGCCGACGCCGACGGCGACGGCGACGCCGACGGCGACGCCAACGGCGACGCCGACGCCGCTCAGGCTGGAAACGGGCCCCTAAGAGCTGCGCTCTAAAAGAAAGACACGCCAGGCATATGCAGAATATATAGGAAGCGCCTGGTCCCCGGACGTCACGGAAGAGTTCCGATACACGACTCCGAGAGCTCTGAGGCACTTTGTCTCCCAGCAAACGGCCTGGCGACCGGTGACGTGTTAATGTCTCGGCCGTGGGTTCCTCGGCAAACCTTTGCGTCTGGCCCCGCGTCTCAAAGTCAAGGGGTAGACGCACGCGGCGTTGAGACAGCAGCCTCTCGTCGGAAAGTTAAGTGCCTTCACGTGCGTTCGAAAACCGGGGTTCCGCATGAAATGCAACGAAGTGGGTGACATGCCCGCGGCCATTTCCCCGATACCGGGAAAAGCTCATAAGCAAGCAGAATTCCAACTTGTAACGGCACGGGACCCCCCTGAAACGCGACACCCGACTCCCAAAGCGCCTCCCCATTTCCGACCGAAGCGCCGTCAGGCGGCTAAACAAAACAGAGCTGGATATGCCGTCCTGTCGGTCGAAAAAAAGTAATAAATAAAGGCGACCACCTCTACACCACTGCTCACTGACAAGGAACCTGTCGTGGTTATCCAGTTTACATCACACTACCTGAGGGAAAATTATCTAGAATCGCTCTCGCCTTAGGGCCGAAGAACCGAAGTTGCGTTTTTTTCGATCATTTGACTCCCGTAAACAAAAGTATCCTGTCGCCGGCGTGAACGAAAAGTAAAGAAAAAAGATATCGGTCTGTGTGACAGAAGAATGGCCATATATTTGGACTGAAAGCCGAAAGCGATCACGCGATTCGGATCTGCAACGAGGGCGATCACCGAGAACATTGTATGACGCGTGCATAGGATGCATAAGCGACTCGCTCTGAATGTCGGTCTTGACGTATCATTGTCGTTATAATGATGCTGATTCTTTTCGTAATATAAGATCTCTAGCAATAAAACAGCCTGGCTCTTTTTTTTTTATTATATTTAACTTGAATGTGTGCAGCTTATCAACGAAGATTACACATCAATATTTATTTGGCTCCTTTAGATCATGAATTTGACGCATTGGCTTTTAGCGAGACGTGGCTTGCTAATACCCATGACATAGTGCGATTCGAAGGTTACAGATGCAAAGCCATATACAGACTAGATAAAAAGTGTGATGGTGTTGCTCCTCATCTTAAAGACACACCTTTTACAGCGGAGCTGTTAGAGGTTAGGTTCCACAGGATCGTGTCCGGTATGTCGACACAAACCTGCCTGGACAGCTACCGCCATCTATAAGCGAATAAGTGACGGCGGCAAGCACACAACCAATATGGTTTCCGCCGTCGCTCGTAGATGGCGGCAACCTTTTCAGCTATAATAGCCCTGTACCTGCTCCACGAGTCGTAACCACGGTGTATCGTAACTTTAGTGCACTACTACGCTTCTCACGCGCTCAAAGTCTTTCTGAAAATGACTGATTTAGTGGTTTTCGGTAACGCTGTGGAAGTTTCTGATTGGAACCATATGTCTATTTTCATTAATTAAAAAAAGTTAATTAACGAATTTTAATTAATTAGCCAACTGATCGTTACTATTATCCCCCTATAATATTTCCCCCTGGCCGTATAACTCACCTGCACAAACCGTATCAGTGCACCTTTTACGGATTTTTTAAAAATAAATCTTTTCGAATTAAAAATGTACACCCGGTATATATATATATATATATATAGGGTGACTCAAGTCACCAGGCTCGATCTAAAATGGACCGTAAAAATCGACGCCTTCACGTAGCCGTTTAAACTTTTCGTCAAAGGTGTATTTCACAGGTCGGTTGTTTTCTTGTAAAATTACAGAGCGCAGTTCTCTTTTAGTAAAAAATAGGGCCACGAAACTTGCCAGGGTCTACGGCGGGCGGTGACCCAGACGACCAAGTCCAGTAGCGAGCTGTGTTTGCCGTTCGTATTGGTAGATGGCGTCGGGAGCAGCGTCTGAAGGTGCAGCCGACCAGCCAAAGCAGACGACACGCAAACGAAATCCGTTGGCAGCAAAAGCGCCGCCGTTATGCAGACGCGTTTTTTACTTTAAGTTTTGCTTTTATTATTCGCATTCATTTTTTAACCGAAGGTATATTTCAAAAAAGATTATATTCATTTTAATAAACCACGGTGGTCGCGAGCCGTCGCGATTAGGAGGTAGCGCCATCTATCAATATGAACGCCAAACACACCCCACTACCGGACCCCTGTCGTCTGCGTTGCTGCCCGCCGTTGACCCAGGCAAGTTTCTTGGCCTTATTTTTTACAGAAAGAGAACTACGCTTTGTAATTTTACAAGAAAAAACCGACTTGTGAAATACACCTTTGACAAAAAGTTTAGATTGCTACGTGCACGCGTCGATTTCTACGGTCCATTTTAGATCGAGCCTGGTGACTTGAGCCCCAAGTCACCAGGCTCGACCTAAATTGGGCAGTACATATCGACGCCTGCGCGTTGCAATCTAAACAGTTCGTCAAAGGTGTATTTACCAGGTCGTTTTTTTTCTTATAAAATTACAAATAATAGCTCCCCTTCTGTAAAAAAGTAGCACCAAAAGGCTTGCCAGGGTCAACGGCGAACAGCGACGCAGACGACCGAGCCGAGTAGCGGGGTGCATTTGGCGCGCGTACGGATAGATGGCGTCGGGAGCAGCGTCCGAAAAAGGCGGGGCCTCACGTTCGAAGGTGTAGCCAACGTTAGATGCAGCGTGCAGCCGACCAGCAAAAGAAAGCAGACGACACGCAGACGAAATCCGTTGGCAGCAAAAGCGCCGTCGTTATGCAAACGCGTTTTGTTTTTGTTTTCCCTTCAGTTTTGCTTTTATTGTCCACATTTACTTTTCAACCGAAGGTACGTACATTACAAAAAGATTATGTGGACGCGAGTAGAGTCACTATCGCGAGCAGTCTCCATTGTCTCCATAAGGAAATAGCGCCATCTGTCAATACGAGCGCCAAATCTGCCCCGCTACTCGACTTGGTCGTTTGCGTCGCCGCCCGCCGTTGACCCTGGCACGTTTCTTGGCTCTATTTTTTAGAGAAAGAGAGCTGCAATTTCTAATTTTACAAGAAAAAAAAAATCTGAGGCGATAGGCCTCAGATTGCTACATCCAGGCGTTGATTTTTATGCTCTATTTTGGATCAAGCCTGGTGGCTTGGGACACCCTGTACGTATATATCGGGTGTCTCAAATAGTGGCCAGGCTCTTTAAACCGACCACAAAATGCAGCTCCTTAGCCTATCGCACTACGATTTTGTGCAGCGTTGCCCACAGGTGGTGCATTTTTTCTATAAAAATTGCAAAGAGCGAGCTTATCTGAGGAAAAAGTAAAGAAAGTAAAAAGCCTTAACTCCTATGGAAACCCAGCGAAGCCACCGGTCTTCAATCAATAGGGCGCCCTATTGTTTGAAGACCGGTGACTTCGCTGCGTTTCATTTACTATTCTGGAAAGTTCCAGGCCATGCTCGGCTGTCATCGTATGTTCTGGTTAAGCCTTTCTCTTTTTTACCTGTTCCTCAGGTAAGTTCGCTCTTTGCAAATTTTATAGAAAAAATGCACCACCTGTGGGCAACGCTGCAGAAAATCGTAGCGTGAAAGGTTAAGAAACCGATTCTTGCGGTCGATTGAAAGAGCCTGGCCGCTACTTTACGACTCCCAAGCACGATTTTGTTTGTACCCGTGAATTGCAGAGTCCATCAACTGCTACATGCGAAAATAACCCCCCTTTCTTGAAAATAATTCCTAGCTACGCCATTTGTAAGTGCTGAAACTCTGGAATCTGGTTCGGACCTCGGCGTTCGGCGATGTACCTAATAAAAAAATATGCATGGAACTGTAGCCCCTCCTTCTCTCCTTATCGCCGCGAACGGCCGCGATAGCCTTTAGAAACTATTATTTTTGTTTGTGGCTCTGTTCAACCTTCATCTGTGCTGTCCTGCAGAAAGGACGCATGCAAGATGCAAGCGCAAGTCGAATTTTGCTTGGGAACGGTTCACACTAACGCCGCGAGGAGGCTACTATTTTTTACCGGAAGTCGCGGCGCCCCGTGCTGATTCCCCTCCTTTTCGACGTGTTTCTCCTGAAAGAGAAGTAAGTTCGTTGTTTCGTTGCTCTAATTAGTCGTCGAACCGATAAATAGAAATATAATCTAACCGTAGAAATGATTCGGGGTCATACTTTTCCTTACAATAAATCTGATCGGCGTTTTATGGTTCTCGATATGGAATCGTTTCTAAAACTACACGGGGAACGATAAATGCGCTTTCTAAGCCTAACATCTTTCAAACCTGAAGTTTGTAACTTTCGTCGATCTCAACTTATGCGGTCTTTATCGTGTGTATCTTAGAAAAATAAGGAGAAACAAAGAATTTCGTTTGAGGAGGATAAAGGGAATTATTCTTTTTCTCACCTTCGGCACTGCAGATGTCTCGGTGCGGCATGTGCCAAACGAGACCACGTTTTTCTGTTCGTTTTGTGCACCGGCCTAGCGCTACAGCATCGTATTTCTCTGGACAGCCAAGATGTCAGAAAGCTGGGACGACAACGCTCCCACTACGGTGGCCGTTCCGACCGAGCAGCTGGAAACCAAGCTGTTCGGCCGCTGGAGCTCGAGCGACGTGCAAGTCAGCGACATCGGGCTCACTGTGAGTGCACAGCACTGCACCGGATAGCAAACGCGTGTATGCAACTTCGCGCGCATTCTTCGCAGCTAGTGTCTTGGTAGGTCACATTAGCAGATTGGAACAATAACTTTTGGCATTTCTTTTACCATCATAACTTGCAGCGGTATTGACATTGCGATGTCACCGGGGTCATCATTCGAACTTTTGGCATCCTGGCGGAAAATATTTTTAATAAATACCGCGGGAAAGGGAGCTGAATTAATGGAACGCGGCTAAAGACTACTTAAATTTTAACTCGACTACTGTAACATTGGCTACTGGTGAATTGGAGACCCGAGTCCTGTCCAAGTGGCTGTCTGCACTGCAGCAAAGATTGGCATCGCATGCTGGGACTCGAATAATGTAAACGGATAGTCATTTCTGCTATGGCCTCGTGTTGACTGTTGCATGTACAATGCTTTAATTGTTTGTCACAAAGTTAGCTGGTGGCATTTGCTTTCCAGTCATGGTAGCTACATCACAGGCACCTCGTTCTTGGATCATATTAAGGTTGCGTAAATATTTCCTTCTTTCAGGACTACATTGCCGTGAAGGAGAAGCATGCCAAGTATCTGCCCCACTCTGCCGGGCGCTATGCTTCCAAGCGCTTCCGCAAGGCGCAGTGCCCCATCGTGGAGCGTCTTACAAACTCTATGATGATGCACGGCCGGAACAACGGCAAGAAGCTGCTGGCCGTGAAGATCGTCAAGCACTCTTTCGAGATCATTCACCTGCTCACCGGCGAAGTAAGTCATCTTTCCTTGAGCAAGCGCTTTTGGCCTCCTTGCTCGTACTCGAGTGACCACTACATTTGGCCAAGGGCGTCAGCCCTTGCAACCCCATTTCACCCCGCGTGGTGGACAAAGTTTGTGTGATTACAGTCATCTTTTGCAACACTGGGAGCTTACAGAATGGTGCAGTGGGTTGTGCAACAATGGGTCTTTTGTGTTTCAGAACCCGCTTCAGGTGGTGGTGAATGCCATCATCAACAGCGGGCCGCGGGAGGACTCTACGCGCATTGGGCGTGCGGGCACGGTGCGTCGTCAGGCGGTGGACGTGTCCCCGCTGCGTCGGGTGAACCAGGCCATCTGGCTGCTGTGCACGGGCGCACGCGAGAGCGCCTTCCGTAACATCAAGACCATTGCTGAGTGCCTGGCGGACGAGCTCATCAATGCCGCCAAGGTCTGTCCTTCTCTCCTAGTGGCCGTCGGGGGATTTGGTTTCGCCTTGACCCTCGTTGCACCGAGACTTGCGAGAAGGGACTGCCTGGAACTGTTCGTACTGAGCGGTGTGCATCTTTAGGGGCTGTGTTTTCAGCCTAATAAATAGGGGCAATGGTGTTTATTTATTTATTTATTTATTCAGATACCTACAGTGCCATGGGGCATTACAGTAGGGGGGGAAGTTGGGAATGAAAAACAAATAGTTATACAAAGGTTCAAAGAGCAATGTACACAAGCCATAAATATTCTAGCATCATAACAAAGAGCAGGCTACATAAAAATGTGGTCTATTAAAAAATGAACTAAACACTAGGAGGTTAGTGTTGAATAAAGCATATCCTTAAGAACAATGTTGACTACCAAGGTTGGCGAACCATTCCAATCCCGTATTGTTTCAGGAAAAAGTGAGTTCATAAAGACATCAGTTCTACAGTGGATTTCCTTAACCTTATAAACATGATCCTTTTGTTCTGATATGTAGTCTGATGGGTGAAGGTAGGCATTTCTTTCTATCCCAGTTCTACAATTAAATACGTTATTAAAAAATTTCAATCAAAGGCTCTTCCTTCTAAAGCTTAGCTCCTTCCATCCCAGGCTCTGTTTCGCATAAGTCATACTAAGTCGCCTGTCATAATTGTTGCCTGTAGATTCAAGGCCGATGTACAGGCCTGGTTTTCTGAATCCTCTTGGTGCCCTCCCCTCCAAAGCTTCCAGGATAGCCATGGTTAGGGCAAGTAAGGTGGAGAGGGTATTGGAAAGGGGGAATCGATAAAAGTGAAAAGCCTGAATTATATGTTTGCCTTTAACCGGATTAGTGGGTCATCTGGCTCCCATACTTTGAAACAAACACTTCTAGTGTAGTGTAGAGCAGAGCTTCTCTCTGGGATCTCATCAATCCCGCATGCCAATCAGTACTATTTCAGTGCTGGGCATCATTTTCTAGTACTTCTATATTATGCTCTCACCTTCATTAGTTTGCCGAACGGAACACCAACTACTCAGGTTTTTTCGTAGAGGTGTGCCAGTGCGGCCTTGCAAAGAGCATTTGTCCCCTTTGCTCGGTGGTGTGCTTTTACTTTACTGCCAGTGCACTCTCGTCACAGAAGCAATTCCCAAAGTTATGAGTTGCTCTTTGTATTGTTCATTGAGCACCCATGCCCCATACTTACTTGTGCTTGAAACCACTGCTCCCCCTTTGCCCATAATTAGTAAGGCAAGAAGAAACTTGAATGTGATCTTGGGTAAAACTGCAACATGGATGTATGCATGAGGTGTGGAGCACGGATATGATTGGATGTTCCATATGCCATATAATTTCTGGGAATAGGCCAGTGGACTTCTTGATGAGTGAACTTTGGAAAATACTAGACTCATTCAGTCTGCAAAACGCAGCCCATCTTATTGTGTAAAGTATGCATCGCTGAGCTTTGCTTCAATTGTGCTAGCATTTCCTCAGATAGAATACTTTCAATCAGAGTATTGCCATTTTTCATGCACCTAGAGCCCGAGGTAAAATGGAGTGGCAATTGATGTTGGTTGTGAGATCTTCAGTTGTGAGCAAGGCAATCTGCTAAACTCTTTTCCACTTAAAACATATTTAAGGTACAATGACCTCAGTTGAGGTGTAGTTAAACTACAAATAAGTTTATTCATTAGAAATAACTATGCCATGTTACATTTACTCCTAAATCTATGCCACACTGCAATTGTTAAGCGACTCTTCAGTTTCCAAGGCAGAACTATCGATACACTTCTGTATTGATTCTGAACTCCGCTCACGATGGGGTTTCTGGCACAACCCATAGCAGGGCTGTCAAGCTTGAATCAATGGAAATTTATATAATTGCATTCTTAATCTTAAAAAATAGCCGTAATTGAGGTGAGTTACAAGTTACTCAAAATCCGTAACTCGCACACTTTCGACGGACCCCTTCGCAAATAGCGTGCGGCGCACTCAAAGCATGTTGCGAACCTCGATGCAATTCTGACGGTATGCAAGCTGCTGTGTTGTCTGTGTAGACTGGGCTGCATACCCTTTTCTTCGTGCAAGTTGGCTGGAGGGCGAGAGAACCTCAAGGTTGCCATAATTCTAGGGTGCTCGTGGTGGCGTCTGCGAAATTGTCTGTTAGTGCCTTTGCTAGTCTGGCAATGGGAGCCTGACGACAGTGTCTTCCTGTCTGCTTTCCAGGGCTCTTCCAACAGCTATGCCATCAAGAAGAAGGACGAGCTGGAGCGTGTCGCCAAGTCCAACCGTTAAAAGAGAGAGAGGGGGATTAAAGCTACTCTGCTCATGTTTGATCACGCACCTGTGTGTCTCGCTTTGTGGCAACAGAAGGGAAACATGGCTGCAACCTTTGCTGCTCCCATTCTTTCTCCAGATACCTCTCCTTTGGCTCAGCTGTACTCTGTTGTCCACCCTTCTTTTTGGGGATGTGGGAAAGAGTGGAATACCGGCCAAGGTGTCCGGAATTCGACAGACCTATTGCAGAGAATGTGCCATATAACAAATCATGGTTGTACCTTAAAGTTAATGCTCAATCCTCTACTGGGGTGTGCGAGATGCACCTTGTCAGTTTGGTTAGCACGTAAACTTGTAAAATTTAATTTTTCCCCATTACTTTATTTGAATTAGCTCAACCATTAAAAGCAGTATTCCCTCACCGAGGGAGAGACTTGACAGATTTGTCCTCGTGCTTCTCGTACACTTGTATGGTACTCATTACAAGTAAACAAATTAGTTGTAATCTATTCTAGCTTTTTTAATTTTTGATTATTTTTATGTGGTAATTGCAAGATTAATCTGATTATTTTTGAAGTACTAAAATTGCTTACATCTGTTAGTATTATACCCTTCCCTTCCTAATGGCAGCCTTTGTTTCCTCCAGTTTCCTACCAAGGAGGTCTCTTACCAAGTCTCCAGAAGGAGGCTAGTTTACCAAAATTGGTAGATTATAAGTAGTTCATAGTTCAGGATTTTAGTCCAGTAATAGACAGTACGAAAGGCCCCTTTTCAAACCAATAGATATATCTGCTGTTTTCAAAATCAGAAGTAATTGGAAAAGTAAACATTACTTTTTCAAGTAATGGCCAAATACTTTTCCAAGTATGAATTTTTAACCAAGAGTAATTGTAGTTTAGTTCTTTTGAGTAACGTGTACGAGACTGGCTTCATGTGACGAAAAATGTCTGGCTTTTGCGGCTTGCCATTGTGGCATGAGCAGAGGGGTTGCTCGGGCAATGCAGATGATTCTCGTTTGCTGCTGGGTCATTTCGCTGAAAAAAAAAGTTTGATACCAAATATGGAAACTCCTAAATTTTGATACCACTGGCATCCCACCCACTGGTACCTTGTTCATGGGAACAATGCAGCTGAGGTAGAAATTGCACCCACTGCTAATGAGGGGACTGTAAGTACATATAAACATAAAAGGGAAATTCCCTAAAAGTCTTCCTAAGTGACTCAGATGAAGAGTGAGTGGACACGCTTGCTTGAGCACGTATTCTCATATTTTTATATCGAAACGTCCTGAACTGGAGCCCTGCAAGGGCCGCCTTTTTGAGCCCAGGCCTAAGGGAGCCTTTAGGCTCCCTACCCAGGCCCGGTGTCATGATAATTTACCTGCCCAAGCCTGGCCCAGGTGTTTGCAACTGGGCCCAGCCCGGTCGGCCCATTTCGAACTGGCTCGGCCGATCCCAAGTCCAAATTTGATGTCGTGTCTAAAACTCGTCGCGTGAAAGTGTTGGGAAACTTTATTTTATGCAAGCGTTGGAGGTGGGTTGCTGGTAAGTAACCTTTTTCCTTGCATATCGGTACCCGACGGTGCTATGAAGAGCACATGTAAATTTAACTAGGCTATGTCAAATTTCAACACCTGAGAGACATTAGCCTTATAAATAAATAAAAGGTGGTATAGATGACTTCATTGTCCTCCAGACCTCTAGGCAACAAACAACTCTGACCTCAATCATTTTTTATCCCCTAGACGAGTTGAACGGCATTAACAAAAGTCAGATGAACTATTTCCACAATGAATTTGTTCACAATCAGCTTTCTACAAGTAAACTATTTCTTCCAGCGCCACACACTTAAAATTAGTTTTTTTTTACTTATTTGGAGAGGAGGTGGGGGATGGAAGGGTACTGAGGGGAGGTTATACCCCTCCTCACCTCATCCTTCAACCTCCTCCCCTTGTGTCCTTCTCCACCGTGACGTAACGTGACCTCGCGGTTATGGCGACGCCGTTCATGCCGGAATTGGGTTGTGTAGAAATACATAGAACCTTTCCAAGGAAAGAAGGATGCGGAAATTTCTTGTTCCGAGACTCCCACCATTTCACGCAGGTGGTCACGAGAGCTTAGCTGTGCGAGGACGAGATGTGAACAGTTATGGCCAGTTTCGTCCGAACGGGCTGGGATTTGGCTCCCGATGGGAGTCGCCAAGCGTTGTGTTAGGTGTTCTTTCACAGTGTGCATCAACCATTTGTGATAGCGGTGTGCTCAGCTCCTCAATTTGAGCATAGAACGCCACGCTATCGAACTCGCGTTGAGTGTTGAGATGCCCAAGAAATACAATGCAAAATGTAGAGGCCAACATGCTGCACTTGGGAGCAAGCCGAAAACTACAATATATGCCGGCTTGCAATGCAGCAGAGACATATTGTATTTATCATCATTGTGCTTGCTGCGTTATAATTAATCAATCTACAGTGTGCAGCGATTTTCCCCAAAATAAATGATGACTGCATATATAGTAGAGCTTCATTTCTCTTGCCACCGGCACGAAGTTCTACGAAAAATAGATGCAGCGTAGTAAAGCTATGCTCATGTTTTCTTTGTCGCCAAGACAACGGCTTTAACAAAGCTCAGGTGAACTGTTTCCACACTGAAACCAGACCTACTATAAACTAATTGGCGGCACTGAATTGGGTTTGGGCCGCAGCCCCGAGCCCGATCCAGGCCCGCCAAGGTGCTGGCCTGGGCCTGCAGTAAAAACCCTAGCACAGGCATACCGAAAAACCGCCTTACTCGGCCTAGCCTGCGGATTGGACTTTTGGGTAAACCCCAAGCCCGTGCAGTGCTTTATCCCAAACCGTCGATTTTCTAAAATGATTTATTATTACCGAGCACTGGGTGGCCAGTGTCGAATCTGAGGCACAATTGGTCGTGACACCCCCTGCATCGAATTGAAAATTGTTTCTAGTTTCCTGCCTTCATGTGCTAGTTCTCTTGCGTCACAAGCCCAATATCATTTCATAGTCTATTTAATTACCTCAAGTGCAAAAGAAAGGTTGCATGAGAGAAAGTATACCAAGTTAAGAACCTAGTGCAACATGATAATTTTGTGGATTGTTCCGTTCATGTTAAAGAGGACATGACCACATGTCAACGAGATTCATTACCATGTGTAACGTGTGCTGGGATGCCCAAGATGACATGAAGTGACGGCAGCAAACTGTTCTTGTGGAGGGGAACCGTTGGCACTTGATCATTCATTTTCAACTCTAGTCGGGGATCTTTGGCTGAGTGTGTCGATGCGCCACAGTTCAAAGCATGTAGAGTGAAAGCTCGAACTGTAGAACCCTGGATTTAACGCCCACCCATTTCGATGGGTGTGCGCATCGTACCGGCGTACATCTGTGTAATTGCTACTGCGTGATGCACACTAAAGGTCCCAAGTTAGCGGTCATACTGCACTGGCCAAAATGTTCATCTACAGTGGAGACACAAAATGCTCCTAGAGGCAAACATCCCACTTTCTAAAGGCCCGTTCACACTCTTGCAACCTCTTAAAACTGGGTTCCTTAAAACCTCTTACAACTAGAGGATACACCGGCACGGTCTATTGGGTACCAGTGTAAACTTGGCGGTTCGGTATATTTTCTATTTCTCTCAAGCATTATCCTTTCTTTCTTGGCTTGAAAAACTTTTGTCAATGTTATAAACGAGCCTTTCTTATAGGTATTATGCACATTTGACCTCGGAAATGCCGCAAAACCTTTGCTCTTGTGAGATGCAGTTCCAGGGTCATCGCATAGATGACGCCAGCATGCCAGTGTGTTTTCTTGTCCTAAGAAATTAGAGGTTTTAACTAGTCTTAGTCTCTCTCGGTCGTACTCAGTTGCAAGAGTGTGAACGGGCCTTAAACATTCCCAAAACTCACTCACAACTGGGTTAATCTATGCATGCGCGCTTTACCGGTCCAATCGAGCGCTTAACGTATGATTTGCAGCGTTCCCAAGTTTGGAAAATGTTAATAGTAGGCTCCTCCGCAATATTTTACGGCCATTTCATTGTGCATCGTACATGTCATCTTGCACGGGTCGGACACCAGCATGTTGAACAAACATCTATTTTGACTCCTTTATCCCGAGACCATAGAATCTCGCCAGCCAGTTTTGCTACGCTGCCTCAACGTATGGGGGAAATGTCTTTCTGCATGTGGGATAACCTCGTTGCAGCTGTGTGCGCAGAACATGAGCAGTCTCGTGCACTGCCACCTGCCTCCTCCTGCCAAGGTTATGGCAACGTCACGCATGCGCCACATGCACGGCGAGATCGGTTTATTGGAGCCACCTCCCCAATTCCATCGCCCTCCTTTGAAGCCACACACTTCAAGAAGGGGACCAACTAATGCCTCGGACCCCGAAAGCGTGAAAATAAATAAATAAAACAATCCGCACATTACCAAATTGCTGATGAGAATGCAGCATGACTTGCATAAACATAGTTCACGTAACTTTTCTTTGCATGCGGACCAGTTGCACTTTCTGGTGCACTGCTTGAAAATAAAAGCTGGTTTAGCGTTTACTGCGACTGCATTAAAACTGGAGAGAACACTTTCACTATGTATGACTCAAGGTTATGCTCTACTCTCTCTCTTTTCATGCACCCCAAAATAAATTAGTTTTTGCAGCATTTGCAAGATGCCACTATTTCTGAGAAATGGTTGCTTATAAGATTAAAATGCGGACGACCGAGTCCTCGAATGCATGGAGCTGCATGGCACCGGTTATTGAGAATTGGCCCCATTTTCCCACCCAAATTTGCAGAAAATCACCTTTAACTTTTGAATAGCGGTTAGTTGTGAAACTTTGGCATCTCGTTTGAGTGCTACATTTGGGCGCAGACTGAGCATTAGGTTGATGCATCGTTTAAGTCTTTTTGGGAACATGTACATGTGGGTCGTAAGTGTTCCAGGGCTACCCGATAGTTGGCGCCAGTGTATTGTCTCTAGTGGCGATAAGCGGTCATAATGACAGTCGAACGGACATGTCTGAACCAACCTTAAAGAGGCGCTAAACCACT